CCATAATAGAGGCTATAGAGCTAATCAAGAGTAGATCGACAAGGCTACCAACGGTCTTCCTCTACCACATGTCATTTATACATTTAACCTCTCTATGAGGTGGGAACTGAGTTGGTTTTGTGTAGGTGAGAGAAACCAAATTAATTAGCAGCAATTAATTTATTAATAAGTCATTAATGTTGCATTACAATTACAAAGCTACCAAATCAGAGGAGTAAACAAACTATTCATGGTCAAAGTTTAAGAGACGAATTAAAATTAATACGGAGTAATAATTTGCTTTTAATTAAAATAAAATATAATACTTCATAATAACACAAATTTAATAAGAGCTCACATAACTATATTATTTCTAGTTTTTTTTTTTTTTTTTTAAGAATAAATTATTTCTAGTTGATTATTGAGAATATATGGTTAAAGTTTTTTTTATTTATTTATAATGGGGCCAAAAAAAAAAAAAGAAGAAGAAGAAGAAGAGAGAGAGAGAGAGAATAGAAGGAATAACGTTAAGTTGTATCACAATAAAATTCATAAATAATGTTTAGTTGTTGTAAGTTGTAACAACTAACAAGTTTATTGTATTCATTCTCTTATATGGAGTGTTTATTCTTAAATGAGTTTAGGACAACTATACAATAACTCAATTTAAGTTTTTGCAATATTCATCTATTACCTATTTATCTTTGATCATATACATGTATATTTGTATTAATATGATTACAAACTCAAATGTTATCATGTAAAATGTAAATGTTGTTAAATTAGTATTAATGTATATCATCCTAATATCAACTTTTTAAAAATTTTAATGAGGTAAATCTTCACATGTAAAATTGTCAAACTTATACATTAACATATGTGTTAAGTGAAACTGTGTCAATTATTCAAAAACAAAAAGAATAAAATAAATAAGTAATACATAAAATAAAATTTATAATTTTTCACCTCATCATCTTTTTAAATCTACAAACACTATATTATAAAGATTGGCTAATTTGAATTTTTGCAATTGTTGTTTTTATTACTCTATGTTAATATATTTTATGTCTCATAATTCACCATCCAAATTAAATTTTAACTATCAACACTACTTAAAAAAACAAAAATGAATAAATAAATATTACAGAGTAAGTAAGATTACATAAAAGTACATATAACTTTTGTAAGATGTCCCTCTTATGTCATTTTACTACTTAAATATCTATCGGCTAATAGATGTTTAATAAACATTTTAAAATTAAATAGCTAATACAATCAAGGAACTAGTCAAACACTTTAATTTGTAATATTAATTACCCCCGTTTTATATAATTTGCAACAATTTGACATAAAGTGTAAGTAGAATATATATGTCTAATCGTTGCAAATCATATGAAATAGAGGTAGGACAATCTAGTCATAAAAGTTTAGCATTACACTGTATAATTACCTAGCTTTCAATTTTCAGCTAAGATCACAAGGTAGTGCCTACATTAAGGGTCTGTTCACATTTACTTAATTTCAGTTCAGTTCAGTTCAGTTCAGCTCCAATCAGTTCAGTTCAGTTCAGCTCTAATCAATTCAGTTCAGCTCTTAATTTCCCTCTCTCATAAAATATTCATTTTAGCTCATTTCAGTTCAGTTCAGTTCCAATTAGTTCAGTTCAGTTCAGCTCAGTTCAGTAAATGTGAACAGACCCTAAATATCAAATTACTATTATTAACAATTCTGATATTGATATCTTAAAATTTCTTTATTTACAAATAACTTTAAAATCCGAATTTGCTCGCGTATTATCTAGTTTTAATAATTATATCAAAATTTTGAACACCTTTATATCAAATTTCTACAAAATTATCTCTTTTTTTTTTTTCAAAATACCATTAAGTGACATGTCTAAAATATTATTATACTTGTATTGAATTTCCAATCACACACATACAAAATGTTCAAAACCTTATATCTAAATCCCAAAAATAAGTTATTGTTCAATAACTTATTTCAATAACTCCGTACTAAATATAGGTAATTGGTAGAAAACCATTGACAGTGGCTCCACCATCAACAAATATAGTTTGGCCAGTGATGTAAGAAGATGCTGACATGCATAGGAATGCCACCAGACCCGACACTTCCTGGGGCTCTCCTACACGTCCCATAGCTGTTCGGAAATTGATAACCTCCACACACTCCTTATTACTAAGAATCTGTCAAATATAATTCAATCATACAAAGTTATTATAACTTATCAGTCTCTAAAATTTCGAGCCATTATTATACTTTCTCCGTTAATGGTTAATTGCAACAAAGAGGTATTATTTGTGAGATATAAAATATTCCTTTATTGCAATTAACTATTAACGGAGGAAGTATAATATATGCATCATTTATATAGGGACCGAGGGAGTATAACAAATTAACAATGGTAAATTAAAAAGATTTAATGACGGACATTACCCCTTGTGTCAAAGGTGTGTTGATGTACCCAGGAGCAACAGAATTAGCCCTAATGTTGTCTTTGGCCCATTCACATGCCAAATTTTTGGCTAATTGATTCATTGCCCCTACAAATAAAATTTTTGTAAACAAGGTATAAAAATTAAGATATTTTTAAATCTTCAGTCACACTTTTGTGCTGAAAATTTTTATTATACTAGTACATTACTTTGTAAATAGTGATATACAAAGTATTTTGTTTAAACAAAACTCAAAAAGATGGACGGAAATTTTGCAAAAAATCACCTTTTATAAGCAATTTTTTGCAAGAAACCACCTTATAAATTTTTTTTTGCAATGACACATCTTAATCAATTTTTTTTTTTTTGCAAATCAATACCTTTATGTCGAAAAATGAGGTTTGACCCCATTTTCCGGCATTGACTACCCCAATCTACCCACGAAACCACCTCTCTCCCACCCTCACCCACGAAACCACCTCCCTCCTAAGCCCCAGCAACAAAACCACTCTTTCATGGCGTTGACCACCATAAACACACCCCTTTTACTGTATTTTGCTTCTACTATTCCACCATGTATAGGTAGACAATTACAGGTGAATTTATGTGTCCCGGCTCCTATCCTTAAACATAATTTAATTTCACCCACTTACTGACTAATTATAATTAAGAGTGTATATATGTAGTACTTGCTTCTTTATCGAATCTTGTGGACATAACAATTTTATACTAATGGTGTTAGCTCTACATATCTAGTGGCATTTTTGTAAATAAATAAAAAAACTTTTGTCAAATGTAGACCCTAATAATGTTAATTTATTTACAGAAACGCCATGATGACTGAGATTTTATATTGATTTATTTACGAAATTACTACTAGATAAACGTTTTTTTGTTCATCATGAAGTTGAACCGGAGCTCCCTCGATGCCAAATTGCCAATCATGCAACTGTAGGAGAAGTAGAAGTAGAGACGACAATAACATTCTCAAAAACAGTGAAAATGTTGTAACCAATTTAAGATACACTACAAAAAGAAAATGTGACCGTTAATTCGATTTGGAGTTTTTTTTTTTTTTTTTTAATTCACAATATCTACCATTTTTTTTTTTTTTGACGGGACAATATCTACCATTGATAAGTCCATTTGTGTTTTTTTTTTTTTTAATCATTGTTTTTTTTGTAAAGAAATAGGAAAGGTAAACAAAGTTTATATACTCCGTAGCCTTCTTTCAATATTATTATAATCTAAACTAGCCTTCATTCAATATTATACAGTAATTTAAACTTATCAAATAATTTTTTTTTAATTACTATCTACAAAATAAAGGGTCTATCCAGTAAATTGCTACATGGTTGGTTTTTCAGTTGACATGGAATTATGGACCATATGGTGAGATTGAACAATCGTGCCGACCCCACTCATACCTATCTCTCCGACTTTTGATTTTTTTATTATTATTACAAGTTAAGAGGTACACGCTATACATTTTATTTATTTTTCGGTTTTGTTATTCATAGCCCTAAGGGCTAAAAACTAGCAAATTCCTCCAATTAATGGTATATATCTTATTCCAATGGAATCTATGACAAACTTAATATTAATAATTAGACCATCATTCAATTCTCATTAAATTGTATTTATTAAAATATTATTTCCTACCCACTTATTAGTTATACACATTATTTTAGGAAATAAAATAAGTTCATTGTACTGTAATTCTGTAAATCATCTTGAAAGCAATTTTTTTTTATAAAGGGAAAAATAAAAAAAAAGAGCACACGATTATTTAAACGACTTTGATTTCATTGGAATTGGTCTAAGTATGACAATCATAATATTACAAATTCGTCCTTGAACAATTTCTTGTACAACATTATCAATCTAAAATTTTCAAAAGTAAAAAGATTAACTACATGATTTAAGAAATTTTACAATTAAAATAGTAAAATATATTTCAAGAAGTTAGTAGACAATATCAGCAAGTCAATTTAGGCGCCAAGCATTAGTTTCATGGGGAATTAACATATTTGTGTGGGTATGTGCTATTTATTGATTTGTTTTTTTTTTTTTTTATTATTCCCCATAAATATTAAACATGTACACTATTATTTTTATTGAAAATATAAGAGAATCTAGACATGTATTAATGGTTATACATAGCCCTTAGGGCTATGTTTAACATTTGCCTTTTACTTATTTATTTATTTGAATAATGGTTTATGTTTATGGGTAGTTAAGATAGGATAATTTTTTTTTAATAAAAAAATATTTTTTAATTGTGGGTAAATAATGTAATTTTTAAAAAATAGAAGGGCATTTTAGAAAAAGCAAAATTTATCGACGAAGAAGTGTTTCTCTTTATATAGTACTATAGATTATTTTTATGCTTATTTTTTTTTGTTGTTTAGAGAGTCACAAGGGTGGTGGTGTTGAGAATCGATCCTGACATCTAATGAAATTGGGAAAAAAAACTCTAACCACTTGAGTTATTCCTCACTCTCTTTTATGCATATAATTATTAGTGCGCACTAATTAATAGGGATAAAATTAGAACATCAAAAATTATAGAAAGGATAAATGTGTCCAATATTCATGATATAAACTGAGTATAAATTTCAATCATTACACATAAAAAACAAAAAATGTAACAAATAAAAAGGAACGGAGGGAATAATATAACACGAGTATTAATTATCCTAGTTTACAATTGGTAGAAAACCATTGACAGTAATTCCACCATCAACAAATATAGTTTGGCCAGTAATGTAGGAAGATGCTGGCATGCAAAGGAAAGCTACTAATCCTGACACTTCCTGAGGCTCTCCTTCACGTCCAAGAGCTGTTCGTGACTTGATATCCTCCAAATTCTCCTTTTTACTGAGTAACTGTCAATATAAAGAGTAGGATCAAATTAGTAGAACGCAGGACTCGAATTTGGCTGTCTTATCCGACACGATGATAGGTCTCGTGTGGTGTCGAAGTGTGGGAAGATATATCCGACATGCCACACCTGAATACCTGATGTACAATAAGGTGTCGAAGTAACATAGCAAAGTACATTGTTTTGGAACATTAGGAAAAATGGTAAAGAGACCTAATTTATTTAGACGGATCAAAAGTTTATTAGTTTTATGCTTACATGTATATAATGTGTTAAATTTTGAACTATTTACATTTTAATAGATGATATGTAACGTTAATTCAGCGTAGAATTTTTAAGAACTTATAGCACGATTCTATGTATGTTGACTACACAAGTATTTTGAAAAAATGGATTACAAATTTACAAGCATACATATGGCTAATTATATAATTAGGGATGTAGGGAATAATTCATTGTAAAGGGGTGATTTGTAAAGTATATGACCAATTAAATAGATAATTAAGTGAGTAAAGAATATTACCACATCTGCCAAAGGTGTCCTAATGTACCCAGGAGCAACAGAATTCACCCTAATATTGTCTTTGGCCCATTCACATGCCAAATTTTTGGCTAGTTGGTTTAATGCCCCTACAAAATAATTAAACAAATTTCTTTTACAAAAATCATAATAATTCATTATTCTAAAATTTTCTTTAGTCTCATTATATGCTATAAACATTTTTTTTTTGTAAAAAGAATAAATAATTCATATAATGATATAAATACGAAGTATTAAAACTCAAAAAGCAGGACAATACATAAGATATTGTTCCGTTAGAGTGTACCTTTTGCAGCTCCATAAGCGGAGCCAACATTGATGCCAAAGAAACTAGCAATTGATGAAAGGAATATAATGTTGCCTCCCCCTGAGGCCTTTAACATAGGATAAGCAAGTTGAGAAAGATGATATGCTGAATCAAAGTTAAGGGCCATTACATATGAGAAATCCTCACTTGTGTAATCAATTGTTTCTTTCATTCTGCAACCACCAACATTGTTTACCTGAAATTCAACAACTAATGTAGCTTAATTCCCAAGAGTAAAGTTATATTAATTGATTCTTGATCTGTTATTTTTATGGTATACAAATGATTAAATTGACAAAGGCGACTCTTCTATAGTTATCAAAGGATCGAACTCAGGTCACTCCTGGGGGAGATGGAGGGAAAATTTCTGAACTCAAACTTACAAGTATGTCCAATTTTCCACCAAAGATGGTATTGATAGTCTCCATAAGCTTCTCTCTTTGAGGTTGAGAAGAAACATCACAGATTGAGCCACTCACTTGAAGACCTTTAGTCTTCCAATCAACCAAACAAGCATCGAGCTCTTCTTCATTGCGAGCGCATGTATAAACACATGCTCCTAGTTCCGCAAGTTCCTCTACAATTGCATGCCTGTTTATAACTCAATAGTCAATAATATATGTATCATAAATTCACAATACTAGACAAAAGAATAAAAAATTCCCATTGAACAAAATTTCATGAAAAAACACATAATATATATATCCTAAAACTAAGAAACCATTATAAATGAAAAAATAAAAAAAATAAAAAAAAAAAAAAAAAAAAAAAAAAAAAAACTGTGAAAGTTCAATTATACAATGATTTTAAGGACACAATTTTAACAGATGTTCGTGACAAGAACATACTAATATATGCTAATCTAGATTAGTTAATAAAGTATTTGAAGAATTAAATTGTGATGACCTAATTTGTAATCAATAAATAAATAAAATAAAATAAAAGGCACAAAAGAGTTGCAAATGGTATAGTATACCCAATGCCTTTGGTACCACCGGTGACAAGAACATTCATCCCTTGAAGTGACCATCGTTTGTTACTTCCATTACTATTTGCCTTTGCTTCCATTTTCTTTCTTTATAGAAGTCTATGCATTAATTAATAGATTGGTATTTTTTGTATTTGAAAATTTGCTTAAAACAATCATTTATAGACTAATATTGGTAGTAAAGTGGTCTCACTCTCCTCGGATTGATGTTCCAAATGGGACAAACGAAAAATAACGGATGAACAAATAAATGTGTTTTGTGGACTAGCAATTTTCTAGAAAAGGTGTGTGCTCTTTTAGATTGCTAATCTCTTTATCTGATTAAAATTGTCACCAAGTATTTTTGGCTTGTCTTGTTTGATAATCTTTCAAATTTGATGACTCTACCACTCAAAGCTCAATCATATACATCACTGTCTCGTTGATTGTTATCAATCTTATGGTGGTTAGCTCTTTGTTATTATTGGTGAACTCGGCCCTATCCCAAGGAGTTAGGACAATGCAAAATCTTCACGCTCACTTGTATAAATCAATATTTTTTATTTAAATATAGGCCCACAATTGTTGATATAATGATACATCACAAAATGCTATAGTAATTAGACATTTTTTGTATGTTTATTGTTATTCACATACGGTGTATATCATACTCTACAAAAAAAAGTGAAGAATCCTAAATTAATCTCTAAGATATCACATGAACATTTTGGTAAATATATCAACAATTTTATCCAATCATCGACACTATGGACTCACTTATTTAAGAAAATATCATAGGATAAACATTTTTTTTTTTCTAGAAAAACAAAAATTTTGCACATTTGTTAAAAAATTATGCACATCAAATTTGAGTCAAATTTTTTTTGTACATTTAGTTTAAAATATATGCACATTCAGCATTATACACAAAAAATCTTCTCATTCTAATGAACTTCTCATTTGACCAAATATATCTCTCGGTATCTTGGTTATTAACTTAATTAATATGGTATCATATACTATTATCCTGTGAATTTAGTGTGAATGTCTCAGTGATATGTTAGCTTTTAAGACTCTTAAATATTAAGCTTTCAACATATTCTATGTATTCTCAATACTAAACCTGGTTATTAGGCGGGTCGGGTCAAGATCGGTGCGGGTCGATTACGGGTCAGGGTCAAAGAGGGTCACATTTTATAGGGTCAATATAGGGTCGGGCCAATGAGGGTCGCAGGTCAATAATGAGGGGGCCTATAAAATATCAATTAAAATAAATATTGGACAAAGTCATTATTAAATACATATGAATACAAATTAATCTATATAATTATTTTTACATTATGTATTTTCTTTATCAACTAAATTGGAAAAACATGTTGGCCCTATATTGACCCTATCTAATAAGGAACCTGTCCATTAAAAGCCCTATAAGCTTGGCCCTGACCCTATTATCATTGGGGTACCCTGTCTAATAACCACCTCTACTCAATACAATTGCTTCAAAAGAAATTATATATATATTCTCAATACAAATTATCTCTAAGAAGTTATTCTCAGATCAAGCTCACACTAATGCAGCTTCATTTCAATTAGGTTATTCGAGTTCCTTCTCAGCATCTCCTGGATCAGCCTAAAAGTTCCTCCTCTTCACTGCCCATATCTCCATGGCCCTCGCCGCCCCCGGACATCATCACATCACATCATCATCATCCCAATCACCCCAGGATGTGTTCCATTCTAACGACGACATTGCCTTAGGTCCCCCCTTATCCTCCTCCCTGCCAACTTTCTTCTTCCCTTTGCACACCTTCTCCCACTCCAATCTCTTTTTTGCAATCATCCACTTACAATACATCTTACTTCGTCTTTCTCTCCTAACAATATCTACCATTCTCTCCCTATAAGTTTGCTTCTCTTGCTCTGAAAACCTTGAATAATACTTGTCATAATCATTGTTAGAAGGGTCAACTAAACCATCTTCTCGTAGCACCCTATACCACGCCATTCCCCATTCATCAACCCCAGCTATCAAGTTATTCGTTAGCCATTCGTGTTCAGGAGCAACCACCTCAACGTTTGGGAATGGAATCTCATCCATGGACTCGTCACTGGGAACGTCACAATGGTAACACAACGCGTCATCATCGGAAACTGTTCCAATCAATTTCCTAATCTCATAAAACGGATCATCCTTTTGCTTTTGCTTTTGCTTTTGCCTTCTCTTTCTCTGTTCTTTTTTAGAATTGGCTCGCCGCCCCATTATCAATTCTCTAACAAAAAGATCAACCATCGAGTTAATAATAGTACCAAATATTTGGATAGGAAGAGCTTATTAATGTAAAAATATTCAATTCATAGCCAGAAATAAGCAAAGAATATTGATATAACAATTAATAATAACAATTATGTAAATATTCACTTATTATAACTACAAAATTAAAGAAGTAGGTCAAGGTAGTATTATTGAAACAACAATTTTTAGAAAAAAATTATAAGAAACATCCTAACTAAATTATCCCAACTCTAAATTATCCACCAATAATCCTGTATAATAGTTTTACTTTTCTTTCTTCAACAGATAAGAAAAAGAAAAGGAGACAAAGATTATGTAACATTGAAGGTTATGGGCAGAACTAACATTAGTCCTAATATAGGAGCAGTCAAATCTCATAATGTTCAAAACTTCAATTATCAACTTATTGCATGTATGTATAATATATTGAAAGATTGAATGACTTTACTTGCATACATAAATAACATATTCAAACTTGGTAAACAGATAAAGTAGGCTTAATCACCCATTTTCAGCTACACAAGGTTTGCTAAATACCTCAAATTCACTACCTAAAAAACGTCGTCACTAGGATGGGGGGACTTGCAGTACAAAGGATTGTCCACTACAATGTAGAATAAACAGTTGGTTTATTTTTAACCAAAACTATGAGATGATGTTAGATTAGAAGTTAATGGAATAAGTCAAGAAGCATGAGTTATGATCAGGTACGTACTGTATGAATGCAGTAAGAAGAACGGCATATCCACATTAACCAATTCATATATTATTGCAAACCTTATAAACCCAACTCATAATATATTGCAAAAAAAATCACCTACAAACTCCAATTACTCCATGTACCCAACTCCTATTTTCTCAAAAAACATCCATTAAAATCACAACAACAACCACAACAAAAAAATCCATGTCGAAAAAAAACAATTGATATTCTCAAGATGTGCACCAATCCAGAGATTTATTGCTTATTCATCTTGCACTTTATGTGATTTACAAGCTTAGACTTGGTGATGACTCGTATGAAAAACATTATAATAAATCAAATATCAAGCAATCCAAGTTTTCAATTCAATTCTTGATTTATTAATGACAAGCAATATTTATTCACCAAATCCTTAAGTGCCTCGGTGTATAAACACCTTAAGTGCATAAGACACCCCAAATCCTTAACCTCGTCTTGTAAGACTTTAATTCTTCATTTACTCATTCTATCTCAATAATCATGACGAGTAATAAAATAATTCATTCCACATATACCTTTGCCTCTAAACTCATCTTGCAAATTAACACATGAATAATACTAACAAGATAAATTAATACACATCCTCATACTTGAATCAAAACCATCCATCAAATCAGGCATTAATCACAATTAATACCATACAATTTCAACCAATCCACAAGTTTCTAACATGATTCTAAGTTTTCCAAATCCTTAAACATGCTCCTAAATTAAAGGTTTTTGTATCCTTGTACGTACCTTTAGTAATCGAATTGGTATGCCACTTTACTAACTAGAAATCACCTTCCATAAAGTCCTCCCTATACCAAACAATAAGATCTCAATCAATACCCAAGCAATCAAATTTACAGCAATATATAATAACTTACTTTAAAACCTTCAAAATCCAATTAAACAACAATTTAAAACCTTCCCTTTAATAAAAATCAAAAGCTTGTATATAGTTCATTAAGTTTTCTTCATAAAAACCTTAAAATACACGTTTATACATGAAATTACAGCAAGTTTAGACCTTTATAAAAATCTGTAAATTAACTTTGCATAAAATCTTGGAATTATAGTAATCTTTGAAATTATCTACATTATAGATTAAGTTAGTAAACTTTAAACCCAAAAATACACCAATTAAATGTAATTAGACTATTAGAGGCTTCAAAAATGTGAACAATAATCTGAAAATTTATTCTTGAGATTAGAATTTAAAATTCAAGGCTTTATAATCATAAAATACGCACAATCATTGTTTTATGAGATTAGAAACATAAAAACATGAAATTAATACAAAACATAAAATTGAAACTTTAATAAATATGAAACTTTATTTATAATCAAAATAATTATGCATAAACATAATTTAGACATAGTATGATTAGGTAACTTAATCAACACGATTCAAACCCTAAAATCATGAAAAATCAAGGTTTTAAGCCCTAATCTTCTTAGCTAAATAAATCTGAAATTTTATTTCATATTTTAAACATAATAAAACTTATAAAGTTATAATCTTTTATAATTCATATACATAATCAAACCATAATAATAACAATTTAATAACAAAATTTGACAAAGATTGAAACTTGATCTAAATAACAAAAGAGAAAATGAAAGGAGAGAGAGAAGGGGCGGACTGGTGTTGTACGGTGGTGGTGGAGGGAGGTGCGGCAGCAGGGACGCCGGTGGTAGTGGCGGCTGAGCAGCGGCAGCAGGTTCGAATTTATTTTTTATTTTTATTTTTTCTCTTCTGGTTTGTGAATAGCAAGGAGAGGAGGAAAGCAAGGAGAGGAAATTGATGTGAATTAGGGATTGATTTCCAAAATTAAGTGGATTGGGCTTTGATGGAAGTTTAACCTCTCTTTATTTATTTTTGGGCTACTAACACCATTGATAAAGTATGTTGGTGTATAGAATAAGAGAAATTAAATTAGATTAGTGGTTATTGATTTAATAAAGTTTAAATAAAGTTTGCGTAAAAAAATTATTTAATGAAATCAAAATACAATGTCGATGTTTTGTTTTTTAATTTCTGAATGTAAGGTGGAAAACAAAAAAAAAGGAGCCTAAGAGGAGCCTCACTGCTCTAACAGAGTAATAGTCACTCCATTACCAATGCGCCAAACTTATACATTTGATTATTTACCTCACAAAAATTTCTTATAACCCTTTAATTAGCAGAAGTGAGGTACAATAATTTTTTGAAATTGTATACTTTTTTTTTGTAGCCATTTGGTTCATTCGATTAATGATTTATTATCACTTCGATGTTTTCTTACTATCATTTGTGATTTATCTAGATGGAAGTGTTATATTCAAATCAGACAACTATCCTCAATTAAAAGCTACGCTAATAATGTTGCTTGAATTGTTATGAGTATTAATAATGTGTATTGAAAGAGGAGATGTATTAATAATCTATACTTAGTATTTAAAAACTCAAACCACAATAATTCATATGCCACATGTCCTCACAACTTATTCGTATGCCACATGTCCTCACAACTCACTCATATGCAAATATTACTTCCCTTACCTTTTCAATATTAAAAAAATTAAATTAAAAATATTACATAATGTTAAAGCCTTTGTGCATTCCGTAACTTGTACATTTAAGTAAGAAAATGAAGTGTTTAATTTCTACCATGATAGAATAAAGTTGAATTAACTATTACATAAACATATGAATTATAATAAAAATAGTCTTTTTATCTCTTAAACTTAAAATATAGCTTAAACTAATATGTTCATTTCATATTCTACAATATTCATGTATATATACTTAACTAAATTAATTATTCTTTCACAATTCCACTCACTTTTAAAAAAAAAAAAAAAAAAAAAAAGTTTTCACAAGCATTTACCTCAAAAGTCATGTAACAATAGCTTCGTAGTTTCAACTATTGAAAAGCATACATTTATATAAAAATAACCTATATTATAACCCGTGCATTGAACGGGCCAAAATGCTAGTGTTGTTTGAATTGTTATGAGTACTAATAATGTTGTTTGAACATAACGTGTTCAAAGAGGAGATGTATTTTACATGTCATAAGACTCATAGCTTTCTCATAGACGGATATTAAATCTAAAATATCTATTGTCTGGTTCGAGCATCTCAAAACCATATGACAATAATATAGTGGACACAACTTTCTTATTTCTTTAATGTGGGATACACTTCCCAACACTTTCTACACTCTTTAATGTGGGACAATACACCACTCAGTCACTCACAAATGAGTTTTCTTATGGGCTCAACACTCCCCCTCACATGTGAGTTGTCCATAATATTGGCCCAAATCATAACACAACTCAACTTAGTTATGATACCATGATAAACGGACCTGGGTCACACCCGACACAACTGCCCACTTTATACGACCAAGGAAGTTCCACCTAAAACCATATGGCATTAAGTGGAATAGCCCCTTAGCCTTATAAAGTGAACATAACTTTCTTATTTTTTCAATGTAGGATACACTTCCCAACACTTTCTACACTCTTCAATGTAAGACAACACACCACTCACACGTGGGTTTTCTCATGGGCTCAACATACAAATATACAATCCTCCATATTTAGTTATTTGCACCATACACAAACACAAATTTAAATACTATCAAGATTATTTAATCGAGTTTAAAAAAGGTAATAATTAATCAATCTTATCAAAAAAAAAAAAAAAAGTATACACTACTCCCTTTGTCCATAATTGTTTGCTCCACTTTCCTTTTTAAGGTGTCCCCAAAAGATTGTCCCATACTACTTTTGGCATGTTTTCCCACTTGCACTCTCTCTATCTCTCTCCTCATTGATATTTGTGTCAACCCATGTGCACCATTTTTTGCCCAAAGCCTTAATAAAGTAGATTTATAATTTGGGGCAAACAATTGGGGACAGAGGGAGTAATAAATAAAAAATTAAATAAAAATTAAATAATTATATAAATATATATATACTAATTACTTCGTATTATAATTTATCATAAACTCTAGTCTAAATACTCTCTCCGTCCCCAAAAGTTTGACCTTAATAGCCAAATTTTAGCCTCAAAATGATCATCCCATTTGCATTATAATACCCATCAATTTGCAACAATATTTGTGCAAAATTAGCTTCACTATATAATTTTTTTTCATGTACTTTTATTACTAAATCTCTCTAGTTTTTTACAAACCCTATGTAAATTTTATCTTTCTAATATATTTTTAATTCTTTATATTTAACTTTCTTTATACCCGTGAAATCAGCCTAAAAGGGTCGTTATTTCGGAAACGGAGGGAGTATTAAATTTTGTAATAAATGTTTTCCAAAAGATATAGTAATATATAAATGACAAATATACATTAACCAATGTAAAAGTTAAGAGTTATATGTACAACTTTTTTGAATGGAATATGTTTTTCTTAAAAAATTAATGCTATATGTAGCTTTTAGGGCTATGAGCTTATGAATAAGCATTTAAGATCTTTCCTAACTTGGTACTCCCTTCGTCCCTTAATACAATGCCTCTTTCTCTTTATTATGTGAGGAATAAATGCTCAAAAGAGGCATTGTATTAAGGGACGGAGGGAGTACTAATTTAGGGGTAATGCTATATATAATTCTTAGGGTTACATATAAGCATTAAATATATATATTCTTGAAAAAAAAGGTATAAAATTAGGAATTCATGACAAAAACACATGCAAATCAGTGTAATTAGTGTGTTTTTGTCATGATTTCCGAAATTTAAACAATTTTCTAGAGTATTTTTAATGTTTATATCTAGCCCTTAGGGCTTTGCATAAAATTTTTCTTAATTTCCGTTCAAAAAAACATTTTTTTTAATTTAGACATGTATGACAAAATCACACGCAAATCAATATAATTAATAATGTATTTTCATTTATTTATTTTTAACGAGTATTTTTTTTTATTTTAACTTCTTATACGTAGTATATATAGCCCTATAGCATTTTCCTTCTTAAAATATTAAAGTCCTCATAAAAAAAACAAGAAATATTATATTGCAAGTATTAAGAAACGGCTTCCTTTCCCAAAAAAAAAAAAAAATACTCCCTCCATTTTAAATTATATTCCTACTTCTAGTGTATGTAATTTAGGAACCGAGTGGTATTATGAAATGGATTATTAATTAAAAGGAAAAAAAAAATGGAGTAATAGAATTAAACAAAAGTTAATTGAGAATGAATTTTAACCGTTGATATTATCGAAATTTGACTATTGAAAATGTATACGTGCCACTAATCTTGTTTCTATGTTTTCAATTTTTGTTTAGTACTTTTAAGCTTTTCACTTTTATTACACTGCACCTCACTCTCTCTCCTCCATTGAAGCGTATTCTTCCCACTTCTCCATTGAAGCATGTATCAGGCTTCCTCTCCTCCATTGAAATTCAACTTCTGAGGTAAAGATTTTATCTTTTTTTTATTATTATTATTATTTAATTTCGTTGAATTTCAATTAATTTCATAATCTAGGGTTTATGTTAATCTAATTGTCAGTATATTCAAATTAGGGTTCTTCTGAGATGAATTATTGAACTATTTCTCATAATTAACTGAAGTTATGAAAAATTAGAACTTGCAATTTTGTTGATATTTTTAAGCAAGAAGAATTATGTGTGATTATTGATGCTTAATTTGATAAATAAGTCCAATTTTATTGCTATTGTGTTGCTGGCTTTTGTATATCACCCTTCTATGTTCCCCTCTTGCCCTTGCTTAAAGACAGTTCAAATAACTGTTTCCTGTTTTTTATAAAAATATTCTTTCTTGTTTTGGCAAGATTTGAATTTTCTATATTACCCGATTTCGATTACGGGTTTATGGGCGTATTCGGCAAAATTAGCTATTGCTATTCTAATAGTGAATAATGGGTTAATGTTAGTTGTTAGAGATTAGCTATTAAGGTAGTTGGTTTTTTAAAATAAGTGATCAATTCAACTAGTTTTGGTTGTAGAATAATTAGTGTATTGTGGAAGTTGACATGTTTCAATATGTTACACAGCTTACACTACCTAGCTATATGAACTCGAATTGCTATTGAGAAAAGTTATTTTAAGTCGAACTAATTTGATGCTGGTTATTGTAGTTAGTTTGGGGGTGATACCCAATTTCTGGGATCACAGACTGTATTGCATTTGCCCTTTGCGACTTTCTCTACACCAAAACAAAAAATAAACTTGAATTGCTACCGTAGTTTGGTACTTATGGTAGACTTTTGATTGAATGATAATGCGAATTGTTATCCTCTTGGTTTCCCATGTTGATGCGGTGGAATCAAAACCAAGCATAATTTGAAAAATGAACCTTTTTGGGTACTTTTCTAGAGGAAAAGGTAACCTGGGTGGGTTGGGTCCCATGTTTAGGGTATTAAAGGGTTGATGAGGAATAATAGTGATCAAATAAGGAATAAAACAAAAGGTAGGTATAACTCTAAAAAATGCCTTGCCAAAAGTTACTCTAAAAACCAGATGTGGAAGAAGGTGAATGCTAAGAAAAATAGAGGGAGTATTTGAGAAGTTTATGCCAAACGCAGACTGTATTAGGGAGTCTTAAGGTTCCTTTATCTATATTATTAGAATGTACCATAGGATGAATACGTTTGAGTGTTTGACCTTTACCATGAAGAGTTATGAGCATCTAGTTTTTCATGTATTAATCCTCGTGTTAAAGTACTTTCAATGTTATGTTAGGATGCAGTTATATTTCAAAAGAGTTCCTGAAGTGGAGAAAACAGCATTACTTATTTTCAGATAATTTAATAAGGGCATAACACATGTTTGTCTTAAGCTGCCTTTAGCTTGACATGATTTCAGATGTATTGCAGGTGAAATTTCATTGTTTTTGGCTGTTATATATGGAGATAAATCAAGTTAATCAACCACAGCAGATGAGCGGCTCTGTCCCGCTGTCAGATGCTTCTGTGAAGAGAAAGCGAGGTCGTCCTCGAAAAGAAAGAAGTGAAAATCCTGGAAAAACCCATCTACCGCGTAAAAGGGATCAAAACCAAAATCATGGTGAAGGTGCCCCTGTGCCCCCAGGATTTGAAGAAGTAGATGGGAATCGAAAACCACCGTCAGCTGATACAGTTAGGAGCAATAAAGAAGATTCAGTGATTGGCCAAATAGTTACAGGTGTGATTGAGGCAGTATTTGATGCTGGATATTTGTTGTCAGTTCGTGTTGGTGATTCTGACACAAGTCTGAGAGGTATTGTATTCAAGCCAGGACATTATGTTCCTGTTTCAGCTGAAAATGATGTGGCCCCTAGTTTGCAAATGATCAGAAGGAATGAGGTTCCTTTTCCATCAAGGAACCAAGGTCACAAGCGTCGGGGGAGAGAGAGAAGTAACCACCATGCTGCATATCCATCAAATGGTTCACCTACTTCTAATCAATTGGCTAGGGTTCGAGCTACACAAATGTCTATTGTGGCAGCGCAACCTACCCACCCAGTGGGAGAAAGAGGCACTGTGGTACCAGTGATTCTGCAACCAGTGAGCTTGTCAAATGGTGCAACTCCTGTGGTTGAAGCACCTCCCATTGCTTCTCAACCTGCTCATTTGGCAGCCTTGAAAAGCAGGTTGCCTCCTTTGACCCAGGAGGCAACACCCAAAGGATCTCAGACAGATAGTGGTTCTGCTTCGCAACCAATTGATGACCATGTCGATGCTGCTAAGAGAGTACAAGGGTCACCTGAGTCTGCAGAAACTCAAAACAATAGTGGACAGTCAAACAAAGTGTTGCCAGATACTCCGGGGCTTACCCCAGAACAAGTCCAGGACTTGAGTAAGCCCCTGTTGGTTAAGCCCCTACAAGCCATTCGCTCAGAGCCCCCAGATCAATCTGCATCTATACCCCCCACTTTTCCTGAGAGAAGAGCAGGCAAGATGACAGAACTGCTAATGGTGAGTGAAAGTCAAAAACTTTAATTCTCATCGTGTAAGAGTTTTTTTTATGTCAATTTTCAATTTTTATGCAACCTTTATATAAGTTTTCTTTTCTTTTTTCTTTTTTTTTTTTTTTTTAACTTTTAATTTTTATATACTACCTTTAAAAAGGATTTCTTAGAGTTTTACTGGGCTTACTAGCTGGATGATTGTTTTAGGTTTGACCTTTGAAATACTTCTTACTATGTTACTGAAAGTATTAATTTCATTTTATACAAATCGCTAACTGAACATAACTGCTCTGCTGCTTTGCAAAGGCTGTACAGCAAGAAAACTTGATGGAGAGGCAAATTTCTGATGGTCAACATCAAGACTTCAAGAGCCCGGGAAACTGAACTGAGCAAACGAAAGAACTTGGAAAATCATTCTTCAGAATGGATGAAAATTTTGCTCAAAGATCATATCTTCCCGAAGTCTCCATGTTTGGGTATCTTGTACAGGAAGACCAATTGAATCTCTAACTACCTTCTGATTGGTTAAGACAGTATGTCATAGAGCAGCTATGAAAGAAATTTCATCTAGACTGGGCATTTTTCCAAGCTGCTCAAGCTGCAGTATTCTGTTCAAGGCAAAGGGCAAGGTGGTTGTGCTTAGCTTGCATGGGGTTCGAGTTTTTCAATCATTGTATGTTTTTTGAAAGAACTGTATGAATATGTTTATGAAAAGCTCCATCGTAATACTGTTGTGGTTAGTTTCAAGTTACACATGAATTGTTTAGTGTGGTATGTTGGACTCGTCGATTATGGATGGGATCTTTTTAGACTTCAAGTAAGATCCAATTCCAGACAGGCAGATGGGGAGGCCCCAACACTTTAAAAGTAATTAGTGCATTTTAAATTATGGGTGAAGCTCAATGGGCTTTTGTATTCATTTTAAAGGCTTAAATCTTCAAAAAGTCTTTCGTTTCTAGGCTAACTTATTAGTACTTGCTTGCTAAATTTACTCCATAATGATCTGCCAGGCTTCAGGTTCTCTCTCCTGTAATACTGATGTTGATTCGGTGAATTTAAAGGTTTGCGATGGTGAATAATACGTAGTATTAGCCATATGGTGGTTGATGTGGCTTAGTATTTGGTGATGGCTTTGGTGAGGCAATGGTGGTTATGGCTGGTGGTTGATGGCAGTCAAAGGCAGTGAGACACTGAACAATGGCAATTTGTTTGACTGCCTTAAAATTTCAGTTACCTGATCCAACATTTCAAATATGCTGCAAAATTAATACTCGTACTACGTAAATTATGTGATCCAGAAAAAAAAAAAGAAAAGAAAAAAAAAAAGATGATTTTCAAGTCTGATAGATTGCATTATTTTTGAAAATTATGTGATTCGATTCAAAATTCCATGGTCAAACCCAAATATCCAATAATGTCATCCGGATTAGATACATATTGCATTTTTTCCAATCGGATATGTCCTAGAGACCGAGAGTACAATAACATACATTAGTACAGAGAAATAAAATATAATTTCATACCTATATTTTGCACTTAAAAAAATGAAGAAAGTATTTGGAAAAATGTCTCAAACTCGATATTGTATGAAGTTAAGTGAATATTAGTTCAAAAATTCCCTCAAAAAAAATACTTCCTCCGTCCTTAAATTACATTTCTCTTTAGAAATTTATACGGGAATTAAAGAGGAAAAAATGAGACAAATAACAATAATTAGATAATGCAATGGGAAGTACAAAGATAGATTAGTTATTACTCATGACATGTCATCAATCCTTTGCAAAAAAAAAAAAAAACAATCCCTTTTGCATGCCCCCGGTTTACAATAATTTTATTGCACATCGAACATTTTGCGAAAAGTGACCCCTTTTCGTATAAAAGTGACCCTTTTTCTTCTACAAAAGTAACCATTTATTTCACAAAAGTGACCCTTTTGTTTCACAAAATTCACCCCTTTTATTCACAAAAGTGACCCTTTTTTTTCACAAAAGTGACTTTTTTTTCACAAAAGTGACTTTTTTCACAAATGTGACCCATTTTATTCACAAAAGTGACCCCTTTTATTCACAAAAGTGACCCTTTTTTATTCACAAAAGTGACTTTTTTTTACAAAAGTGACATTTTTTTCAACAAAAGTAACCCTTTTTTTTTTCACAAAAGTGACCCTTTTTTATTTCACAAAAGTGACATTTTTTTCAATAAAAGTAACCCTTTTGAACACATAAAGCGTATATGATCCACTAAAGTTACCCTTTATTCTAATAAAAGTTACCCTTTTAAAATAAAAAAAAGTTACCCATTATATCTTCACTCATAAAACATTACTCTTATATTTGCAGAAGTTACCCATAATCTAGAAAAAGTTACCCATAATCTACCAAAAGTTGACAAAAAAAAATGAAAAATCAACAAAATAAACAAAAAAAAAGATAAAAAAAAAATAACAAAAAAGAGAAAAAAAAAAAAAGTTAGATCACAACTTCAGAAATTATATTGGTACTTCATATAACATCGATTCCTTTGTTTGAAAAGTACAAGGAGCAATTATCTTTTTCTTTTTTGTTAAAAAAACACTTACCATTATAATTAGAAGCTGAGAAAAAAAACCATAAAGTAATTAAGACAATAAACTTGAAAATCGAAGGGATATAATAAATGGAAGGCAGAAAAAACTTGAATCACCCAAAAAGAATAGAAGAGAAAGTCTGAGTAGATGAAGAGGAGAGAGAAAAAAAAAGGAGGAGAGAGAAGTTCTATGGGAAATGAGAATGAAGGAGCGAGAAATATGTTTAACTTAGGTGGGTGACTAAAACCTTCCTTTTCTTTCCGCCGCCATTCAGTAAAATACTGTACACCGGGTTTTATTAAATATTTGTTAAAAAAAAAGGGACCTATCACATACTCCTAATTGAAAATTTTTAACCAATCATATTCATTGTAATTTGGCACAAGGATTATGAGTGAGATTAGGTAAGGTTGAATGAGAAAACATTAAATATAAAACAGAAAAAGGGAGTTGATTTACTTAAAAAAAACTTATCAAAAATAGAAAGGAGGAATGTAATTTTAAAATACCAAAAATAAAAAGGAGGAATGTAATTTAGGGAAGGAGGGAGTATCAGTTTAAAAATAGATGCTCTAAATTCATTATACAAAATGTTTTAAAAAAAAAAACTTTATACAAATAACACAGGATTAAAAAAATTAAGCTTTGCTAAAATATCAGGTCCAAAACTGAAATTGTAAACTCGTACATCAATTGTCATTTGTGGCTATCTCTACATAAAAATTGGGAGCCCAAAAAAGCCCAAGAAGGTAAAACCGTAGAAGATGATGAGTTTAATTCAGACTTCAGAACACAACAGAGCAACAGAGTAATGGCTGTAATGACAACATCAATTTCTGCATCATCACCTCCACCATTTTCCCCCATTCCCGCCAACTCCAAACACAGAAACAATCCTAACAAAATCCCTCCATTTTCAACCTCCATTAAAACCCAGAATCCATCACTTCAGAAATCCCCAAAATCCCCCAAAATTTCCCCCAAAAATCCCCGAAAAACAGCTCCAAAACGAGATAAATCAACATACCCTTGGTCATTTCCACTGCAAAAGAAAAACCCACATTCAATTTACAAAGATATTCAGAGATTTGCAAGAAGAAACCAGCTCAAAGAAGCTCTCACAATTCTAGATTATTTAGAGCAACAGGGTATTCCTGTAAATGCCTCAACTTTCTCTGCTGTGATTGCTGCTTGTATTCGTTCCAAATCGAAAACCGAAGCGAAACAGATTCATGCCCATATCAGGATTAATGGGGTTGAAAACAATGAATTCCTTAAACCCAAGATTGTTCAAATGTATGTTTCTTGTGGATTAGCGGATGATGCCAAAAGGGTATTTGGTGATGATGAAAATGAAGAATCTAACAGTGTTTATTCATGGAATGCATTGCTTAGAGGTAATGTTGTTGTAGGTGGAAAAAAATACAAGGATTTATTGTATACTTTTGCTAGAATGAGAGAAACTGGGGTTGAATTCAATGTGTATAGCTTTTCTTGTTTGATCAAGAGTTTCGGCGGCGCGGCGGCTTTCAGGCAAGGATTAAAGATACATGGATTGTTGATTAAGAATGGTTTTATTGGTAGTGAGATGTTGAAGACAAGTTTGATTGATATGTACTTTAAATGTGGTAGAGTTAAGCTTGCTTATCACCTGTTTGATGAAATGTCTGAGAGAGATGTTGTTCTTTGGGGTGCAATGATTGCAGGGTTTGCTCATAATAAGTTGCCTAGAGAAGTGATTAGGTATGCTAGGTGGATGATAAAGGAAGGTGTATTGCCGAATTCGGTTGTGTTAACTTCAATGCTTCCCATTCTAGGGGAACTTGGGGCTTGGAAGATGGGTAAAGAAGTTCATGCCTTTGTGATCAAGAGAAGAAATTATATGGAGCAGCCGTTTTTGAAATCGGCTTTGATTGATATGTATTGTAAGTGTGGTGATATGACTTATGGGAGGAGAGTGTTCTATAATTCCGGTGATAGGACGACTGTTTCATGGACTGCTTTGATATCTGGTTATATATCAAATGGTAAGCTTGATCAGGCTATAAGGTCAATTATATGGATGCAGCAAGAAGGGTTTAAGCCTGATGTCGTTTCGTTGGCAACAATTCTTCCGGTTTGTGCTAAGTTGAAGGCGTTGAGGCAAGGAAAGGAGATACATGGGTTTTTGTTGAAGAATGGATTTCTGCCTAATGTATCATTGATAACATCATTGATTGTGATGTACTCGAAATGTGGTGTCTTGGAGATTAGTCGTAGGTTGTTTAATGGTATGGAGGCAAGAAATGTGATTGCCTGGACAGCTTATATGGTTTCTTGTATTGAAAACGAGCATCCAGTCGAAGCCCTTGATGTATTCAGGTCAATGCAGCAATCCAAGCACAGGGCGGATTCTGTTACAATGGCTAGAATATTAGAACTTTGCCACGAACTCAGACTGTTGAAACTTGGGAAAGAACTCCACGGACAAGTATTGAAGAAGGGCATTGAGTACGTTCCTTGGGTTTTAGCACGACTTGTAAAGTTGTATGGAAAATGTGGAATGATTGAGAAAGCAAAGTTGTTGTTTGATCTCTACCCTTGCGATGGTGTAGTAGCACCAACTGCCATGATGTTGGCTTATGGATATAACAACTGTTTTAGAGAAGCGCTTGCTCTTTTTAACGAAATGTTGATTGAAGGTAAGCCTCCTAATACGGACACCTTAGATGTGGTTTTAGCTATTTGTGATCAAGCTGGATTCGCAGATGATGCAGGTAAAATCTTCCAACTCATGACTCGAAAATATAGAATCAGGCCATCTAAAGAGCAATACGCTGTCATGGCTGGACTTCTTACTCGTTCCGGTCAGCTTCAGGAGGCTGAAAGATATATTCAATGGGGTTCCAAGTTGGATTCTTAAAATCAAGTAGTCCCTTCTTCGGAGATTGTGTAGGAATTGACAGGTGCAATAGGAAGCAAAACTATTGTGTACTTGTATTGTATCTATGTATACATAGCATTCATTGACAAACTATTCATAAGAAAGGTTTTCCTACTGTAATTTTTTGTGCAGCTTTTTCATTCGCAACCTTGATTGTCATATTTCATTCTGTTAAGTGTTAATGTCTGGTTCTGCCCCCGTTCTAAAATTAAAACATGCTGAGAACCTGAGACTTAACTGAGTTGTTCCCTTATTCTCTTTACTTATAACTCTGAATCTAGTTAACGATCGTTTATCAGCCACAGTGATATTGTATCCTCATGCAACAAGTGATTATAACACCAAAATCAAACAAGTCAGGCTTGAATCGAGTTTACATTAAACCCTAGACTAGATACCAGGCTGAGAGCTGAGTGTAAATACTAAAATCCATACAAGAGCACTTGTGGGTGTACTTAGCTTAAGTGATGGAAGTTAACATCAATGATTTCAATGATGACTTTAGAGAAAACATTCCTAGAATGCCTTTACTAAGAAGTCAATAAGAACTCATAAGTAGGCGAGCTCTGGGGCACATAAATGAAACAGCAGATATCTTGGGTAGAGGAATGACCTGATGAGGTACGATAGCCCCTCAATCTGCTGCTTATTGAAATCAAGCCTAAAATACAAGACATTGCTTAAATAATTTTAGATTTGGCGTGATTTACCTGATTATCTATCTAGTTCAATTGCGTAGTTTGTATGTAAGTTGATTATTTTCATGTTTTGTGAACTCGTAGGCAACCTTGTTTGATAAAACTAAAGGAACGGGAAATGGATTCTCTTGCCTCCAACGAGGTTGGCTTTGTGTAGTTTACTAATGAGATGAATTTGAACTAGCTGTCCAACTCGTCTGATAAGAGATTGTCCTGGTTTGGCTGGTGAGTGGTGGCAGCGGACTTGTTAACAACCACGGTGGCCCGTTCAAGGTTACCTTCTCATCAAAGTTTGGAATATCCGTATATACTGCTTCCGAGCAGAGACAACTGATAGGTGGGTATTGAGATAGCAGAGTATGGGGATTAAGAGGCTCATAATACGTACGGACAGCCAAACCAGGTCAAATGGGTTAAACACCTTGTTCAAATTTATAAAGTTAGTCAACAACCCAAGACAGAGGCAGGGAATACATTTCCTATTCATTTGCTTTTGTCAACCAAGTTCACATTTGTTAGTTCACAATTAACCAGCTTACATGCACATTTGCAAATTTGCAATCCTTGGGTAAAATCAGAAATTACATGAGCAATAAATGAAATTACTAACATTTAAGGATTTAAACAAAACATGAATGAAGAACAGGTGAATATAAGCTCCTATATTCTCTGTCAAATGATCAAATTCTTACATGAGTGTTCAGGGATAAACCAATTAAATGATTGATGTTAAAGAAAATACCCGTCAATAGATCTTGAGCAACTGTAAAACCCAATGGAAATTTTGATACCATATGCTGACAACAAAGAATTCTCTAGATCGACGCATCACCCCTCCCTCTTCTAAAACATGGGTGGAGAAATGTTTCCTTCAAACTGCACTCTTGACATACCCAAAACCTAGTCTCAAGAAAAAAATATACTCTGTGCCAAAACTTCTGTGGATTAAAAATTTGGACCAGCTCCAAAGAAAAGCAAAGAAAATTTTCTATTAAGGATATTTGTTTATGGAAACTTGGCGTTATAAGGATTATTAGGACCTAAGATTGGAATAGGATGCATGGAAGGAAAATGAGGAGATGACAGGCGATGAATGTGACTTGGCATTGTAAATGACTGCGGTCCATTTGTCATTAAAGGTGAAGTCATGGAAATTGGCAATGCCGGACCAGTTAGAACACCTGCAAATGAAAACCAAAGCATTATATGAAGTGTCAATTTACAGCAAGCAATGATTATCAGTATGACAGTTTCAATTACAAGAATTTTACAATAATAAACACATCTCTACTTCTGAATAGAAAGGAAACTTTTTGTTCCTTTTTTGATAAGTTAATTGACTTAGGACACTTATGCCCCCAACAGAAGTATAATAGAGGGGACTGACATGCCAAATATCGATTAGATTCCAATCAAGGGACACGAATTAGTAATTGGGAATAAAAATAAAAAAGAAATCAGCATTAAACTTCAGAGAAGCAATATGAGCCACATTGAATACAATTTCTTGTCTTAAATTGTGCAACATCAGGCACACCAAACTCTAATGATATAGACACTTTAACTAGTGCAGGCATTGGGAGATGAGAACTTAAAATCGACAGACATAATTCTGTACAAACATGTTAACATTCGTCACCACTCACCAGTGCAGTATTGCACCAAATATCTCAAATTACACATTATTATCATACCTTCATTCTTGGCAAAACCAACATGGATTGGATGTGAAGCCAACAAGGGGTGTGGAGCTTGTGATGAGAGAGATCCAGGAGCCTGAATCACGTCCTTCAAATCAAAAGGTAGCCAATTTAGTAAGTAGCAAAAGCAAACATTTAAAAATGGATGAAAGTGATCAAAGAGCCCCAGCAGAAATGAAAGGAGAAGTAAATAACAAACATGATATTAAAACTCACATGAGAAACTGGATGAATATAGACGACCTGTCCAGGCCTTCCAAATATGCCCTGCAGGAGTTGACACATTCATTAGGTGATCAAGTGAGCAAATCTCTATAAGAAAGCAAAAGGCTTTCGCTGATGTTGCTGCACAAAGCTGAACCAGCAGCAGTGCAAAAATAGTTCAAAATTTGTGAGTAACTGAGATATAATTCAAATATTCCATACATTTTGAGAATTAGGATGTACATATGAAGGCATGGCTTGAATTGGTTGGTACTGTCCACCCTGTCTAATAGGCTGTGCTCTTGTTACAATATGACCAGCAATCTGCTTGCAGAATAAGGATAAACAAGGTTAATGAAATTCAAGCAATATCAAATGCAATTCTTAGTTCTTACACTCCCAAGAAAAGTAAAGGTGACTCCTTTCCTTAGGCTTTATTCTCTTCACCTCATTATTGTTGAGCTTAAATTATTTAACTGAAATAACAGAGTAATTTTTTTTCCTACTGATCAAAACTGATTTTTACAGATTAAGATAGCTGTTTAATGATTTCCTTTATATTTGTTCTTTGGAGTTACTGATTTTTTCTGAACAGCTTCACTGATTAAAGTTGATTTTTACCTTTTTTAAACTCTTTTTTTTTAATCGATTAAAGCTGATTATTACTGTATTTTTTTTAGGATAAAAGAACAGGGACTCATAGTGAATCAAGAAGACCAGATAGTACATACAGGTTGATTATATTGAAGACCATTATCAGCATTCATTGCTGTTGAAGTAGCATAAGGAACAAACTTAACAGGCCAAGATGAACGTGGTAAAATGGATCTGTTTCCAACTTCTGGCTGTGCACCAGCTACCTGTATTGCAGGAATGTGGTTGGGTACATAAGGAACACTTGGAACTGTTGGCACCAAAGGTGGTGTTGATCTGAAATGAGGAAGAGACGGTGAGAAATCTTTCGCACTTGGATTGAGCTTGGATTCCTGAAATATAGCATGAAATAGGATATATCATATTGTGAAGTATACATGTAACATTAGTAAATCAGAAGACGGATAATATTAGAGGTACTCAAAGAAAATAAGACCCATGAATTACATACATCATATGTATTTAATTATTTATACCCCAAGAGCACAAGTCAACAATGAAAAGGACCTTGTCGACACATACAACACTTTTGTGAAAAAGGGAAGCAGTAACATTTTTTGAAACCCCTATTTCAAACAGGATAGCAGTAAACGGAAAACCATAAGTAACAGGCACACAAACAAATTTATTAAACTGCTCTTGGGGCAATGAAAAAGGCAAAGTGAAACAAAATACTGACTTCCGCTGTAATAAGTTAAAATGAATCATTATCTTTTACCTTAGCAGTCCTACTAGGAAGTGGATTTTGAAGAGCCCTTTCCACTGGAACTGCCAGAGGAGTACGAGATGCATCCAAATCTGTTTTGGAAGAATCAGAAACCTCTGAAGCAACAGAATCTTCACATGTCATTTCGTTAGCAGGGAGCTGATTTACATGATTGACATCCAAAGATGCATCAATGGCAGACAGTGATCCATTGGCTAATTGGTTGACTACAATTCTCTCTTGAATCTCCTTGTGAGCATTCAGTTTGTTGGGGGCTTTATTCACTGGTAGTAGATCATAACAGATGAAATTAGTTATCACAAAAGGAAAAAGAGAAGGTGCCAAAAACAGGATTGTATTGAAACATTACCATAATTTACCAATAATATGCACTGAAAAGATAAAACTATACCAAATGCTATAATAACTCAGACACTCAGTCAACAACCAATAACGACCAAAAGTTGAGACATACAGCAAAACGTAGGAGAGAAACACAATAACAAGGGGGAGGGGGGGGGAGGAATAAAATCCAGCAGCTGAATAAAGAGCAAGAACATTTTTCACCAAAGGTCAAATGTAATAGTGTTCGGTCAGTGAAACTGTGAAACAATCATAGATAACTCAGAATTTTTTTCCTAAATGCTAGATTCTATAATGGTGTGTTTAAACAATTTCATTAGAGATTCTGAAAGTAAATTTATAACTCAAAGAATTTATATTCTGGAATTGAGCCAATACTTACAACATTTTCAAAGGCCCATATAGGCCACATTGGTGTAATTTCAAATGAAACATTAAATGCTCATTTCAAATTCACTTATTGTGATCTTTCCCTCATGATTCCATTTAGCATTGCTATAGTACATGTGCACCTCACAACTTTCATCACCTCTCAACCCTTAAACTCACTCTCTCCACTCCTCGTCCCTTAACCATCACAACCAATGCCTCCAAAAGAAGTCTCAGCCATCATTCGTAAACTATTAAATCATGTATTATTCACTCCGTGCTTGCGTGAGGCAGCCTTGAATATGAATCATAGTCTATTTTTTTTCTATTATCTGACTAATTCCAGAATCTTGAGTTCTATGCAATTATCTACCTGATTTTCCAAATTGTAAAAATAATGGAATTACTATCAAAAATTAAAAATTGTAAAAAAAAATGGAATTAATAATCAAAAATGGATTAGTACAGAAAAAATTAAAAGTTAAAAAAAAAAAAATCATCATCAAAACTCCACTCATTTATCAGATGAATTTGAAATGCCAAAGAATTCCTAATAATTGCGAAACATCATATTTGAAAATGAATATCAGAATCTCAATTCCCAGAATCAAATTCTGGGATTTAAAATTTCCTAACGCAACCTAAAAGTTATTTTTAAGAATGATGTAAACAAAACTTTACTGCAAGAATAGTACTAGAAAAAAATATAATAGTAAATTGGAAGAAACCACCCCCATCACCTTATTTCTGTATTCATATGGAATCAAGTAATGGTTCCAAGCCAAGTATTCCCCTCCCTAATGTAATAATCCAAGCATCAGTATCCAGTGTTCCAGGATAAAATTTCTGCTTTGTTCAATGAAAAAAGGTCTGCAATCTAAAGGGTTTTTTTCACAATAATCTCTAATATCATACTAAGTTCATTGGAGAATAAAAGAGAGAAGCTTATACTGAGGAAAGATAGAAATATATGATGCACTTACAGCTTTTACTTGAACCATTAACTTTGGCAACCTGCATAAGAGAATGGTAACATAGTTATAAACAGCAATAAGAAAGTAAATATAACCTAAAATGGAAAAATTATATATGTCAAAATAAATACTTACTTCCTTCAAGGCCTTAGATTGATGGAGGTAACCATCTTCTTCCTCATGAGACATGATTACACCAACTTGTCTGTCCATCCAAAAGAAGGAAAAAATCATGAAGCTGAGACCACAAACTTAATTTTTAAGAAAATCTACCTTATTTACCCCTCAAAATATACCCAGCTAGTTTTTTGAGCTAAGCACTAATCTTAACCCAACCTAATATACATGTACACTCAAACTGTCTCAGGAGTCAAGATCTATCCTCCCTCTCCCTTAGCAACATCTCGACAGTCAATAAAATGTGATCAAATGCTTTCACAACTATAGCAACACCTCCACAGTTTGAGCACTTGTCCTCTCATATTAGCAATAAAACTAAATCCAGTAATCTGCTACTAAACATTCATCCTAAGCTTCCTCACACCTAGAAATTTTTCAGGGCTGAAGTTGCTACAGCAATTTTCTCTCCCATTCTTTACAGGTCATAAGAAGCAAAGTAAATTTATCATGTAATGGATGAAGTCATGAAGAGTGACAAAAAACCGTCCTAGAATGGCAAAAGGAAATAATTTGCAAATGCTGTAAGCCATACTTAACCAAAATAGTTACCTCTCCGGATTCCTCCATCCATTAGTCAAAACAGCTCCATTTTCAGAAATTTGAGAAGATTCAATTGTTCCAGAAACAGTCTCCTCATCACCACAATTAGCACAACTAGAAGCATAGTCAGCTGGAAGCATAACACCCTATACAGAGAAGGAATAAAACCACTTAATTCGATGATTTAACACCAGTTGAAAACCTTACACAATATCCCAAGTTAAGAGACTCGTAACACCTTGGCAACAACTTGAACAAGATCTCCAGGTTGAACAACTAGAGTATCTATTAGGCCACCATTTGACACACTGGAACTCTGTGTGCCCTTCCTTATCATCCTTGCTTTCTTCAAAACAATACCTAAACATTGAACAAAGTCGGAATTCGAAATGAATATCCAATTCCACAGCAAATCAAATTACATCCCACATTCAATACCTTCCCAAATCCAGCAATAGTAAATAGACCTAGATCATAACTAACACAAAACCCCCACATAAATAACTCACATCATACCATAAATTCTACCTGACATCAAAAACCTATAAGCAACATGTAAAAGCAATCAAAACACAGAAATTAACAAACCTAGATCCAAACACACATGATCCAATTGAAATAAACAACTTACACAACTAACAACAATTCCTCGCAAATATCAAAACCCAAATGCAATACATAACAACAAACAAAACCCAGAAAATAAACATCATTTCTCATGCTAAAAATTTCAAAAATCAATTGACAAAATTACAGAAGATCAAACAAGGGAGCAAGAAACAAACCATAACCCTTATCAACAGAAGCAGTATGGAAGATTCCAGAGAAGATAGAACCGTCTTTGATGTGAACTTCAACAGGAAGACCAATGATGCACATGGTGGTGAACAGAAGAGCTTCGCTAAGTGAAGCTGTTGTTGTTGTTGATTCATCTTCTGTGGTGAATTCTCTGATTCTCCCCATTTTTCTGAAAAATGGTGATCTCTTTCTCTGTTTTCGCTCTGTTTTGGTGAGTGAGGAGAAGAGGGAAAAGAGGGGAAGTTACGATTACAGCAAAGATCGGGGGACCTCTCGCTGTTTTCTGGGTGGCGCTTCGAGGTCTGCCAAAATGTTCAAATGTGAAGCCTTATTTCTTGTTTGATGTACAATTTTATAAATTGTCTACTCCCTCGTCCTATAAAAATTACTCGTATGCACCAGGATTTTTTAAAAAAAAAAAAAAATATGCTTTTTGTTCGGTTTGGACTAGTAAGCTTATGTTAAGGGCATTTTGGTTATTTTGTGATTATTAGAGTCGTTGGCTAAACTTTAGACATGTTTGGAAAAATTAGTTTTTGTAAAGGGGCGTTTGGTTCCCAAAGGGGTATGAGTTTAAAATCAAATATGAAGTTAAGGTGATATTGGGTGGAAACTTGATACTTAATTCAATGTATTTAGTTCAATTTTGGAATGGAATATCATCCCCTTAATACCATGTATTTAATACTTAAGGAAATGGAATTAGCCAGACCCACCTCCTTCAAGGTTTCTAAATCTCATAACTCATGGGTTTGGGATATGGGTTTAAAATTCATATTTTTGACAACCAAACATATGGTATGGATTTTAGTTATTCTAAACTCATACTCCGCGAACCAAACGCCCCCTATTTTTTTTTTAGGAAACCAAACGCCCCCTATTTTTTTTTTAGGAAACCAAACGCCCCCTAAGTGTTTTATTATATGTCAAATAGCTGAAAGTGTAGATGTCAGTAATGGTCTTAATAAATGCTAGAATTAGGTGTTTGTTGAAAGTGTTCGACACAAATAGCTATTAAAATAGTAAAATAATTTTAAGACGATATTAGAAGTTTCAAGGGGTAATTTAAAAGGGAGTATCAATTGACAATCACTACATTAGTGTTTTGGAGTAACGAGTGATAGCTCACTAGGTAGCTCGGAGTTGTGCATAAGCAAGGAAATTGCGATGAGGAAGCTAGCTATATGCCACGTGCTAACAGTTTCCCCGATGCCTGGCACAACAAGTCCTATATGAGGCAACCTTCCTATGCTTGTGTGCCTTTACTAAAACATGTATTGGTGGCGCAGGTTAGTGTCATTGCGTGTTGTTTCCTCTATTTATTAACTTGTTGCGCATATGGGGAAAGTTTGCATCAAGTCTTTGGAATTCATGCACCACATGGGCGATCTTCGCACATCCCGTGGAGTGGCACAAGACAGATTGAAAGCAAAGGGAAGGGTCAGCCAGCGGCCACGCATCATCATGGCATGAAGGATATTTAACTATGGTCTATGGGATCTAGGCAAGTGAGCTATAGCTCGACCATGTAGAGCCTTGAGGCAATGTTAAGCTAGTTGTTGAGCTATATAAGAAAGTTTCCTGGTATAATTTCTCCACGTAAATCCTTGTGTTGTTAAGCTTGTTCCATTCCAAGTGATTTGTCTAGTAAGATTTCTTTTAGAATGAGACTAGTGGTATTCGACCCTTGACCCCATGCCTAAATGTCAGATAACTAACCAACTGTTTTAACCTCCTATCTCACGTACTATATACCATTGTACACTTAACGGTAGATAAAGCCTAAAAACATTAAATAATTAGATAATTTCTTCGCTTTTTTAATTGACATGTTTTCTTTATCACATTTGTCAACAATGTTTTCAAAAATATGTAGTAGACTAGTAGTATACTAGTATATTAGTATTGTTTTTGGTGGTTTTCCCTTGGTTACCCCTCTCCTCCCCAAATTTATGAAACCCTAATTACCCCTCACCACCACCCTTCTTCACTCCCTTTCTCCCAAAACCTCCCTAAAACCCCTCTTTTTCTCTCTCCCACCAAAAAGCTTCCAACTTTCTTCTCAAATCAACAACCATGGCAAAACCCAAGCCCCAACGCCGTCAATTGGGCAAGCAAAGGCGCCAACAAGAAGCCGAAGAAATCGAATTCCTCCAAAAATGGCTTGAATTCGGTAAACCCGATTCGGGTTCGAACCCATTATCGCTTCCTCCATTGCCCCGCGATTCTCCAGTGGGTAAACTAAACGATGATACCTTCTCAAGGTATTGTGGGTGTGAATTGTTCAAGCAAATGCCATTGTCGAATAAAACTAAAGATGGGTTGCGAGCTTCCAACTTTACTCAGATGACTGATGTTCAGAGAGCTTCTTTGCCTCATTCTCTTTCGGGTCGTGATCTTCTTGGAGCTGCTCAAACTGGGTCTGGAAAAACTTTGGCTTTTGTTATTCCTGTAAGTTTTTTTCATTTTTTTGGTTTTGTTGTTTTGATTAATTTTGTATTTTTGAGGTTTTGGGTTTGATGATATAGATGTTTTATAGTTTGGATTTGTGAATTTAGCAATAATTGAAGGTGTGGAAGTGCATTTACTTTGATTCGAATTTGGGTTGGGTGATTGATTGGGTTAGAGGGGGTGGGTGGGGAGGATTAGCTGCCATTGGGTCCGAATTGGAGAGAGTTTTTCTCTATTGGAGAGGTGAGATAATTTTCTTCGGAAGCGAAATTAACCCGGGATTTAATCACAGTGTTTCAATAACAATGGTATAAGGAAGTAGAGAAGAGGGAAAGGGAAGGGATAGGATGGAACTATGGAAGGGAGGAGAGCAGGAGTGAGCTAGCATATTCCTTCCTTAATATTTCGAACATTAGAAGAATTTGGTTTGGGAGGAACTTGATCCCTCCATCTTCTTATACTCGCTCTGTTTCTTGTTTGAGGATCCGAAAATAGACTACTCAGCATCTTTGTTATAATGTTAGAGGTGACATAATGGTTGAGAGAATGCGTTCAGTGAACTTGCAAGTATAAATTGTGATTTGGAATGAAGGGGGCATGGTGTAACACATTTGTTTATAAATTTGGTTTACTTGTCTTTTATTAGGATGAATTATTTGAAATTATCGAGTACGAAAAGTCAAAACTTAGGTATATAGAGAGTTTTCGTCTTTATAATAGCTAATTTAATTGATAGCAATATATGGTTGTGAATAAAGTGAGTGTTCTCTTACACTGAGTGCTTCACAGTGTTAAATCGTTTAGCTGGTATTTAAAGCAAAGTGCCTTGATAAATCTCTCAAAGTGGTTATCTTTCTGCCTTGATCTCTTTAAGTGGCAACTTTTTCTTTAGAGCCAGTGGTGGATTGTTTTGTTTCTTCTCTATATAGCCTTGTTCAAAGAAGCGCCAAAAAGCTCATATTCTTGTGTTGGGAGCTGTAGATTTCCTTCTGTACTTTTTTTTGTTAAGAACACTATGTTACTCACTGTATTTTAAAGGAGTTTAGCTGCGGGTTTTTTTTTTTATTGAATTTGCGTACTTTAGTTGTGTTTTCTTGTGGTTACATGGGTCTGTAGTAGAGCTCATAGTTTGGATTAACTTTAAAAGGCTAATGATTTTATTTGACCAATTATAAAAATATGGCTGAAAGTATCAGGTCCATGAGACTGTCTTTCCTTGACCATTACAGGGACAAGAATATGTGCTTATGAATCTCCCCCTCCTCTCTGTTCCTGTTTTTTTTAGCAGTTCTTCTTTTTTATTGGAGCAAAAAAGTTGTGGGAGTAATACTAATGATGTCAACTTATTTGATGCGAAATAGTTTTTTATGTAATAGTCTAATATCCAGTTTTATGAACTTAGAATGAGGTCATCAGCTCAGATTACATCCATTGATGTCTATGCTAGGTCATATGGTAATAGACTTGTAGCTAGTAGCTACCATGTCTGTTACTTCAACTCGCTGATTACCCTAATATACTTGTGTGCACCGTGTATATGACACCTCAAGTGTATGACAATGCTTAGGTTTGTTCCTTCAAGTATAAGAAACCAAATATAGCTTTCTTATCTGTAACACCCCCGATTTACTAACCAAAATAAATAAGAATTAAAGGAAAAATAAACAACCTTTAAATAAAATTGCGGAAGCATACACTTAAATCGGAGGTATTACCGCCACACTCAACAACCTGTCGAGTGTTAAGGCTTACCAAATCCCAATAATTACAACCCAATAAACTAGGTGAGCTATTTATACAACTTTATAAACTCATGACATCACACTAATCGAAACACTTGAACTCCTTTAGCTACGACCACTAGATCAACCTGCTTAGAAAATCTTGATTGTTCACCATTAAGGACAAATTCCAAAATAGATCGTCGCAGGGCCACCATAAGAAAAAGACATGGCCGCAAATACAAATAGCACAATAAAACAACACACACGTCAGCAAAAATTAACATTATTAGATCAATTAAACAATGTAGTAATCACCACATATCAGAATATAGAGTATAATATAATAATTAACATTATTAGATCAATTAAACAATGTAGTTCGAAACTATATTACACATTGTACTCTGAAAATAACCTTTGTCAAACTCAACCTCGAATAATAGTACGAACCTTTACTCAACTCATAACCAATAAGTGTGCCATGCTCGTTGTTCTATACCTAGCCTTGGACATGGGTAATTCGAATAAAACCAACAAGTATAAAAACTTGAATACTCCCAATAACTAGAAAATACCTTGAACCAGACCACATACGGGCCAATTCCCACTGTAGGAGACCATAGAAAAATAGATAATAAAGATTGTACCTCATTCTTAACTCATGATTATTACCCTCTTACCAACAAGCCAAGGACTAAGTTATACAACGCCGAACCTCAAACCAAGAACAAAATAATAATTCTCAACCTTTTGATCTCATACTTGATTAAATAACCATTCACAAATTAATATATTAAATAATATCTCAACAGTGGCACGTGTTCCCAAATAATACAACAATTCAAACTCGATTAAACCATAACATATCTCAACTCTTATAGGACAATCAAACTAGTACCCAAATTTAATCAAATCTCAACCCAAAAATAATTAATTCACAACTCAAAAGTAATACAAGTTACCCTTTAACCTCAAAATGATACTCTATATTCGAATACACTGTCTCGACACAACTAAGATAATCAAAAAGTTTACATCAAATAAATCCATATAAACTATGTTGCCGTGAGAATCATATATTTATCAACATAACTCCAATTCCACGAATTCACTGATCATCAAATACACTTGCATATATAATTTTTTTAAAAAAAGAAAAACATGATTAACTTATTTATTTCAAAGTATTAGATTACAAATTTGCAAACATGATTGTGGTATGATGACACAACAGCAAAAAGACGCGGATGATTACCTTTGGAATAAAAGCAATTGGTTTAGCCATATGATTATCAGAAGATAAACATTCCAAAGATTAATAGCAGGCTGTTGGTATAAACCCACGAACGTACATAATGGAGTAAAGAGGAAGAAGAGAAAGCTAGGAATTTTGTATCAAAACGGCTGCATAATATTATTGTATCCCAAAAACTTAATATGGTTAGAATAGTTTATATATGCTTAAAAATAGAGAGTCCTATTTAAAATAAAATAGGGTTTTAAACCTTTTCGAACTTTAAAATAAAAAATATGAGATTAAAGTTATTTAATAGATAAAATAAACTATTTTATTTATAAAATACATTATATAAACTCATAAAATATTCGGGTATTACAAAATACCCTCCTTAAAAGAAGTTTCGTCCCGAAACTTAAAGTAGAAAAATTTAGGGTATTACATTATCCGTGTTGGATCTGTGCTTTAGTTTATAACTCCAATATATTCAAATATTCTTAGTAAAAAAAAATAGTATGGCTCTTTGCCAATGTTTGTGTGATGAACTGGACTGTGGTTGTAAGTTTGTTGCTGTTCTTGACAGGTTATAGAGAAACTATACAAGGAAAGATGGGGCCCAGAGGATGGTGTGGGCTGCATCATCATCTCTCCTACTAGGGAATTAGCTAGTCAAATCTTTGGTGTTTTGAAGGCAGTTGGAAAGCACCATGGCTTCAGTGCTGGTCTGCTAATTGGTGGTCGTAAAGGTGTTGATGAAGAAAAGGAACGTGTTAATGAATTGAATATTTTGATCTGTACTCCTGGAAGGCTGCTTCAACACATGGATGAAACACCAAATTTTGAATGCTCTCAGCTTCAGGTCCACATGATCTTCACATCCTTACTGCAATACTTTGTTTTAGGCATAATATTTTCTCTTCTAACTGTTTGATCCTCTATGGCGCAAGTTTAGGTGATATGCGATTTGCCATAACTTTTCTGTTATTGCTTTCCTGAATCCCAATATAATGTCTCAATTCTACATTTTTGGATCCTTGACAAGACTTTATTCATTCTCTTTATGAAGCATACCATTTAAATTTATATAAATATCATAAAAGAAGCAATAGGCTATAAAAGCAATAACTGGTATTCATAGGTATAGAGTCCATTTGATTTTTTTAATGTATGCTGATTAGTAATAGCAACTGATGAGTGTTATTTATCCCCTTTCTAGATAATGCTGTCTAATTGATCATCTAATAGTGACATTTACCCTAAATTAGCATTTGTGCTATCTGCAACTTAGATGGGGTACTCTTCAATTTTATGTCTCTTTTAGGTTATGGAGCTATTCAAATGTTACACAACAATGATGGTTATAATGTACTCTTTTTTTTTTTTTACTCTTTTCATAATGTTTAGCCTATGTAGCCATCTAAGATTATCAAAGGGTATAGACGGAGTCTAATTGTCATGTTATTTGTAGACACTTCATAAATTGTGTAGTGCCTGTAAGTGTGAGTATTGACATTTACAGATTTTCTTTTTATTACTTTAGAATCTAAATATTTACCTTTGCTCTTCTGCAACAAGACATTTCTTTTAATTTGAATCTTATTGTTGATAAAAGTAGGAATTCCATTCATTGAACAAAATTGTGGGTTTCAAATCAGTGAAATCGAGAGGGGAAGAGCTATACAACGTTTCTGAAGTAGGGTTTGCCCGCATTTTTTTACTAGTTGGTTATCTTGATCTGTCTTTTAGTCTTTAGTCTCTTTACTTTTATGCATGCTCCTCTAGTCCTCTTGCATCTGAGTATGGGTGTTCTTAAACTTCATGATAAAATTCCCTGACTTTTAAGTAGTGCTTCAATCTATCTTATGTAGGTCTGTAGCTTATTGTGTAACTCTGTATTCTATTAAACTTAGGCTCTATATGGTGAGTATTTGAGGGTTTTAATTTCTTTCCAGGGAACAGATTTTAGTTCTTGATGAGGCAGACAGAATTCTTGATATAGGGTTCAAAAAAGAAGTGAATGCAATCGTATCACAGCTTCCAAAGAAAAGACAAACCTTGCTCTTTTCTGCAACACAAACAAAATCAGTTCAGGACCTAGCAAGGCTCAGTTTGAGAGACCCTGAATATCTTAGTGTTCATGCAGAAGCAACTACTGCTACTCCCAAGCACTTGCTGCAGACTGCTACTGTTGTCCCTCTACATCAGAAGCTAGACCTTTTGTGGAGTTTTATAAAGTCTCACTTGAATTCGAGGATTTTAGTGTTCCTTACCAGTCGTAAGCAGGTAATTATCATAATTCAGCATTTTTACAGATCTTTATTTTGCTTAGATATGTATAGCTCTTTTACTCTCTTATTTTGGAGACGGTGGGGCTGAGAGATTTGTAACACAACTTTTGATTTTAGATATTTCTTTTATGTTATATTACTTTGGTTGAACTCCCTGATGGTCCTTTAACTTCCGTATAGGTGAAATTTGTTTTTGAGGCCTTCAAGAAACTGCGCCCAGGTATTCCATTGAAGTGTTTACATGGAAAGATGAATCAGGAGAGAAGGTTGGGAACATATTCCCAGTTTAGTGAAAAACGTATTGTTTTATTCTCAACTGATGTCAGTTCAAGAGGTCTTGATTTTGACAAGTCAGTTGACTGGGTTGTTCAGGTGAGCTTTGGTTTCATGTTAATCAGTTGTACATTTGATTAGGTGCTCAACTCATTCTGTCTATTCCTTAGATGGATTGTCCATCAGATGTTGCAACTTACATACACAGAGTCGGTCGCACTGCTCGATACACTACGGGCGGGAAAGCTGTTTTATTTGTGGAGCCATCAGAAGTAAAAATGCTTGAAAAATTAAAAGAGGCAAAAATTCCAATAATTGCAAAAACGGTAATCTTCTCTAGAGTTCTTGTTCAAGTCTCTTTGTAGACATACTTGGATACTGTTGGCTCAGATGCTTTCTTTTGAGACTTGTCACCAGTTAAGTAGCTAATGTGACCAATTTTATGCTCTCAACTTGCAGATAAACAAAGAGAAATTGCAGCCTGTTTCTCCGTTGCTAGCATCTTTATTAGTGAAGTATCCTGATATGCAGCAATTGGCTCGAAGAGCATTCATCACATATCTTAAGGCTGTTTGTAAAGAAAAGGATAAAGAAGTTTTTGATGTGATGAAACTTGGGATTGATGATTTCTCAGCATCAATAGGTTTACCATTGACGCCAAAAATCCGTTTCCTTAACCAGAAAATCACGGGCAAAAATTCTTCAAAATTAAGTCAAACTGTGGAAATAGACAAGTCTGCTGCAGAAAATTTGTTGGAAACTGCCAAGGCAGAGAGTAGTGAATCTGATGAAGATGAATCAGATAATGATCTTTTAGGGAGCGAGATTTCATCTGAAGTGAAGCCAGCAATAACTGAAATTGAATCTGTTGTGTATGGTTCATTTACTTGTTATACAAGTTCTTTTTTAAGATGTACACTTCTGCCGAAACGTTTTTTCTTATTCTAGGGGCAATCACTCATTTTTTTAGTTCTTTGTTCTTGTAGGCCGGCTACCAGGGTTTTGAAGAAAAAAAAGCTGAAAATTAATGTCCACAGACCTGTCGGCACAAGGGTTGTCTTTGATGAAGAGGGGAACACTCTTCCACCCCTTGCAACTTTAGCAGATAGGACAAATGATTCATCTGCAATTGATGTTGATAAAGGTATGTGAGACACACTACTAGATTGTCAGTGACTTAGTGTGAAAAATACGGAGTAAATTTGCTTTACCTTGTAGGTTAATGACTGATAAAGGCAATAATACTGTTGCATTTTTATCCCTTTTCATTTGCTTTTGAAATTGTTTATAATGCATTCAAAATACCTTTATATGTTACTAATGTGTACACGTATCTAATATATGTTTAAAAATGTTTAGATAATTTTATCATACTATGTTTTATCTGTTTGAAGCCTTTACAGTCTCGTGCCCTTTTTTTCACCGTGTACTTGAATAGATTTTGTACCTGTTTTAGCTACTGGTGTATTCATATAATTGCAACATTTTTTAGTTAATGGGTGTATTAATATCCTTGCAACATTTATTAATACTTTTGTCGACTTACATTGCAGTGCAAGAAAGGTATCAGAAGATGAGGGAAGTGTTAAAGCAAGAGGATAAAGTGGACAAGGTCCACGCTCGTCAGCTTCGCAAAGAGAAAAGATTGAAGCAGAAGATGAAGTTGAAGAGGGATAGGGCTGAAGATGAAGAAGAAGATGGTTCTGAGTCAGAAGAGGAAGCCACTGCAGGACGACCCAACAAAAAGTCTAAAATATATTTTGACAGTGATAGTGACATGGACACAGAAGACAAGAAAATGGTGGATATCAACACTAATAAAATATCTTTGGCAGAGCAAGAGGATCTGGCTCTCAAGTTGCTTGGTTCAATGAACTCCTAAAATTATACATGTACGTCACACATTCGTTTCAAAGCACCCAAAATCCCCCAAAGGATGTCTACGGGGTCTTCATTCATCTCATATATTCCTCAACTGCTCACTGCACTTCTTGACACCCTAGCTCAAACAGATATGAAAGCTTGGATAGTGTATTACTTGAAGTTGAAGAAATTCCAACAGTTTTGAAGGGTTCCTGATTTGATTAGTTCTTCTATGAGATTTTTGGTAGATTATAGTGTACATGCAATTTTGCTCGCCTTTGTAACAGTTATATTGTATCTTACTCCTGAAGTTTGAATTTAAATTTTACAATTTTACTTACATTAATGAATGAGAATTTGATGGTTGTTGCAATTTGCAAGAACTACCCTGTGTTTGTTTCAAGTATTGTCACAGTAAAATAGGGTGTTCATTAGCTAAAGGGGACGTAATTTCATACTCGTATAACTTGTTTAGTTTATAATAGGTTGATAGGTGTAGTAATTTATTAGAATGATGTAACAAATTAAACTTTCTGCAAGACTGAACTGAAAAAGAAAAGGCAAAATTTTGATCAAAGTACCATTATGATTTTTTTTTTTTGGTGCAAAGGAGGTACCCATAAATATATGATGCTAGAGTACGATATAGAATATTTTCTTATTACATGCAAATTAAATGCTTGCAATTTGGAGCCTAATCTCCAAGCTCAAACTGTGCTCTTCACCAAAACACATTCACCAAATTCATGGATTCCTTCTTTCTACAGGACTTCACCATGACTACTTCCTCCTTTCCAAATTTATTGAATCCTGTTCAAGATTCAATCTTTCAGATTATGGGTACTCTGTTTTCAACCAAAATTCTCAACCTTGTATTTATCTTTACAATACCATGATCAAATCTTTGTCTTTGCACCATTCTTCTGCTTCAGAAGCCATCTTTCTCTTTAACAGAATTCGGGTTTTCGGTCTTTTCCCCGATTCGTACTCTTTCCCGTTTGTTCTTAAGGCGGCGAGCCGGGTTTGTGATGGCAATGCTGGGAAAATGATTCATGGGCAGAGTATAAAATCTGGGTTTGAGCTGAATATTCATGTTGTGATTGCCATTGTTCAGATGTATTCATCTTGTGGGTCTTTGGAGGATGCACGTAAGGTGTTTGATAAAATGTCTAGCTCAAATGATGTTGCATTGTGGAATGCGATGTCTGCTGGATATGCTGGTGTTGGTGATATGTGTAGTGGGCGGGCATTGTTTGAGTGTATGACTGAGAGGAATGTGATCTCTTGGACTACGTTGATGGCGGGTTATGTTCATGTGAACCAACCTGAAGAGGCGATTGAGATCTTTCGGAGGATGCGAGTTGAGGGTGTGGAGCTTGACGAGGTTGCTCTACTGGCTGCTCTTTCAGCTTGTGCTGATTCAGGGGCACTTGAGTTAGGGGAGTGGATACATGACTTCCTTGAGAAGCGTGGATTGCGTAGAACGGTCCCTCTATATAATGCTCTTGTTGATATGTATGTGAAATCAGGAAATATAAATAAGGCTTTGCAAATTTTTGAGAGTATGCAGCACAAGAGTGTGGTGTCTTGGACTACAATGATAGTGGGGTTAGCCTTTCATGGCCATGGAAGGAAAGCATTGGAGATGTTTTCTCGCATGGAAAGAGGGGGATGTAGGCCGAATGAGGTCACTTTCATTGGAGTCCTGTCTGCTTGTACACACGTTGGTTTCGTTGAATTGGGGAACTCGTACTTCAAATCTATGAGCTCCAAGTATGGGATCACACCCAAGATTCAACACTATGGCTGTATGGTGGATTTGTTAGGCCGAGCTGGATGTCTCGAGGAGGCAGAGGATCTAGTCAGGAGGATGCCCTTCAATGCTAATGCTGCTATATGGGGATCGCTTCTAGCTGCTGCTAAGATGCATAGAGATTCGTCCCTTGCTGCAAAAGCTTTGCAGCACCTTGCAACTTTGGAACCTGATAATAGTGGAAACTATGCTCTTCTTTCCAATACATATGCATCAGTTGGAAATTGGAATGAAGCTAGGTTGGTGAGGAAAACAATGAAAAGCTCTGGTGTAAAGAAGTTGCCAGGTGAAAGCTCTATTGAGCTAAACAATTGCATTCATGGTTTCGCTGCAGGAGCATTCTCACATCCCGAGGCTAAAGCGATTCATGACATTCTTTGGGAGATACACCTGCAATGTACATTGGAAACTCACGAGCAAAATGTAGTGGAACCATTTTTATTGGAGTAATTTAATTATGGGCTGATAATTGTTGTGTGAAAGTGCTGAAGCAACACATTGGAGACTCGATATGTTTGTATTGCATTTGGGCGCAATCCGATGATTTACATGCTTCAAATCTGATGGAAATACCAGTTTGGCCTGGTGAGCTTCACAATATCCAAAGGATTGATGAATTAATCCATCTAAGAAGTACTCGGAGTGTTCTTATTATTGATATAACATACAACCATGAGTCCATGAGGGTGCAACTACTTCTCAAAGGGATACTGTAATTCCATGAGCTTAATGTCACTCAGAGAAGTCCTCGGGGTTCATGTTTCCTGTCATAAGTCTCAAAACTTAAAGAGCAGAATGACACAGAGGACATGGTTTGATTACTTTGATATAAGGAAAAAAATGCAAGGATTAGCTCTTGAATGCTGAAGAAGGGAGGCATTATGAGAAACTATGACAGCCTTACATCACTAAGGCCATTCTTTGCTTGTAAAAAAAAAAACCCCTTCCAAGCTGAGTAATTGAAAATGTCACATTAACTCAAATTTTTATATGATCACACGGTGTGGCTGGGCTTACTGAATCGGTCAATGATTACTCGGATGGTGTTTTGGTATGTGTTAGCTCACCGCACAGTGTGATTGACCCTACGTTCCTACCAAAAAAAAACTCATATACGATCTACAGCACAAAAAGAGAGAGAAAGAGAGGAAAGAGAAAATGGGCTCGAATCATGGGTTGAAAAAACAAACTTAAAAATAGAAATTGGGCTCGTTGAAAACGTTATTTTTTTGTTGGAGTCTTTATAATGTATACTATTATAACAATCTTTTTTTATATAATTTTACTAACATATAATTAGAGGCGAAATTTCTTTTAGGGTTTATAATTTGAGTGGAGAAAAAGAGTTACAAAACTCGGAATGAGATTATGAGAGATAGAGGATATTAGAATAAAAAGGCCTCATAAAGGTGACCGTTTTTCATCCCTCTTTCAACCTGACTCAATCCTTTTAAGGGTACGCAACAAGTTCAGCTCAAAATAAATTTCAGAAAGTAAGGGCTCGTTTGGCATTTTCGTGGGTTTTTGTTTTTTAAAAGTATATGATATATGTCCCATAATGAATAAAAAATTATTTAAATTTATTAAAATCGTGATAATTTTAAAAACTGACAACAAAAAAGTGGAAACACCTTTTTCTTGTTTCTTGTCTTCGGTTTTTGGTTTTTTAAAAAAATAGAAAACTAAAAATAAAAAATGATGTTTAACAAGCCTAAGCTTAAAGTTGGATTTCCTTCCAACTTCTGTATTCTAGCAATTACAAGTAAGGAAATTTACAGGAAAATAACTACTGAAGAAATAATTAAGGGAAAGCTCCATAATTAGTACTCCGTATTAGATAATCAGAGAGACAGAATACTGTGTATAGGTGATACTCACGAACCTAATTTTGACAGCCCTAGAGCTTATCGGTTGTTCTATTGCTGCCATACCAAGCTATTTTCTGCTTCCTTATAACAAGAAATTCAATCTAAGCTTCCCAAAACATACGGCATATATTATTGTTAATGATATACTTCTAGGCTCACGACTTAACACATAGTTGCCTAGTACATTGGTGGTGAATAAACATAACTCGAAATTCACAACAAATCTTGTGGCTTGGATATAGATGTCTGAAGCTCTAACAAGTAACAACCAGCGAATGAGCTCCTAAGCAGGGCTAAAACTCTTAACAATTGCATTCAGCAAATCTTTAGGATGCCTCATTTAATTCTAGAAAATATAAAATTAAGTTCAAGTAACGATATTTGTTATATTTGTATGAACTTTGGTTCCTTATTAGTTATTAGTCATGTTTCCAAAAAATAATAAACAAACAACATCAGAATCAATTGAAATCCTAAGAAAATAGTTAGAGCTGTTAAATATCATTTGCATTCCCTTAACGGCTTGACTTGATGTCAAACAAAATCCTTCTCTATACTGCAAAATTTTATTCGTCCAGGATTAGAGTTAGCAGATTCAATTGCTGGTGTTCGATGAATATAGTTTAAAAGCATCATGTTGTGCATGCATCAGCCATTCAGATTAAGCAAAATAGTTTAAATATCCAGAAGATGGGGGTCACAGGATGGGGGTTGTAACTAACCCTTACCGATCCAGAAGAACACTAGAGTTGGAAATTCACATCCACCAACATGGAGGAAGGTTTGTTCTCAGAGTACCAAGAAAAAAGAAAAAAAAAAGAGGGGGAAGGGAGGGGGAGGGAGACTCCTAGGAAAGGAAAGAGGGCTAATAAAATACATATGTGATCCCAGGAAAATTCATCTACCAAATCTCTCAGTGAAGTAGAACGTAATCACCATCTCCCAGGACTTCACAGCCAGCATATCAATAAATCACTGCAAAGCATAGGCACGACATTATGATGACATAGTTCAAAGCAAATATAGATAAATTAATCACAATAACAATGATAACACTGAGTCGCTGACAAGAGAAATTGGTGATGGACATGGAATGCAGAACAAGTCTTAGCATGATGTCCTTCACATTCACAATACAAGAATAAATTCAAATAGGAGGAGTGGTGACTTATTTCAATAACATGATTAAATGATTAAATTATATGGAAGGAAAAAACTATATCCATTAATCAAGATAAACCATTTAATTACTAACCAAACCATTAAAAGCTATACAACCCAAGATTTTAACACAGCAAAATATGGACATAAAAGGTTGTTATTTCAGATTAACAGAGCCACAAACAAATAGCAAAGCTCGCAGAACTTCATCAAGATTCAGCAAGAGACATCAGATCATTACTTAGAGTGAGACAGAGAGAAGGAAATTTCACCTGCTGTGTTTGCTGGTAATTTCCATATCCTGCATAATTTGCATAATACATGTTAGGGTCCTGAGGAGCTGCTGCAGCATATCCATAAGCATCATAGCCCCCTTGAGGATATCCATATCCATATGCTCCATTCCACTGAGCCTGACCAGGTTGTACCTGGAAGAATCAGCACTCAAGATAAGCTAGTGAATAAGTCAAATCAAACATGCAACACAAATTGCTTTAGATTGTTTCAACAACAGAAAAAACAAGCAGACCTGTTTGGCTGATGGACTACGACCCCATGAAAGTCTAACACTCTGAGATCCAATCTGAGCTCCATTCAATGCTGCCAATGCTTGCTCAGCAGCAGCTCTATAATAAATGAAGTAAAAAAAAATGATCAGCCTATGAGCAGTAAAATCACAATATAATGCAAAAGATAAACAAAAGCACATTGCTCACCTGCTACCAAACTGCACAAAACCACAGCCCTTGCCCACGGGAATTTTCACATGAACCAACTCCCCATAAGGGCTAAACACTTGTCTAAGCTGGTCATCTGTAACATTGGGATCCAGACCGCCAACAAATATCTGCAGGCAACAGGGAAGCAGATTAGAATGCAATGGAGAATAACTACAACCGCATTAAACAACAGACTACCCACAGTTGTGTTATTTGGATCATTTTCGCCTGGATTTCCCTGAGTAGTCTGATAAGAAGCTGCAAGCGGCAAACAGAAAAAAAAAATGTAACAAAACATAAACTGAAATTCAATCTAGGTTCTAATCAGTTAAAATTAACTATATTTTTTCACATAATAACATATTAATAACATAAGTGAAAAGAGAAAACACATCATGCAAATATGGCAGAGATAATGAGAAAACATCATGGCCTACTCCAGCAATTTGCAACCAACTCTGATAACATGTATAGGCTTTTCATGACTAAAAAAATCCAACACTGACATAGCTAAGAGCGCCCTATCCTTCCCAACACCAACTAACCCCACCCCACCCCCCCAAACACCCACCCACAACAGAGAGAGGGGGGGAGGGGGGCCATTGCACAATGCACACTGTTGGGACATGACAAATTCAGCAGAAAGGAACATAAATATATCAAGCCAAAAACTACATAACTCAAAGCATTGACCAATATACATTAAGAATACACAAACACTACAACAGGTAGTAAACAAACTTAAAAAGGAAGTAATTGGGGACAGGTTCTTGATGTACTGATGGTTCCAACCCAACCCCTTTCAATTTAGTCAAATACAAGGATTAAAAACTTATTCCAATTAAACAATACTGTGATAAAAATTCGATGACAAGATAACATAACCAATGCATCTATATTCATCCAATGTATTTTCCTTCTTCAATGGGTAAAGCAGTGTAAATTCCATTAAAAAAAAAAGTATATATAATAGGTCCAAGAACAAGTCCTTTGGATATCCTGAAAGGTAAGTAGCAACTTGCCTCAAAGGACCTCAACTGCCAAAGAATTCAATTTTGACAGAGAAAAGATAACAAAAGCGAAAAAACTGAGATTAAAAGGAAAGCAACTCTTCGGAAATAAACAATTCATCCCCAACAAATAAAGAGAGAGGTATTTAAAAAAAACAAATAAAATATAAAAAAAGCAACCATAAGTGAAGAGAAAAATGGAAAGCTTAAGACGAGACTAGTATAAGGACCAAGTATTCTTCTAAATCTACAAGAACTAAACAAAGGGATTGTAAGAAACAAGAACTTTTGAACCTCACTAAAAGAGTAAATGTGCTTTAAGAAAAAGTAACTGAAAAACTAACTTGCGAATGTAGCATAACAAATGCCACAACTGAAAGAAAAATATTGAATTTCTGGCATTAAAAATGACTGACCTAAAATGAGGCCACGCACTAAAGTGGAATCATTTCAGCTGAAGTCAGTTCCAGGCCCCTAATACGAGAGCCTCTTGGTGTCCTGCTTTGAGACAACATGAGTTTTTATAAGCGTTTTCCGCAGGTTTTTCATAGAATTATCTTGCCCAAGTTATATAGGTAAACTAGAATGAAAGGACTCGTAAAAGTATCGAAGGGTTCATAAAAGAATCCATCTACAAGCTAACAAATTAACTTTACAACAGGGTAGAACATAGCAGAAAAGCATCAACATTAACTAATCATTACAACTTCAAGCAATTCCAACATCTAAACAAGAGCAAGGCAACATTACACAAGCCCAATAACAAGCATACCTTTCTGCTGAACACCAGCTGGTTTTTTATTGGCAGCTGGTCCAGTTCTCATGGGCCTAGTTGATAGAACAACTCCATTCATTTCAGTCATGGCACGCTGTTGTTCACCTTCATCCGCAAACCTCACAAACCCGTACCCTTTAGAACGCCCAGTAATATGATCAGTGATAACCTTTGCTCCCTTAACAGAAGAATAATGAACACGAAATGCATCCTGAAGCATAACATCTGAAACTTCGGCTGCTAGATCTCCAACAAAAACTGTATAGTCAGCTGAGTCATCTTGCTTCCTCTGACCAGCACCAAGACTGGCCCAATTCAGTCTAAAAGCTTGTTCAGTTTGTGGCATTACTGTCCCATTGTATGTAGCTAATGTCCTTTCAGCTGCAGCACGGTTAACAAATTCTACAAACCCATAACCTTCTGAGAGATTGGTTTGCTTATTGCGAATTACCTTCACAGATACAACCTGCAGAACAAAGAAATTGAAAACAAAAGGTAAAACACCTCTTTAATGAGGAAATAAACCACGTTCAAACAAGATAGAAGCACAACTAAGAATAGTAGGCATCTCTCATCAGCTCAGGCAGGAAGAAGAAACCTTCACTCGGTTCTAAACAATCTAAGCACAGTTACATCAAACAAATCTTACTCCATATAACTCATACACAAGCATCATTAAGCAGTAGCCCACATCCAAAAGTCCAAAACTTTTTCCCTGGTTCATCATGGCTTCTATATAGAAACAACATATTACCACTGTATATTAAACCATAACATATTACCATTGTATATTAAACCATAACATATTACCATTGTATATTAAACCACAACATATTACCATTGTATATTAAACTATAACAATTAAGCCTTAAATCATTTAGAAGGCACTCCTATCTACAGAAAAGCATTGCCTGAAGACCATCAACCATATAGCATCATGATTGCCTACAAGTTTGTCACTCAAAAAACCGGAGTGAGCTTGTGACAGATTATCCCAATCAACCTACGTTTAGCATTGCAACATCAGTCAGCAACGTGTAATCTATTAAGACACAAAGGTTTGTATCTAACCCAAAGCATCAATCAACTTTGATCCATTAATTACTCAAAGGTGAGTCATTGATTAAAAAAAAATGTCGCTAGGCTTTCAAACTTTTCAACGGTTGCATATAGAATTAGAATGTATTTAAATCCACGTTAGAACATGCTTAATAAAGCATTGCTAATACTACCCAAAAAACTATACAAACACTATTGAAAAGGACAAAGCACCACCATAAACTTGTCATCAAACTGCCATACTTGAAACAGCTTATACTTCTCAAAAACCGATAATCTTTCACAACATATCCAGCCACTAAAATCACATCACTCACCCTAACATCAACTTGTAATCTCCTAACATTTATTCAAATAATAATTGTACAACTCATTCATCAGACATAATTTGCCACAAATCCACAAAGAATCCGAAATCATATTTGCAAAACAAAACCCTAAATCACAATCATATTTCCATATAATCAAGAAAACTGCAAAGAAAAACTTATTTGAACACAATTTCAAGAACATAAATCACTAACATCAACATAAACCACAGAAAAAACGAAAAAAAAAATAGGGAAAATTTTAGGTATACCTCTCCAGAAGCAGCGAAACAAGAGAAGATATAATTCTCATCCATCCAATACTGCAAATCACCGATCCAAAGCGATCGAATCTCATCAGGACTCGTCGGAGCAGGAGCAGGAGCAGCAGCAGCAGCAGCAGCAGCAGCCAAAGGATAAGGCTGAGCTTGAGGCTGAGGAGGAGCCAAACCAGGCTGTTGCGGAGTCTGAGGAGGCCACATCTGCGGCGCATACGGTGGTTGTTGCGGCTGAGGAGGAGGCGGCGCCATCATCATCCACGGTTGCTGCGGCTGACCGTACTGAGCCGGCGGTTGCTGCTGGTTGGGATCGACCGGTGGTTGTTGCATCGACGGTGGTACGACGCCGGAAGATGGTTGCTGCATCATGGTAGCTAGGGTTTGAGGAAGGGAGGAAGAAACCCTAGAGGAGAGGAGAGAGAAAATGGGTTCACGAAAGGGGAGGTAGGGATTTGGGTAATCCCGGAACAGGTTAGAGAGAGAAAGAGGGGGATTTTTGGAGATGAGGCGGTGTATTTATTGAGTTGTGATGTGATATCAAACTCCTCGATTGTGGAGTGAATTCAATTTGTTTTTCTATGGGTGGATGAATGAATAAATAAATAACCTAATAATAAAGGAGGTTTTTATTTTAAAAAAATATAAAAATTCTATAGATGGATTGAAAAATGGTTTTTTTTTTTTTTTTTTGACAAAAGAGCTATCAAATAAAAGGAACAACAACCAAAAAACAACTGTCAAACCAAAAAAACTAAAACAGAAGTTACAACAACTGACGACATCGGGCACAACCAGCCAACCAATGAGCAGGATTGACCCACAAACGAAGAACCTTTTGAACCTGGCAAACTAAAAAAGACTGAACCAAAGCCCGCAACTCCTGATTGAGCCACCAAGCAGAGATTTCCATTGAACCAGAAGGAGGAAGAAGAGCAAGGAGGGCAGCACAATCTGTATAAATCCGGATTTTCAAAAAACCTTTACGAATCGCAAACTCCAAACCCCATATACAAGCCTGAAGCTCAGATTGCAACGCTGAACTAGCCATAAAAGCCCGACAACCCCCTCCTAAGACCTCAGAAGAATCAAGATCACGGACTACCCAGCCTGCACCCGCCCTGTTAGTAGAACAATCCCAGGCCCCGTCTACGATCAAGCATGTCGTTGGAGAAATATAAGGTAACCCCCGCAAACACAACCACTTAACATCCTGCTTGGCCTCCAAACTAATCGAACGAGAGGACCTCACAAGCCGCTTCCAATCTAGAGCCTGCATATTACGAAGAACCCAATCTGACGCCAGGCCAACAATTGACCCAGGCGACCAAACGGCTTTCCTAAATCTCAAATGATTCCGAGAAATCCAAATCGCCCAAAGGAGAGCAAAAAACGAAGCAATACCCTTCCAATTTCTCGAAGACAAAAAGAGAAAAATTGTTCTCGAGAACCAAATACTAAATGGAGGAAACTGCATAAGATCCCATTGGATGTCCAACGCTCCAGACAGCCAAATAGTACAGATAGCAGGGCAATCTCTGAATGTATGAGACACAGATTCCACATCCATATGACAAAAAGCACAAATCGGATAAACAGGGAGACCTCGAGAATTGAGAATAGACGCCAAAGGAAGCGCATCGTATAACAATTTCCATCCAAATATTTTCCACCTAGGAAGAATTGGTAAAGCCCAAAACTTCCTTCACCATGCTTGAGAGATTTGAGATGGATTACCTAACCTGACCCCAGGCTCACAAAGAAGGGCATACGCAGACTTCGTTGTAAAAACACCATCCCTGGCAAACTTCCAGTAAACAAAATCATCCATTAAACGCACAGGTCGATCCAACGACAGAATTCTAGCAGCAGATCTAGAATCAAACAACCCATGTATAATAGTAGCATCCCACGCGCAAGAACGCGGATCAAGTAAAGAAGACACAAGAGTCGGACGAAAGATCCTTAAAATGAATTGGTCCCCCCAGAACCCAAGAATCCTCCAAAATACGAAATCGAGAACCCGAACCAACCTTCCAACACAAACCCTTCGACAGCAAGGACATCCCTGAAATAAGACCCCTACAACCCCAAGAGGGACGAGAAGCCGAAAACAAATCAGTAGAACGAAGAGCCGGATACTTCGCCGACAGAAGCCGAGAAACCAACAGCTGAGGGCACTGAATAATTCGCCAACTCTGCTTCGCCAACAGTGAAGAATTAAAAGGGGAAATACTACGAATTCCCAATCCTCCTAAACCCTTCGGAAGATGGAGCAACGACGAAGACCGAAGAGCTAACCCTCGATTAGAAGAAGAAGATTTCCACCAGAACCTGGCTAGCAAATTATCCATTCTGGAACATATAGAATCAGGAATTTTGAAAACATACAGGATTTGATTAAAAGAGGCAATGAGCACTGAGTTAATAATAACAAGCTTAGCTGCCGGCGAAAGCCGAAGAGCTGCAAAGGCCTGTAGACGTTTGGCCACCTTGTCCAAGAGAAAACCAAACTCAGAGCATTTACTACGACCTAAATCAACAGGAAGGCCTAAATAAGATCCCAATCTAACTTCAGAGCGCATTTTCAAACAACCAGACAGATAAGCTCGGTAATCCTCAGGAGTGTTAGGACTAAACTTGACAAACGACTTTTGCAAATTAAGCATTTGACCTGAAATATCACAAAAGTTAGAGAGCACCTGCAACACCTGTTCACAAGCCTGAGGAGAAACTTGGAAAAATAGCAAGGAGTCATCGGCAAAGAACAAGTGTGAAATGGAAGTAGCCCCCCTAGCAATTTTAATACCCTGAAAAAGGCCTATTGATTCTGCCTTACGCAGCATAGCCGAAAGAACCTCCATGCATAACACAAACAGATATGGAGATAGCGGATCTCCTTGACGTAGACCACGTTGAGGACGAAAACCTTGTGTAGGTGACCCATTAACCAACACCTGGTAAGAAACCGTAGATACACACTGCATAATCAGATGAATCCAATAAGGAGGAAACCCAAAAACCTGAAGAACCCGACACAAAAAGTCCCACTCAACTCTGTCATATGCTTTATTCATGTCTAGCTTCAGTGCCGCATAAAAACGTTTCCTAGCTTTGGAAGCATTCATAAATGAAAGAATCTCATGCACCATTAGGCAATTGTCAGACATCAACCTACCAGGAACAAAGGTAGTCTGAAAATCCGACACAATGTCAGGTAGTATCCAACGTAGACGGCGAGCAAGACACTTAGCTATGCATTTATATAGAACATTACAGAGGCCTATCGGTCTAAATTGAGAAACAAGTTCAGGATGATCAAATTTAGGAAGCAAAACTAAGAAAGTCCGATTCCAGTCCTTAAGTAAATAGCCATGAGCAAAAAAGAACTGGACAACATTCACCACCTGATCCCCCACCTCACTCCAATAGGTCTTAAAAAAAAGCTGAAGTAAAACCATCGGGTCCTGGAGATTTATCATCATCAATACTAAACATCGCCTGCCTAATATCATCAGCCGAAAAGGGAAGTAGTAGGGGCTGACGATGTCTATCAGACAAAGAAGGGAGGTCAAGGGAATTCCAAGGGAATTGAGAAACAGGAGGTCGATCCAAATTCTTACTGTATAAGGATCTGTAAAAATTAAGAACCAAAGAACGAATATCCCCTGCATCCGAAAGCCGGGTACCTTCATTGTCCTTAAGCCCTAGAATAGTGTTCTTCCGACGTCGGGCCTGAACTGCAAAAAACAGCAACCTAGAATGCTCATCACCAAAAGCATCCCACTTCACTTTTGCTCGTTGTCTCCAAAAAAGAAAAGCCGCTTCAGCCTCCTTTCTTTTTCCATTCTAAAAGTGCTAAACAGACAACGACTACTCCGTGAATCAAGAGTAACAGAAGCATTAGTGACATCCGCAACCAAAGTTTTCCAATCAATGCCTCACACCTTTTTATGAGAAACACACCAAGCTAGTAGATGATGACGAAGAACACATAGTCTCTTAGACAGAGAAAACATAAGAGACCCAGGAAGACAGAGAAAACATAAGAGACCCAGGAATATGTTCAGCAAAAGTATTTCGAACCATAGCAGCGACGTCCATAGAGTGTAGGCACCAATTTTCAATTCTATAAGGACGTTTGAATCTACCGGAAGGCAAAGAGTCACATAAAATAATAGCCGCATGATCAGAAAACAAAATGGGCTGGTGATGAACTGAAGTAGTCGGCCAATCCTGAAGCCAATGGGAAGTAGCATATGCCTTATCTAATCTCTCAAAAGTAGGGTCCATAACTGTTCTCCCGTTAGTCCAGGTGAAAGAAGGTCCAGAAAACGGAATATCAAGTAACCCATTGTCCAATTTCCACTGTATAAAATCATGACGACCTGGAATATCAAGATTACCTCCGACCTTATCCGATAAATATTCAACCTGGTTAAAATCGCCAACTAACACAACATTCGGATAAGAAGCTAAAATATCAGCAATTTCCGACCACACAATCATACGATCAGAAACCTGAGGCGCCCCATACAGAAATAAAACATGTTTTATAACCAAATTTTCCACAACTCGACACAATATTATATGCGAAGAAACCAAGAGAGGGTCAATCAGAATTGGGGCAAACCACAGCACACAAAGCCCACCACTGAGACCCGCTGAATCCACACCAGCAAAACCTGAACATGACAAAGAAGATAACTTATGCATTACAGAATCTACAAACACCATAGTTTCAGCCAAAAAATAATATCAACACCACAAGAGCGGACTAAGGACGCGATGTAAGGAACTTTAGGGGAGTCCGCCTGACCCAAACCCCTACAGTTCCACGCCATAATCTTCATCTATCACCTTGTGGCCTTGAATGGGAGGCCACCAAGCCCTCAGGAAAAGAACCAGAAAAAGACATCCGATCTGGAAAAGAAATACCAATTCCTTTACGTTTCTTAAACGGGAGCCAAGATAAAACCACTAGTACCCTCAATCTCCGAACCTATTTTCTCATAATAGAATAGAAAATTCATAGCAGACCTCGAAGCCGATGTCTTCTTAAAACAGACTGATATAACCCTTTATGACAGCGAAGAGCATCGAGCTGGCTTTTTCATTGAAACTGACAAAGAACTAAATAGATTTGGCCGTTTAAGCGAGCATAATCTCGTTTTGAACCTCGAGGGTCGAGGGGAATGAGCTGATTGGGTAGTAGTATTGGTGAATGATAGTTGATAGGACTCTCGACCAAGGTGATTTTTTTTTTATCGTGTAAGGGATGCTTGTGGGTTGAATGGGTAGGTTGGTTCGGTGTTTGGCCTGATTTATTTGGAGTAAGGTTAATGTGTGTTGTCTCTGATTGTGATCTCCTTTTTTTTACGGGAGAGAAAGATGTAGTAGTAAACTCACGGGGTCTTTTGAGGGGGTGACTGCTCCGGGGTTGGGGTGGGACAATGTTTTTGGAAAATTTCTTGAGATTCACGATGGTCGTTCTGTATTTTTCAATTCGTTTCAGACCAATATTTAAATTTGATAGATTACGGTAAAGTAAACTAGCAGGCTTACACAACCCATTCTTATCAACAGCAAAAGGAGCAGAGCTATAGAGATTCAAAGGGCAAGCATTCTTCTTATGTCCAAATCTATTGCAGTTCTAGCACAAAACAAACATATTCTCATATCTGAAATTAATCCATTTAAACTCAGATTGTCCAAGGTCCAAGTAAAAGCCTGATAATAAGGGTTCCAAAACACGAATGTGAAGTTTTACTCTAACCACGCAATTAATGGATCCTGGAACAGGTTATTCACAACACATAATTTTTCCAACCATAGTAAGCACTGGATTAACGACATTAATGTCACATAGGTTCAAAGGTAACTCATCAAGATGAACCCAAATAGTAGCCTCGTCAAAAATCACATATATGATTGACTTACCCTGAGTCTAAGGAGTAAAGACCAAGAGAGCCGCTTGGTACGCCGCGGAGCCTTGTTGTAGCATAGCTTCTCGATCACGAACGTCCTCACAAAGAAACAAGAAAACACTATCGAATTTCTGGACCTTAATTTCTCCAAATGTAATCCAGTCGTTGGAAACCCACTTTTGGATTCGGGTCTGGGAAAAACTTTTGTAATCTATGAACTTGCCCAGTACAAGATGATTAAGGAAACAAGGATTACCGCTTGAGGGTGAGCGTTGCCGATTCATATGTGCGAATTTCATGATTGTCATCTTCTACGAAACAGGGGAATACAAAAAGGGGAATTTAAAGTGATGTGGGATCACCGACAGTAACAAGGAATTGAAAAATTAAAGTGGTTATTGTGAACTATAAACTAATCTTAGCTTTTGTGATTAGAATTAGAGATTTGTGGTGCCATGGATGACTGGGAAAAGGTGGAAAACGGTGGAAGACGGTGGAAGAAGATGGGATTTTGGGGATAAGGCTCTAGTACTCTAGAGAGAGAGGCTCTCTTTTTAGAGAGAGAAGGAGCCTTTTTTTTAGACGTATAATATTATTAGATTGAAAAATGTTACAAGGTTTTGCTACAGAATTCTATGAGGTGTTAGATGTTAATTACGGCGTACTATGGAGTAATGAGTAGTGTTTAATTTACTTCGTAATTAAGATTGCTTCTTAAGAGAAAAGGATTAATTTTAAAAAGATTGAGGTTCTTTTGAATACGGTTAAAATTGTAAATGAAAGGGAAAAAAATAAATTGGAGGGCTTGTATTTGAAATTGTGGCGTGGTTTTGAAATTTGGTATAACTGTTTTTTATTATTATTTATAAACGATTTGCGAAATTTGTGAAACTAAATGCATCACAGTGGTCTATAGTTTTGATCAAGAAATAGATTAGGCTACCTCACAACTTGATAGTTTAGAGGAATAAGAATGAAAGATAAAAGGTATGAAAAATATAAAAAGTATTTAGAGTTATGGGATAATAAGAGATAATTAGGGTGGTGGGGCTCAAATTTGTTTGCTCAAATATGTGTACCATTCACTATGCCTTCTTGTAATGTAAGCAATGTGTCTTGCGTCGAAAACTAGGAGTTGGGAAACTATGAAGAAGTGGAGCAATACACGTTCATGCTTAGAGGAGGCATGGGTGTGCCGCGACAAAGGAGTGATGAAGAACAGCAAGGCACGTTCGTGCCTCAATGAGGCTTTAATAATAATATTCGACGAGGCACGGTCCTGCCCAAACCTGGCAAGTACATGCCTCAACATATTTCGAATTTTGTAGTGTTGCACAACATTTTTTCTTGATTTTGGTTACTTTGTTCGTAGACTTTATTTACTTAGTTAAGGCCTATATTTCTTAGTCTGTGGTTATTATAAATACCCCTTATAATAGTCCTAACTAATTATTTCAGAAATATGAGAGTTTTGTATGCATTTCTCATTTGTGAGTTCCGAGAGACATAACATTTGAAATCTAAGAGACAATCAATTTGTTTTCTATGACTGGTCTGTTTTGATTTGTATTATGTTTTCTCAAGATCAATAAAACTATTGCTTTCGCCTGCTTATAAACGTAGCTAACACTTTGTTTGTGGACCACATAGATTTGTGTTGCTTTTCTTGTTGATTTTACATTTAGTATTTGTTCTTTACTAAGTCCGTTATAACATTTCTAATTGGTCGATGTCATATATTATATTACTTGTTTGTATTAATTTGTGTAGATAATCATGCCCTTATCCCTTCTTCCTCTACAATATATGGTGTACATGTGTAGCTCTCTTGCTTTCATTTCGAAACATGCAATCCCACTTCAAATTCTTTTACAAATTTCCCAACTTATGTGAACATTAGTGAAGGAGTTTTGTCTTCGATAAGTGCAATAACTAGATATATCAAGGATCACTATTATGGAGATAATAAGTTCGTTCTTTTGGGTCAGCATTATCTGTTGCTACACTATATCAATGATCTTTGGGCTAGTTAAATAGTCCAAAGCCCACTGGAATGGATCCTATGAGGTCACACACAAAGGTATTGGGTTAAGCAAGTTAGAGGGTCATTTATGGGTCTCATGAACAAGTAACTAATCATGAAATAGTTAGATTAGAGTTAGGTTTTGGGCTTTGTCATGGACTCTTATTTGGATATGAGATCTATGTATAAGATCCATGCCTAGGGTTGTATGAGACAACACAATTAACAGTTGATTGTGCATTAAGCAACCAGAAATCCCAAAAACCTCTCTCTCACACACACACACACACTCTCTCTCTCTATCCCACGGCTCTCTCTCCTCCCCCATTGGACTCACGGCCAACCACCCTTAGTGGCGCGTGTGGTGGTTCGTGGTGGTTTCATGATTGGTTCATTGCTCGTTCTTTTCCTTAGAAGGTCAATTAAAGGGTTCAATTGCAACTAACTAGCATTTGTGGAGGTCTTAATCCGTGCCTGTGGACCAAGTAGAGGAATCACGTTTGAGGTTCTTTGTCTCCCTTGTTCTTGTTCGATCACACGTGGAATCATGCTTCAAAGGTATTAATTCTATTTCTTTATGTGTTATGCATGATCTTAGGATTAGGTGCTATATGAATATTATTAATGTTTTCCGCATTTGTACCTATAAACTCCTACAATTAGTCCTCTAAAACCTCAACCATTTTCGTAATCTCTTCTTTCAATTATTGATCCACCATTATCTTCATCTACTTAAATCCCAAATTTAAATTCTCTCATAGTCTTGATTTTTTCTCCAATTTCCCCTTTTAAAAATATTAGATTTTAATTTCTATAATTCAACTCTTAATCTTAGTTCTTTGCTTGATCAATGAACCTTTTTATTGCACTATTAACAAATTCATTAATGTAACACAAATTTAAAGAGAAAAACAAGTAAAACTTTATTAAATAAACTTGGGAAAAATTGCTTGCAATTTACAATGGTCTATCAGTAGTTGTAATTGAAACCAACAATAGGAATTAAATAAGACAATCAAATTAAATTGTATCAGTCCATATTCAACTAGATTATATAAGCAAAAATTAGGTAAACTAAACAAGCCCTTAGTTTTGCCTTTATTACTATGTTATAGATATTGAGTCATTACTCAATAAGCAAACTTCACTGTCATCACTGACAATGCTACTATCTCTGTATTTTTGTAAGTATTACACTTTGACCGTCACATAGTTTTAGATAATTGGATTGAATTAAATAAAATAAAAGGTAAATGGGGTAGTTGGAATATAGAAATTTATGTAAGAAAATAAATAATTAAAAAAGTAATAGCGGGTTTAGATAGAGACTATGAATGAAAAAAATTAAAAAGTAGTAGTGGGTTTGGGTAGAGACTATGAATGAAAAAAATGTACTAAGGCCTATTTACATTTACTGAACTGAACTGAATTGGTCTGATTAGAGCTGAACTGAAATGAATATTTTATGAGAGAAAAAAAATTAGGAGATGAAATGAACTGAACTGAAATTAGGGCCTGTTCACGTTTATTGAACTAAACTGATCTGAATATTTTATGAGAGAAGGAAATTAGGAACTAAAATGAATTGAACTACACTGAACTGATTGGAGCTGAAATTAAGCTGAAGTCAATGGCGAGCCTAGGCCGGTGCAAGGTGGGCGACAACTTAGGGCCCCCAAAATAAAGGGCCTCGAAAATTAGTATATACCGGTATTACGGTATATATATAGTAATTATATAGAGTTGAAGTTGGATCAGTGATTTTGTTGTACTTATGATAACTCAAGACCAGGGTTCAAAATCTATGAGAGTTTGACCTTCATGTAATGGGCCTAATTTTTAACCAAAACGTAATTTGGGCTGCCTAAAAACCCATATATTTTATTTCAAAAGTATCGGGCCGGGTCGTGCCCATCACTTTCGGATCGGGTCGGGGCAGCACAACTTTGGTCATGTTTCAAAGGTAGTGGCTGTTGAAGACTTCTCTGTTTGCTCTGTTTCCCTTAACTGCAAAACCCCAAAACCTCTGAAAAACCCTCACTTCGCCTCCTCTGAGCTTCACCTGTACTCTTCAATGGAGGACACACTTTCCGACGAAGAACAACCAATGGAAACCCTAACAACATTTACAGAAGACAACGAATTCGAATACGATGAACACGGTAATACTCTCTCACCCTCTTTTCTCCTCTCCTTCTCACTCATTCAATCTCTAACATCCTGCATTTCTAAGTTGCAGCAATGGAGGATGAAGCAAAAACCCTAAATTTCGAATCGAAGCCGTCGCACGCGGCGAAGATTCGTGAATTACTTCGGAATATTACTTCAATTGAGCCCAAGCTTTGCTCTGATGGCTCAAAGGAGTTCATGAAGCTTCTGAGGGGAAGCTCAGGTGGGGAGCTGTTGCACGAGTATGTTCGGGCTTCGTCGAAGTTCTCGGAGCTTCTAGAAGTTTGGAATCGCCGGCGAGGTAAGCCTGGTATGTATTATGTAATGTCGGTTATTTCTGTGATTTTGGGGCATTCTGAGGGGAAGTTTAGGTCTGATGTTCCTGGTAGGATTGCAATTAGTAGAGAATTAGATAAGTTTGCGAAATTGATTATTGAAGAGAAGTTAGATGATGTTTATAAGGAGCTTAATAGTAAGGATGGGAAGCGCCAAAATGCGGCATTGTTGTTAATGGCGTCGATTGTTAGGCGTGGTTCGTTGTTGGCTGCTGAGGTGGCCAAGATATTCGATTTTAAGTTACCGATATTGCCTAAGTTGTCCGGATATAGGAAGAAGAAAGTAGATAGGAAGAGGAAGGATTCAACTAGGGATTCTTTTATTGAGTTTGCAATGTCGTTTTTGGAGGTGGGTAAGCCGGGATTGTTGAGGTGGGTTTTGCAGTTGAGGGAAGTTTTTTCGGGGATCCTTCGAGGGATTGGGAATGATGATGAAATGACTGTGGTCTATGTGTTGTCGACATTGCGTGATCGGGTTCTTACCCGTGAGTCCTTGGTTCCCCCGGGTCTTCGAAGTGTTCTTTTTGGGAGTGTTACATTAGAGCAGTTAGTAGATATTTCTGCGTGGAAATATGGTGCGCTTGCTGCAAAGCTTGCGTATGAGGTTCTTCTCATGGTGTGCATTGATCCCGACAATGGATTGATGACTGACTTAAAAAGACAACCACCTGCAAAGGGAAATCCAAAGCGGCTTGTTGACCTAATGAAGAAGCTTAAAGCTACGGAAGTTGAGTACCACAGGAGCCTGCTTTTGGCAATTGTCAATGGGAGACCATCACTAGCTTCAATGTATTTGGATCAGTTCCCATACAACCTTGATGATCATACATCATCCACATGGTGAGATTTTTTCATTGGAATCTAGTGTTTGGTCATTTGATAGTACATTACTCTCTTTTTTTTTTGGCTGTAACTAGAAATTCTTTCAGGCTCTCTGCTGTCACATTGGCAGCAAATGTGGTTTCCTCGGTGAGGGGTGGGATTTCATGGGATTTTCTTGATGTCCAAGCCAAAAATATGGTGGCCTTTGAGACGTCAGATGTACAAAGTGTTATGAAATGTGTCTGTCTTCGCCCTTTCAGTCGTCTGGTAGTCAACAAAGGCTTACTTCATTCTGATTTTCTGATCAAACATGGTACCTTAAGGCTCCTTTTAGAGGTTCTAAAATTGTTAAGCTCCTTCATTGATGCTTTAAGTTTGAAAGGATTGCCTTTACTCAAGCAAAAAATTCAAGATGAAGTTCGTATCCTGCTCCCTGATCCTCAAGTATTGTTTACATTACTGAGTTCGGTTAGTAGTATTAATCAGATGTCAGGGCCTTCCTTGAAGAGAGCAGCTGATTCAGAAAGCATTGGCAGTCATAAAGGTTCTGCTAAAAAGAAATCAAAGGTTAATGAAGACATTGATATTCTTGTGACCGGGTTAAGTTCAAGTGCCGAAAGCATTGTACCAGTAGATGGTGTAAAACCACCGGAAAAATCTATGATGCCTCCATCTGAGGATGGAAATGATCATGAGTCAATCATGGAAATTTGGGGTTCTTATGAAAGCTCTTTCTCTTTGAATATTGTAAAAAATGCCGAAGTGTACTTCTATTGCAAAGTACTTGAAGCTCTCAAAATATATCACGTAAGTTTTTTGCTGTTTATAATTCAAAGATACTGCATGTAGTTATTGTTAGGTTTTATTATCTTTGCAAAACAGTGGCAATTATGCTTCTCTACAGTGTCACGTCAGATAGTGCTGTGCACATAACTTCAGAGGAATAGAAAATTGCCTACATTGGGGTAAGCTAGGGCATTGTCAATCAATTTCCCTCTGACATTGTTTTTAAGCGTTGATAGGCCCGCCACATAAAATTACAATTACTATGTAATCTAAAATCCACACTCAAATTACTTGACAAAAGTTTGTGTTGCCTACTTTTTGTTCTGTTTGTTTTCTTCCCTGGCTAGGATTTATTTAAGAAATCTAACTTTAATATGCATGTAGGTGTTAACCTTTCCCGTAAGGCCGTAACTACATCTATAACATATGAATAGGTTTGGAGAGGCAATTGCAAATTGCAATGTGATTATGTCTTGTGCCTAATATAACTTGATTCATTTTCTATTGCAATGTGTTATACCCAGACTAGACTATCCACTTTATTATTATACTTTTTTTTCAATCCTTGATCATTTACTATCTTCCAGGGCCTTTTTTCTATGGTTTAGCTCTTGTAACCATAAATTATTTCTAATTGGTTCATTTATACTTGATTTGTCTGGCCATTCTGTGGTGAATATCTGGGTTAGAACGCAGAATTTCATCTGATACAGAAGCATTCCATTCAATCTCCTTCACCTTTCTGCAGCCAGAAACCAACCTGATCTTCTAACTTACTTAGAGTTGTAAACTGATGAGGTCTTTTGTAGTATGTGCTTTAATTTTTTTGCTTCAACCTGAGTAACTTGGCAATAAGGTTTCTGAAATTCTGGTAGTCAAGATCCATATTGGGGATCCAAACACTGAATAGTGTACCTACATTCACCTAATAATATAACTGGGCAGTCACAATTTCACCAATTGAGAGAATATGATCATCAAGTTTAGTTAACTCCTGCACTTTATAGATAAAATCATACTCGACACTTGACAACTTGAAGACATGAATGGTCCTACACCTGCATTTGTGACATGGGAGATGCCTCTTGCTACTTACATCAACAAAATAAATAAATATTTACAGACTTCTTGGGCTTGCGGGGGAGGGGGGGGGGGATTGGATCTGGAACTTGGTATGAAATTTAATATGGCCCAAAAGGAATTCATGTGGATCTTTGCATCTTTCTTTATGTATCTTACTCCCCTTCAACATTAATTCAGCAAGTGTTTCTTGTTTTGGAGGACTTTCAAAAACTTTGTATACCATGGTATGTATGAGTGTATGACTTGTTTTCAACTTCTTACCAGCATACTCTGATGTATGTGACTCGTCCGTCCTTTACACATCTTGATGAAAACAAATCACTGTATTAGTATAGTATGCTTTATTTTGCTGTACTTTATGTATATATGTATTTATTGATTTGCTTATTTATATTTATTGTAATTTTGTATGAATTCATTGCACATCTACTAAGACCTTGTAAGTTGTGATATTATCTTTCCAATGAAAAATTTTCTGGGTTTGGGAGTTGTTCCACGAATGTCATGACCAACTCTGCCTAGCATGTTAAGAAAATCAAGGACTAGATTGCTTGGTTTTGTGGTCTCCGAAATTGACTTTCCGTCTTTCACTTGCTTGGCTTATTTAGTAGAAATACACTAAAGAAGAGAGAAATTGTCAGGAAGTATGATTAACTGATTGTTGGCTTTCTTTGTATCCTAAATATCCTTTGTATGATTAACTTACTTTTCACTTTCTTTTTATACAGGGGACCTTTCAAGCTATTTTGGAAGTATCATATGATTTTCTTAAAATTTTGCCAAATAATCCGCTAAAGTTGCCAGGAATTCTTTTGCAATCGTTGTTGTCCATGTTGATAGAACACCTTGGCTGTTCAAAAGAGTCAGGTTTCTCAGCCAGAACGCTGCCTCCTATCTACAAGCATCTGCAACCTTTTCTTAACTTGTCATTAAATTCACCTTTTGGATATGTAAGAGAGCATGCATATGTTTTGGCTAAAGCAGCAATGATGAGTACTGGTGCTTTTGACCACAACCCATGTGAAATTGGGTCATGGTTTTTGTTTTTATCTGGTGATGTCGGACAATATGACAGCGGCAAATGCCAGGAGGAAAAACTGCTCCATTCTCTGTCTTTACCTGTTGTTTCTTTTCTTTGTGATGCTGTATCCACCGTTGGTAATAACTTAGTCAAGTACTGGGATATTATGAAGTTTCAGCTTTCGGAAGTGGAGACTACAAAAGGTATTATGAAGTGCCAACAGTCGGACGTGGAAAGTACAAAAGGTAATATGGAGTAATAAACTGGAAAATGATCTCTGTCTTTTTTATGCTTTTTTATTTTGGTTTTAGTAATCTTGCTTTTAAATTATGGTATGATGCAAAATGTACCGCTTACATCCTAAAAAGTCTAACTACATGTTGCACAATCACACAAAGCATTGGTTCCGTAATTCCTTTTTCATTTACCATATGTTGGTCTTAATATATTTAAGCGTTAGACACTATTTTATGCTTCTTGTAGTACCGAAATTTGGAGCCTAGACTTTCTACTGTGTTGCATGATTGCTTCAGCTAGAGAGGGGGGGGGGGGGAGTTACTTTGAGTTGTTTCTTGCCTTGAGAAATGGCGACATACATAGTCAATGAGAAAAAGAAGCTCAATGGACTTGTTTCTTTGGCAAGATGTTACATAATAAAGTAATTAATTATTGGGTAGTCATTCATGTTATTCGTTTTATTTAGAGGTGATTAGATTTGTTTACTTTTATGCAAATATTTTTTAGCTTTTCAAAGACAATTTACACCTAGAAGATGCAAAAGGGGAAGAGGTTTAAAAAATGTATGCTTATGAGTAGTTATGTCATTGATATCTATGTCCAGCAACTTAGGGTTCGTTTGGCAGGGATCTATAATAAACTAGTCTATGTCATATAATGAATCAAAAATTAGTCAAACTTATTTTTGAAAACTGACAACAGAAAAGTGGAAATACCTTTTTCTTGTTTCTTGTTTTTGGCCTTTTGTTTTCAAAAATATTGAACACTGAAAACTTAAAACAATGCCAAACAAGCCCTGGAATATGTAGCCTTACCTCTAACCAATTGAGTCTAGTGAAAAGGCTGTTTTCTAAACACCAGTTGTAAATGCTTTCTGGAATGGATGTAATAAAATGAATAATGCAAAAGTTTGTGAGCAATGGCAAAGTCACAATCACCCCTGTCTAATAAAACCCACTCTTAACTCTCACTTTTCTCCCCTGTTCTCCTAAAGGTCATTTATAAAGCTATGCCTTCTCTCACAAAAACTCATCTAAACCTTACTGTGCACCCAATATGTGCAATAAAAAAGTCTCTTAAAAGCAAAGTTCAGCAAGCATTTTTGTTACAGGAGTAAGAGTTGGAGCTGGTCGGGGAGGGGGATCAGGAGTAGTGACTAAAGTGTAGAAACTAGTCTTACAATTGACAGGGATCTATAATAAACACAAACAAGAATTCAAGATGGAGGGAAGGTGAGGGATATGGGGGCAAGGAAGGGGTGCATTTCACCTCAATGTTGAGATGGAGTAGCTCATTTACTTGAGAAATATATTGATACCAACAAAGCAAAAATTCTTATTGGTACCAATGAAGAACTATAATTGTACCACGATGGTACTATCTAAACACAATTTATTACCAATGGAAATTGTTAAAATCCTATATGACTAACGCTATTATAGCTTTAGAGTTCTCCATTTACTTGGGATCAGCTACAGTGTCTTTGCCCAATTTGTGTTTCCGATTTTTTTTTTTGAGTTCTTCTAATTTTGTTGTCCAATATTAAGAAGAGTACTCTGGTTGTATTCTGGTTGCACATAGTCAAACTACACATTTTCTATATAATAGTTTCTCATGTCTTCGTCATTAATGAGATTTCCGGGTTATTTGCATGATTGATTGACCCTATTCCTTGTTTTAAATAGTAAGTTTTGGTGCTATCAAGTGTTGGTATATTATTATCTATCTGTGAATGTAACGTGTTGCATTTCTCATTGCTACAATTATTGCTATGCTGAAGCACCTCATAGGGCAAATAAAAGTTTATAACTAAAAGAGGTTTAGAAAAGGACCAATGTACTATTGTGGTTTGTTTTAAAGGTATAATATAATTGCTACTTCTTTTTGCATTGCCAGCTGTGGAATTGAGGATGTATTGACATATTGCTGTATTAAGCTACAGTTGTTTACTTGCCTTTCTTCATGACGTGTTAACTGCGATGGTGATTTGCACACTTAGAAGATAATTTACGAGGGTCCCTAACTAGTAGAATGTATCGTGATGAGAGCACATGAGTGACATGACTGGTTTTCTGAAAGGTTGAATATTTTCTTCCCATGGCAGAAGCGAGTGTTGATTTTAGCCCACTTGTAGCCTGTATTCTGGAAAAGTGTTTGAGGCTGCTCAGCTCTGGATCAGAGACATTCACTTTGCCTGAGAAATCTGTGATATCCTTGTATGTCTGTAACACATTAAAATATCTAATGGAAACTCAGGTAATTGTTAACACTGTAGCTTTTCATTGCAAGTTTCTGTTTGAATTATAACATGACGCTCTTAATTTGATAGATTGATGCCAGAGTATTAGCTGCAGTTGTTCATCAGCAGTTATCGAATAGAATCGAGAAGTATATCTCTGCAGTAGCCGTAATTGAAAATTCCTGCTGTGAGTGGAGATCAATGATTTCATTGTTTCTGTTTTCACGGAGCATTTTATATCATGAAACTTGCAGTGAAGTCTCTACTGATAGGATTTCTCGGAAGGAAAACCGCTCATTGATGGACATGCTTGCTGAGGTGAAAAGGCTTTTGAGTGCAGGCAGCATTGACGTCATTGGAATATCTAAAGCATTATGCTCCACAATAGCGTGCACAAACCCGGATGATATAGTGGATAATTTACCTTCAGTTTTGGCTGTTTCTGGTGAACTTCCTGGGTTTAACCGTTCAGTCATGGACTGCTTTTGTCTTGATCAGAACCTTATGAAACACGTGTCTAAGCTTTGGCCGGATATGTTCTATTCAGGTCTTAAACTGAGTGTCCTAGCATCTAGTCAACTGACTCAAGAAAATCACAAACAAACTTCAATAAAGGCTCTGCAGAATGACTTTGTAGAGATAGAATATGTTTCTGCTGTTTTTGGTTCTTTACTGAAAGATGCACCTTTCTACGTATTATTCCCTGCATTTTTGTTTTGTGGTTGGGAGCACCATCCAGAAATCCAAGAGTTGCTTTTAGCTAAGGTGTCTAACTTAGAAATTGAGCAGATTGTTTCTTCACTGAGGCTGGTCCTTTTTTGGTATCATCAGATACAGATTTCGTATAGAAAGAAACCATCTGAAAAGCAGGAATTGCAAGCTGAACTATGCTATGTGCTTGTGAAACACATTTTAGCCCTTTTGCCTACTTTGAAATTTGATTCTGGTTCTTTGGCAATAAATGCAGTGTTTCCTCTCTCTCTTTGTCTTCAAGAAGTATCTACAACTGTCTTTCGTCACCCTTTAGTAACTGCAGCAATATTGTCTCCATTTGATCGTGGTTGTAAACTCACCAAAGAATTTTTAAGGGATATCTCAGAGGGAGTTCTGCATCTTAGTGGAGAAGGTATTTGTAAGACAGAACTTCATATTCTGGAGTTATTGACTACTACTTCTGAATTCTTATTAGCTCTGTGTAGCAAAGAACTTTCTTCATCCATGTATATTGAGTGCAAGGAAAATATTGTCAAGGAGTTTAGGAATTTGGTGCAGTGGATATTTTTAGTTTTTAAGCAGAAGTTCAAAATGTGGTATAGATCTGGTGATATGGCCCTCTTTCCAATCTTATGTGCTTTTGTTGTTTTGATGCGATTTAGCTCACCCATCGAGTTGCTTGAGTTGGCAAATTGGATGCTTTCATGTGTGGAACTTACCGACTCCATAATTCCTGGAACCTTAAATGTCTCTCGCTCATGTTTGGCATTTTCTATTGCTTGTGGAGCTTTAAGCATTCTGTTTCAATGTATGCAATCTCCAAATTCTGGGATGGTGCCACAATATTCAAAAGCTACCGAATTGAGAAGTCTTGATGCTACATTATTCAAAAGCATATATTTTAAGGCTTATGCCTTTGCAACTTGTCTCAAAACTGACTTTGCAGACATATGTTTGCTTAAGGCTCTCAATGCTGCTTGCGGCCAGATTCATAGGCAGGATTGTCTTCCATTCAGCATTGAAATAACTAGATTGACAGCCAGTACTCCTGTAAGAATTGTTTCCCACTGTCTTCACAGAACTGACAATACCAAGGCAAAAATATTATTTCTAATAATTGAGATGAGTGTATTACATTTATCAGTTTTTGGTCAGCTGCTCTCAGATTTTATGAATGAAGATACTGTTTCAATTGTCAATGCATCAAAAGAGATCTGTAGTCAGTCCCTTTCAGATGAGGAGTGTTTGATGCTTTTGCCTGCTGCAGCCTTGTACATAAGTGTTTCTTGGACAAAACTCAGAGAGCACCCTTTTAGGAATATTAAGTTCATGCTGGATTCTTATTCAAGGATTCTCTTGGATGGTTTTTCTAACTGGAAAGACTTTGTGTCTAAATCTGTATTTGAGGTGGAATTTGATAATGTTTTTCCGTATTCTGTTGAGAATCTTCATGATCTTTTCAACAGCAGTCTCCTTCATAAAGCAGTTCAAATGTTGCAGTGGTACTTCTCCTCAAGTGGGGATGATAAAAATAAGAGATTGAAAATAGTGGGCTCACTTTGCCCTATTTCTGAAGCTTTAGATGATTTTATGGACTTTGATGTCAGAGATATTGATTCATACTCTGTTGGACAGTTGACCAACTTAATCAATAGAGTTTTCGCTAAAATTTCTCTTTGTTTGGTGCTTTTATTCCCAGAGGGAGGTAAGAAGTGCTTAACAAACGAAACTCTTGATGTTGAGCGGGAATCTTGTGTCGGCTCTAATAGTGAAGACTCATTAGGATTAAGGTTCTTAGATATGCTGATCTGTGTTTGGCAACTTGTTGTGAAAAAAAATCCATCTGCCTTTGATAATCCCGGCCTAAAGACTCCCATCTGTTTGTTGTTGAGATCTCTTGAAATGTTTACGCTGAGATGCATTTATAAATTGATCATAAATATGCATAGTATCTTGATTCAGATGAATTCTCTTTCCTTTATTGAAAAGATGGTAAAGATTTCTCTTCTTCATAGATTTGGGAACCCTGTGACATTTGAATATCTCCGGTACATTTTATCATCTTTATCTGATGGGAAGTTGCCTATAATCTTTATTCTTCAGTTGGTTCTTGGGCATTCTCAATTGGCCTCCACTGTTGCTACTGTTGTTGACTCATCTACTTCTGCCTCATCTGGGATGGTTATAAAGCCCATGTCTAGCCTTTTGAGGACACTAGTTGTTCCTTTAGAAAGAAGCAATTCGGAAAAATCAGAAAAATACAAGTCCCAGTTGGAGGTAATCAAGTTACTTAGACTACTCTTTCACTTAAGAGCTACTCGATGCGGTTCAGTTTCTGAGGATGACTTAGGTATTAATTTAAGAGAATTATCTTTGCTACTATTGACTACTTATGGCGCCACGGTTAGTGAAATTGATTTGGAGATTCATAGCCTTCTGTCAGAAATTTATATTGACGAGGGGATAGGTGACCAAATATTTTCTGATCAAGATTACCTGTGGGGAAGTGCTCTCAAAGTTGGAAAAGGACACACAATGAATAATGTGCTTATGAAGGATGGTACGGCAGATGTGGAAGAAGACTGTAGACGAAGTCAGTTCAGGGATAATCTTCCTATTAACCCTAAGTTGGTGATTCAGACTGTCCTATATTTTCCTTATGAAAGGACCACATCTGCAAAGTCGCTATTCATAGATGATGTTCATCAGGGTGGAGTCAGAGATACTAAGGAGGTATCCATCACATATATTTAAGTTATTTACATGGCTCAATCTTGGCATCATATATGAATATATGATGGTTCTATATTCTTCTCTTTTACCTGTTATCACCATCTTTTTATTTTACTGATTCCCCCCCACCCCCCTCTTTTGTGGTACAGGAGCAGTCTACAGATATAGGAAGAATAGAGCGTTATGATCCAATCTTTATTTTATCTTTCTCCATTCATAGCTTGACAATGGGCTTCTTGGATCCCATAGAGCTTGCTGCCCTAGGCTTGCTTGCTATTGCATTGGTTAGCATGGGATCACCTGAAGATGAGATACGGAAGTTAGCTTACGAGGTTGTTTGGAGATTCAAGGATGCATTGATGGTAATTTAACTTTTTTTTTGTACTTGTTTTGCTGGGTCTTTTGTTCAAATATCTTTATTTGATAACTTGAATATAATGGAAGATTATGCTTCTTTTGGAAGAAAAAGAGGATACACTACAAGCTTCTTTGTAAATTCATATCTTGTATTAAGGTATACTTTTAAATGTAGCTTGCATTAAAGAAAAATTATCTATCATACTGTTTTATAGTCTGTGAGTGTTCAATTTGTTTGCTTTTGCTTTCTTGTTTGAGTTTTGGGGGTGCTCCAGATATATCTTTTGCGAAATTGTGTGGAGGTAAAGCTATCTAATCCTCCCCGCTTCTGATATTTATGGCCATCTCATTTGGGGGATTATGTTGTTTCTTGGTGTTAGTATTTAGTAATTGCCTTGAGTTGCTTCTCTTAGGTTTCTAAGCTAAACAAATCCATTTACTCCCATAATGGAAGCAAAATGGAGAACCTGAACTAGGTGAACTGTCACCAAAGATTGAACAGTTGTGTCTTCTCTTGTTCTTTGACTTGGTGATGCATCAGATAGGAAAATGTCCTCTTTTAGCTTGAGTTTTAGTGGTCATTGATACGTACGTAGCTGTATTTAGTGTTCAAATGAGATCTTAAAGCTGACTACATCCATCTTGAGCTGTTTTCCAATTCTTGGTGTGATCATATACTCCTATAAAGGCTATAATGGAAGGACAAGCCAAATTTTGCTAGTTTTGTCTTGGAATATCAAATCTTCTCATCTCTGTTGGCTTTCCCTTTCCAGGTTTAATTTCGGGCATCAATGATCACATACTTTTGGTCTGTATGTATATCCTACTTTTAATCCAGTGAGGTAGGAAGAAGGTTGGAGTTATTATCCTGGGATTTTGGCTGATGGGAGTAGTGTGTTTCAGGCTGCTTTACTGTGTCAAAGTGTTAGTATACTTGGGAAGTTCTCTTGCTTCACATGCTGGAGCAGGACTCCTAGTCATTGAAAAATGTTTTGGGTATTTTGTTTCTTGCATATAGTTATCTCAAGTGATTAAAAATGTGTTGAAAGATACGTTTTGGAAAACATGCATTTTCTTCATTTTTATTGCTTGTAAACTTTTTGTCAAATTGTTCTCTCCAATTTGTTTGCATGTTTGGACAAGTTAATTTGGTCTTCTATGAAATGTTGGCCTTGTTGGGCATATAGCTTCTGCTCTAGATTAAACGCTCAGGGATATATTTATTTATTTATTTTTATTTTTTTTTTTGGGGGGGGGGGAGGCAAGGAGGGAGCCTGAAAAGGTGAAAGATAGTAGTTGAAAATCCTTTGGAAGTGTGCCATATATTTCTTACCAATCCCAATCTTCAATACTATTGGATGGATACAGCAGTATTTTATAATGACTCCTTTCCAAATCTTAGTCCCACGCAACCTTGTCTTTTTAGCTTCTCCTTGATTAATGGCTGATTAGCTTGTTCATGATATGCCCTTGAAGATTTTATGTTATCCATCTTGTACGTCATTTTGGCTCTCTTCTTATAGTTCATTTAATAATCATGTTACTGTAAATATAAACCTGATTAGTTCAATTATACCCAGAATGCAAAGCACGAGCCTTATTTTGAGACAATGAGCACAAAAGGTCGAAGTAGAGTGTACACTCTGACTATAAGATCTCATTTAACGTTGACTATTAATTGGCTGGGTTGTTTTTTGTTGTTTTACCTGATTTTTATGTCATTTAATTTGATCATAAGTTGTGTATTAAATATTCTAACAGTACTTTGTTGCTGATGGCAGAGATGTCAGAAAAAAAGGGAGGTGACACGCCTTAAGCTTTTGCTGACGTATTTACAGAATGGAATAAAAGAACCATGGCAAAAAATTCCCACCATTCTTGCTGTTTTTGTTGCCGAAGCCTCTGTTGTTTTATTGGATCCCTCGCATGAGCATTATCCTGTCATAAGCAAGTTCTTGTTGCAATCTCCTCGTGTAAATTTGAAGGTAATTACTTGCAGAAGTTACTTTACTCTTAGTTTTCCTTAATGATTTATGTCAACATATTTTAAGTATGTCTTTTTATTATAAATTCAAAATCCCCTTGCTCATTAACCTTTGTTCTTTTGCAGTCCATACCTTTGTTTCATGAATTTATCTGGAGCAGCTCTGTGACCTTCAGAACAGACAGGCTGTGGATGCTTCGTCTACTCTATGCAGGGATAAATTTAGAAGATGATGCTGTAATATGTGTTAGGAACTCGGTGCCTGAGATTTTATTGAGTGTTTATGCTTCACCTCTTTCAGATCTTGAATCAAAGGAGTTGATTCTTCGGGTAAGTTTTGGTCATATGAATGAGTTCTTGTATGTTTTTATATATTTGTTAATCATCTCTTTTTATTTTGGGACAAAGTTTGGAACTGCTTTGCTAAAAAAACAGTGGAATTTATGAGGGATAAATTTTACTCAGTCCTGACTCTTGGGGTATTCTGGTTCTCTTTCTGCAGTTTATTTTCACTTTATGATAATACTCTTTTTTATTTGAAAAATATATATCAAGCTATATTGTACATCATATGGGAGTGCTCCCAAATGCTATTGACTATGCAGGTTCTCCACTATGTTTCTAATTTCCATTACCATTATGTCCCTTTTGTATTGAAATTAATCTGAACTGTTGACCATCTTCTTATAGAATTTCAACTTTGAATTTAACAAAATATTATCCCAATTGACAGGAGATTTGCATTTTGTGGGACATTGTTTGAAGCTATAAATCCTGGGTATTATTGTATTAGTCCTTAATAGCTAATATTTTTTTAAAACAAATTCTTTTTCTTCGGAATAATCAAATGTTGGGATCTATCTAAGAAGATGAGTTTAATTTAATTGTTTAAAGTAAATTTTTTCAAACCCATCTTCCACTCACTCAAAAGGTTTTCATTTGCATTTTGATAACTCACTTTGAGCATTAGATCCTTTGTTGATCTAATTTTTGCAGTGAGTAGCTTTGCATTTAATATATGAGCATTGAAAGCACATTGATTAGTACGGTAGCTATTCTAGTTGGTTAAAAGCTGTTTTCTTCTTTGTGCTCACCATTTTTTATTATATCAAATTTCATACATGTTCTTTCAATCTTTCAGCCCTGTGTTGTTCAATATCATGACCAGAATATTATGAATATCTTGCTGCTATCTAATGAACTTCTGCTTTATTGTTATTTATTTTGTAGGTGGTGAAGAAGTGTGTTAAATTGCACAAGACAGCCTGTTATTTAGTTGATAATTGTTGTCTGATTTCCTGGCTATCTTCAGCTCTTGCCTTATCTATGATTCATACTGATGGTGAAGATATGTTTTTCTCAAAGCAGTTGCTAGTTCTACTTGAGGTTTGTCCCTAATCATATTTCTTCTTATCCATTGAACCTTTTATTTAAGATTATCTATCCACTCTATTCAATTTTCTGAGCTTGTATATATGGCGGCATGTTTGATGTAATGGTATTGTTATAGTTTGTATTCTTATAATATGATGTGATTTTGATAGGGCCAATGTATTAATATCGCTTTCAAGTTTACTCTTTGTACTTTTTATATATTGCGAAGTTGCTTGATGGTTATTTTGTTTTAAAATAAGGGTTAATTGGAAATGATCTTTTTTTGGTCATTAAAGGGTGTTAGGCTACACATCAATGGCTACCCAAATAAAGTTCTGTCCTACTGGTGTGTCATCTCTAATTCTTTTAGTACTTGTTGGGTTATGAGATCTATTTTTCTTGTCAAGCAAAAAAAAAAAAAAAACAGAAAAAAAAAGAAAAACCACACACACACACGCACAATCACACTGAAGAATAAAGAGAAGTAAAACATCAAAGAAAAATGTGAAATAAGAAAGGAAGCCACTATATTTCTAGAGCTTACTTAATCCTTTTTCTCAGCATTTGTTTGTTGAAGAGACCAAGGCTCTATTTTTGCTATCATATGCTCTGTCTTTCTAGTCCCTACCCCAGGTGCCATTTTCAGTGTGCTGTGTTGCTGCCCTTTTGATGATTTGCTCTTGTTTGTTACCTTTACTTGCCATTGTTCTTGAGGTTAAGGCAGTACGAAGCTTACTTCCCAAATAGAATGCATATGGTTTGTATCTTTTAAGAACTCAAGTTTGATAGTTACAATCATTTTAATTTGTTACTTGTTATGATGCTATTTATTGGCCACTAGCTCCTTACTATCGAAACTGAGTATTGATCATTTCCATTTTTTCATTCATTATGTAGGTAGTGCATGAGACCGTCTCATCCACAAGCACAATGGAATGGCTGCAAAAGCATGCAATTGAGCAGCTTTCTGATCTTTTTTGTCAACTTTTAAATCTGTTAGTTAGATGCTCAAAGTTGGCTCTGGAGACTAAGTCATTGGTTACTTTAATTCTAGAAATAATTGTGACAGTCTTGAAGATGTCACAAAAAGGGAACATGTACCAACCACCTCTTACGCCTACTATGCGGTGTTTATATCAAATATATCAGGCTGTTGATGTGCATGATAATAGATCTGGTGATTTAGCAGAATGTGGGCTGAAAGCTATACTTATGAGTGCGCCATCAACAACTATTTTTGACCTGGTATTCTCTCTGCGTGTGTAGCATCTTCATCTTTTTCCTTTCTTTATGCCTGTGTTGGTTTGGGGGTAGGGATCATTGGGGTTGGTGGCTGCATTTGTTTATGCACTTTACCTCCAGCCTTCAACCTTGATTGTGCCATTGCATGACTCCCACATTTGCACCAGGACTGTCTATGGAATTAATTATATAAAAGTAGAACCATTTTGTTATGGTCTGAATTAGTAATGGATATCTGCATTTTGTTGCTCCTTGGGCTGCAACTTTGTTTAACATTTTTATTGCATGCAGGGGAATAATTTGGTTTATCTGGTCTCCTTGATATGTGCTTTGGGAAAGGCTTCCTTCCCTTTCTTCTTTCTGTTTGTGCATGATTGTGTGTGTGTTTTTTCTTAATATCATCAGTACTTGTTCTTGCTAGAAATTGACTTAAAGATTTTAGTAAAATGTTGTTTAATTTAGATGCATCTACACATGTAGTCATGTAGAAGTTCTATTACAATAACTGGTTAGACTAGTGTTTTTGACATGTATAGTGCACTGGTTCTATACTGTTTTTAAAATTGATCATGGTAGAAGATGAGAGAAAAGTGGTATTAAGGTTGGATAACCATGTTATTGTTACTGATAAAGGAAGACAAATTAAGAGGAGAGAGTGCCTTGTGTAATAAGTGTTTATATTTTGAATTCTAGTATGGATGAGATGTGTTACTTTTTTCTTTTTAGATGCATTTGTAGAAGTGGAATTGTGCTGAAGATATTGATGAACAATTGAGCATCTTGTTTTAGATGCATCTGTAGAAGTGCTATTGCATTTATTAACATGTTACCTCTTTTTCCTGAAGGACTTGAAAGAGCTCTCCGAGTTTATTACGTGGGCAGTTTCTACAGCTCTACATACAGATTCTCGGAAGACGTTGCAGCAAACACAATATTTTCCCCACAAAGTGTGTATTCAGGATGCAGAATACATACAAGAAGAGTCTCTAACTTCAACACTTCTACGTTGGCTTGTAGCTTCTGTAATTCTATGGAGGGTTTCATGTAGCAATAGTGTCTTCAACACTAGTTTTCTACCTAGTGGAGAAAATGGTGAAACTTTGCAATCATTAATAACACTCTTTGAAAGCAAAGGTGGAGAAGACAAACTTGTGTCTGGTTCTAAAGAAATCTTAGCTACAGCAATTTTTCACCTTCAACAGCTTCTTGGCATGAAATGTCTGGTGCTGTCTTCAGTGGTTGCAGCACTCTCAATTTTGCTCCTTGGTGATGGGTCATATGCTGCTGCAGGTATGTACCAGAAGTCACAACATCACTGAACATATGTAATGATCACAATAAGCAATAAAAAACTGCAGCCCGTCTGATTATTGATAATAGCCAAAAGGAGTAACAAGTTGTCGGGTGAGAGATTTAAGAGGACTAATAAATGCAAATATTGCAGTTGTATTTTAATACACATCTTAAGAAACTAAATTTCGATGATTGTTTTCTGAAATCAGCTACTACCCTTGTAACAATTCTATGCATAGCATTCAGACATGGGACTTTAATTTTTCTTACCTTTTTATTTGTTTGTTGAGTTCTGGTTTATTTTTTTTATACAGGTGATTTGTCAGGCACCGCCACCTGTGTCAACCCTCAAAATTCTTTGTCATTTATCTGGTCAAAGATATACTGTCCTCCTGAAGCTAATCCTTCCTGGAGATGGTAAGATACTATGCTTCTTTGTCTGACCTTTTGTTTTCCCTTCATATTCCTTCCTGATTTCGGAAATCTTGTTTTCATTTTACATGTATTGCCATACTCAATCCTGAATATGGTTGTCCTTCCCAAAAACTCATCCTTGTTTTTAAGCTTAATCTCCTTTAGCGCAACGCAATATCTATGTTATGTAGTAGTATTACCGGGCAACCACATTGGGACATTTCCTCCCCTTTCGTGAAAAGGAAGCATGAGTGCAACAAGTAGTTGTGTATAATGGTTACTGTTTGATATCTGTTTGAGCTAAACTAATGAAGTAACTCATGTCTTGTTAACAGGTCATTTTACCAACCATGGGCTGATCTTGAAACAGAACACACCGATTTGGAGAAATTAGATGAAAGACATGCATGCCAAAAATTCCTGGTCATAATCTCAGGGGTGTTGGAAAAGAAATCGTCAGAACACGAGTTGTTATCCCCTCAAGAATTAGAATCTTCAGGATTATTTGAATGGGAGAGAACTAACCTCCAAAAAGAATAACATGTTTACTATAGGTCCATATTCTGATTGTACATATTTTTTGTAGCTTGCTAGTTGTAGCTTTACAGAATCGTACTTGTATTCTTTCCACATTAAATGAAAGAAGTTAATTGGCTGGAAATCCCATTTCAGAATACCTATTATTAACAGGTTTCCTTTAGTTTAATTTTACTACATGACTTCAGATTAATACTACCTCCGTTATAGTTTATGTGCAACTATTAGACATTTTCCCTCTCCGCTTTATGTCAAATCGTTGCACATAACCTGTAACGGAAGTAGGACATTGATTTAAGTTTCAAAACAAGATGCATTTGCAATTTCTAGGTGAGCAGAATTCGGAGCTTGTCTCAGGGACACGCACTGACGCGGTTTGGTGTGTTATCGAGTAACATTCAATTCAATTCGGTGGCGGTCTGAGTCATTTTCTGATTGGATCACATTTCAAGTCATCATACAAAAATTTAAATCAATACAAGTCACGACAGTTTCTATATCTGCTCGGCTCTAATTACGGCTTAGGTCTAATACGAGTAATGCAATAACCGATTGTAGTCCAAATTTGGATCATTCAACCTAGATCAAGTAGCGAGTAATAAGCGAGTTCGAGTCATTTTTATCAGGTCTACTATTCGACTTTTGATGCTCCATAACTCTTATTACACCTCATCGTAATAAGAATCAAAATCCGCAGAATCAGAGGGAAACAAAAGAGAGCTCTTTCCCTAAATAATGTTGGGAACTTATCTAATTCCCAAAATACAGCTAATCTTTTTTTAATTCCCAATCTACCGTCCACGTCAGCTAAGTGAAAAAAACCGGTTTTTTTTATCGGTCCAGCAACAAACCGCTACTTCAAGTAGCGATTTATAAAATTAAAACCGCTACTTTAAGTAGCGGTTTATAAAATAGAAACCGCTACTTGAAGTAGCGGTTTTTGATGTAATTTTTTTTAAAAAAAACTATCAATAAAATACAAAGAGAAGGGGAAAGTGATTTTTGACCACCACCCACAATAATAAAAAAAAAAAGTGCCGAGTTCTCTACCACCAATTGTTCATGTACTCCAAAATCTGGAAACACAGATAATTTGATACCAAAAAAAAAAAAAAAAATCACAAAATTGATTATGTGTGAATTTTGCTTTGCTAATATCGATTTGATTGATCTGGGCAAAAATCCTTCCAGTTTTTTATGAATTGACAAGATTTTAACATAAATTATAACATTTGTAAACATACAGTAAAAACTACTAGTAGAAATCTTATACTTTGTTCGTTTTGTACAAATTATTTGTAGGAACTATAGCATCTTTTTAAGGCTCAAAACGCTAAGTACGAACTATCAAACCTGAAAATGTCGAATTTTCTGCATATACACTGATTACTTCCTGCAGTATCAATCGCCAATAGAGTGGAACTAAATTGAAATCAAATCAAATTAACCACCACCACCACAACCTAGTAACCCCCACCTTAACCCACCCAAACACACCCAAACCAAACCAAGATCTACAACCCTAACCAAACAACCACCCAAAAATTAACAAAAAAAAAACATACCTTAACACCGAAATTGAATGTTAATTTCTCATCGAATTTGGTTTAATACGGCCAAATTCGATCATGAAGCCTCTAGATCTAGAGGTTTCATGGTCGAATTTGACCTGAATTACCATGCGACACTGGCGAGAAAGAAGGCAGACATCACCTCCAAGGAGCGTAGGTTGCGTAGACAGCACCTCCAATGGCGGAGGAGAGAGAAGGAGGGAGGAGAGAAGGAAAGAGGAGAGGAGTTCAGAGAGAAGAGGAAAGAGGAGAGGAGAGAGAAAGAGAAGTGAGGCGTAGAGAGAGAAGAGGAGAAGGGGAAAGTGAAAGGAGGTCACTTACCCAGCCTTTACCTCCCATGCGTAGTTGAATGTAAAAAAACTTAGTAAATATAAACCGCTACTTGAAGTAGCGGTTTCTATTAAGAAAACCGCTACTTGAAGTAGCGGTTTTATTCAGTACATCGCTACTTGAAATAGCGGTTTGTAAAAAAAACCAATTTAAACACCTAAAAACCGCTACTTTGTTTTGTAAAAGCAACTTGGTAAATAGCGGTGGATTCAATACATCGCTACTTGAAATAGCGGTTTGTAAAAACAACCCAGATAAAACAACCCAGATAAGCATCACTCATGAAGTAGCGGTTTTCCTCAAAACACCAACAGCCCCACTTTGTGAAAATTTGTTTAAATATAAACCGCTACCTCAAGTAGCGGTTTCTAATAAGTAAACCGCTACTTGAAGTAGCGGTTTTCTAATAAACCCGTTTTTAAAAAAATTCTCACTGAACCGGTGACGTGGACGGTATGGTGGGAATTAAAAAAAGAGTAGCTGTAATTTGGGAATTAGATAATTTCCCAACATTATTTAGGGAAAGAGCTCAACAAAAGACCAATTATGTTTTCTTCAACAAAAAAAAAAAAAAAAGACCAATTATGAAGAACACGAGAAGAGCGCGGAATTTCTATAATTCTGTATACTTTATTCTATCTTCTATCTTACCAATCAATCTTTCATTCAATTTTATCATTTGGGTTATCAAAGAAATTCGAAGTTTACAAGTGAATAGAAGAAATAATTAGAGTGAAAATGGCGGAAGAAAGAAGAGCGCGGCAATTGGGGCCTGCGAGCCACCGTCACCTCCGCCGTAATCCGACGGTAGCAACTGTTACTAGGCAAGTTCTATATCATTATCTTATCTTATTCTAAATTGTTTTACTGTAATATTCTGATTTTTAGTGTTTGATTGAGCAGTTCATTTTTAGTTTTGATGAATTTTGTTATCATTTGATAGAAATGTGTAATGAATTAGTCTGTTCTTTGCTAGAAATTTTGGGGTTGGAATATGATCAATGCATTTGTTATTAGGAATGTGAAATAACCCTTTTTCCTGAAATCCCAAATTGTTATCTTTGTAAGAATGGAAGCAGTTTGCCATTATACACCCGGGTATATCGTGCACTTAATATAAGCACAAAGTGTTGTGAATTGGCTATTGTCATTGTTTCTTAGTATAAGACATTATTGTTTCTTAGTATAAGACATTTGCATGCGGCACATTACAACCGCACTCGGTTTTTTATGGTTATACAACTATTTCTTGTTAATAATATACTATGGTTTATGAATTGGGAATTGTCATTGTCTCAAATCCTTCTGTATTCTAGTAGAAAAAGGACTAAGTAGAAGTTGTAGAAGGGACAATTGGTATTGCTCTGAATTTGGAATCGAATTATGTTGGTGTTGTATTATTGGGTGAGTTTGATTATACAAGGGAAGTTTTGTAAAAGCAACTGGTAGGATTGCTCAGATATTCATGAGTGATGCTTATCTGGGTTGTTTTATAAGTGCCATAGTTAGCCCTATTGATGGTAACGGTTTAAGGGTGAAATGGAGCTTTTAAGTTTTGGTTTGTATAATTATATAATCTGTATTGTGGATAAAAAGTGAAGGGCAACTAGTTTAGTATGTAACTGAGTGAAAGCTATGATTACCAAACATATGCGACAGATGTGTGAACCTGAAACTAGGATGGTTTTTTGATGATCATTGTAATGATTTTCTTTGTGACCTGAAACAGTTATAAAAACTTGTGAATTTGAGGGAATTGCCTTTCTTTTTCGGGGCACTTGAATGCTTGCTATAAGGAACAATTAGCTTGTGCATCTAATATATGCAAGATAACTTGGAGATATTGATTAAATGGAACTTTCTTTTTTGGGGCACTTGAATGCTTGCTATAAGGATCAATTAGCTAGTGCATTAGTCTAACAAAATGCAAGAGAACTTGGAGATTAAATGGAATGAAAATGGTATGGGCTGTTTTAAAGGAAAAAAGGAGGACCTTGTGCTATGAATTATCATAGCTTGAGCATCCTAAATGGCAGAAAATAGGAAGATGATGTTTTTGAGTAAACTGAATAACAGCACTTTTGTATGATAATTCCACTTTCAACTTTCAAGAGGTGGATTCTCTCCCAATTTAGCCCTCTAAAGCTAACCCAAAACATTCAACAATATTTTACATGATTAGCTCTCTCTATTTAGCTCTATTTATAGAGCATTTCCCTAACAAACTAACTAATTTCTCCTTCAAGCTACAACAACTTTATTTTAACTCTACTCCCTAAATTCTCCTTTCCCTAAAGATATTAATGCTGGTTACCAAAACAAAATTTGTCTGTAAAGATCACTTATTCTCTCTGTCCCTAAATAAGCTACATTGGATTAAAGATAAATTTGAAGGAGTTGGATTGAAAGACCATGATTGTCCATCTTTATGTAACTTTTTATATCTTTTTAATGCCACAAAGTTGTATGTCCTTAAGCTTATCATTAAGGGTATTAGGAATAAGTTGAAGATATTAAACCTAGATTTAGATAGTGGACTATAATTTGGGACAATCCAAAATATTACTGCGGACTATCATCTAGGACATTTCTTAAATGTCGAAGACATGATATATCAGGTGGATGCATGTACTTTTTTTTCTTCTTATATCGTTGCTCCAATTTGACGTTTTTAAACATGAAACAAGAGACAATGTCTTAAAGCTCATGTATTGCAGTTGGGTTTGTGAGGGTCAATGTCTTTCTGAGTTTTCTAAATCATGTCATACTTTTATCCATTTTTCTTAATCTAGATGTATTATTGATTTTTCCTGTTCAATGCCACAGGTAGGAAATTGGTCAACTACAGAACAAAGAGGTCGAATGAAAAAAGCTGCAGCTAAAGGTAGCAAGCAGAACAGTAAGCAAAAAAGAAGCAAGTTGAGGAAACAGCAAAATTTATGAATTATCCACAATTCATAAAAATTAGCATTGGCAGGAACTTTCATCCCTGGGCTTTAGCAATACAGATGGCAATGGAAACGATGAGGGAAACCTCAACACACTTGTTAAGGTCATAGCAGGAGTATCTGTTGGCAGTCAAACTGATAATTACATGCCTAGTATAAGCATTAAGAAATGGGAGAATATAAGCTCAGCAAGAAGCTGCAAGGGAGCAGAGAACAAAAGAGGAACAAAGGAACACCATAAGTGACAGACTGACAGTGGTTAAAGATGAGATTTTTGAGAAGAAGCTAGAACCGCTTGGATTAGCTATTTATGAGGTTAAACCAGATGGCCTCTGCCTTGAGCTGTTGAGGATCAACTAATTTATTTGTTTGGAGGGTCTTCACCTTATAGTTTTCAGCAGTTTTGAGAGATGTTGGCTTCTTATATGCGTGATCATGCCTCCGAATTTTCCCCATATTTCTTGTCAGAGGATGTGATTGAAGAAGAGTCAGATGATTCTCTGGTGCAGAGATTGAGAATTAATGCAGAGAGGTGGAACAACAGCGGCTTGGGGTGGGCAATTGGAGCTTGGCGCTTTGACACATTGCTTTAAGATACATATAAATTTATGATGATTTTTTCATGGTGTTTTCCTGATGTTGAAGTGGGTAAGGAGTACAAGACTGATGATGCTGCCACATCATTGAATTCTAGCATCATGCTATCATACCACAGGCACACCTTCAATCTGGGTGAGCGCTACAATTCTGTGGCTCAAAATACAGCGAAATAGGTTAGCTATCCCTACAATCTTGTGAACATATTTCTCCTTTTTTCCAGCTTTTTTCATTTTCATTGTTTAGGGGCTATTATTAGTGAGTTAGGAGAGTGCATTAAACTCTAGCTGAATAAGAGTAAAAAAATTTCTTTCGCATTCAATGGAAATATATACATTCTGAGATTTCCTTGCTTACATATTTATATCCTTTACAGTTGCAAATAGTAATACAGAGATCAACAATTATTCTTGTTTTTCATGTTCTTGGATGGTAATATGACATTAGATCAAGCCTATTTGCTAGACATACCTTGTATAATTTATTTACATGGAAAACTTGACCATTAGTAATTTAGCACCTGAGCCATGGTGGTTCCTATAAACCTCTATGAATTGGTAAGTCGGCCAATAGGTCTAATTTATGCAAAATTGCTTCTTGTGTGTCAAGAAAAATCTCTACAGGTCTTTAAACATGTCAGGATTGTAAAACATGTATATTAAAAATATAGATGATTAAATTATAAAAAATAATCTCATGTGTTAGCCATATTTGAGCTAAGAGGTTCAAATGACCAGTTTCTCATAGTGAGAAACAAAATTTGTTTCTCACATGGAATTTTCGTAAATAAACCAACAACTTTATTCAATTGTAGAGCCTACATTAATGAAAAAGTTGTTGATTTATTCACGAAAATGCCCCCATGAGAAACAAATTTCGTTTCTCAATATGAGAAACAGGGAATTTTTCCTTTTTTTTGGTTTTTTTCTGAAACAATCTTTCCTGTATAACTAAAAGTGTTGAAATATCCCTTTAAAGCTTTTTTATGTATTACAAACTTTATATATACCCATAAATCTAAAACCTTTAAAAATACAACTCCAAATACTGTAGCTTAGCTACAATAAGTGGCTTTTGGATAATTTATTTCACTAAACGACCCTTGTTATTTTCTATTTTTCACTCATAGCCTGATGGAAACCCCTTTAAAAAATTCCTAAGAAAAAATGTTGATTAAATTAAGTGTAATTGTAGTATTATTCTAACAAAGTATCCGAATCGTTCTAGATATGATTGTTAGTCCCATTGAAAGCGATTAATGTTGATAGTACTGTTTATAAGTGAAAAACGTGTTCTTACCATATACTAAACTGTCCTTAGAAACCTGAGAAAAAGAAGAGAAAAAAGAAGCTTATTAAGAATCAGGAAAACTGAGATTTTGAGAACAATAAAGAGTTCTGGAGAATCAATTAGGATCATGACATTAGCTAAGGTACTGCAAATTTGATATGTCACAATATTTTTCTTGGGCATATATTCTTTGCAATTGGCCACTTCTATAAAGGCAAAGCCCCACTATTTTATGGAATTTCTTGGAAAGAAGAGAGAAAAAGATGGTGGGGATTATGCTTTCTTATGTCAGATATAAAATCCATTTTATGTGATGCGAGGAGCCGAAGTTGCCTTATTCTGCATGCATTACGTCAAATTTGTATGATCTCTTTAGTTTTTTTTGTCTGTGCACAGATAGGTACTATAGCAATATAATGTAACATAGAGCACAAGTCAACTAAGAATTGGACAATAAAAGTGTCTGTATCTATATTGGTTTGGTCGATGTTTTAAGTGATACGTATTAAATAAAAAAGAACGAGTCAACTCTATTGAGGATGGACTATATACAGTAGATCAGATTTTGATTTTTTTTTGAAGCCTTAGATGTTCATGGAGTAGCATTTAACATAACCAGCTTTTACACAAAAAGTATGCGTTCTCATCAAATGCAACATGGGTTTTGCAATCTTCTGTACAATGTTAAACAATACATATTCAATCCTTGAGAAATTACATATTGTGTAACCCAAATTTGACATGTTTTTTCATCTAAAATTCATCAATATTATTTTAGTAATTCATACAGAGTATTTACTAACTCACAAGAATGAATCGACGTGAATTTGAATGACATGTTCACAAGACACTTTAATTTGGAACGGTGCGAATCACACTAGGGCGTCTGTGAAGTTGAGGTACTCACTTTGCTCCATGAGGCACAAAGTTCAGTGCCTCTGTGTGAGGCGTGCTATGCATGCTTTTTATAATTAAGCTGTCAGTTCTGGTCTAATGGAACCCAATACATATACAGTTGGTAATTATACAAAAACACCAGCACAATGTGTTATTATGTTAATCTGTACACGACAGTAGATATTAAGGTAGGCTGAATGTCCTCAAATAGCACACATAATTGGTTAGTTGTATTCAACAGAGATGTATGTCTTTCTAGGTGCAAGCTTAAATTGTTAATTCTGCAAATAGTTGGATAGGCCTCTTGCTGTATAATCCAATTGATATAAGAATGTAAAAGCAATTATAATAAATCTTACATTGAATCTCATGAGATTTATAAATGATCAATTACAGCCTGGTTAAAAATGCTAAGGATTAAGATAGTGTCATGTTTGATACATTCTGATGTACATTACTATTTCTCTTTCTATATTGGAGATATCTTAGCAGGATCAATTCCAAAATATTCATACAAAAGGTACGCAAAGTCACAATATGTTATGTTCACTGCATCTTAATAAGAATGACGAATGCAGAAAACAGTACATCTTTGATCAGCCTAATCCCATATTTTCCGCGCTCTTAATTTTCTTTTGGCTCTTCGAGTTCAATTGAGTTAAAGTTTCGACGATAAACATCCACGTGTCTGTTAAAAGAAAGAGTTTTGTGCTGCTCGAGTATTTGATTTAGGAGAAGATCAAATAAAAGAGGACTTCTAGTGGAGTTTTAGAGCGTGGCTCTTCATTATTCTGTTCACTCTTTAGGTGTTGCAAAGTCAATTTTTCTAGATGCCCTTTGTTTTTATCTTGTGTCATCGTGAAATTATTCGATAGGACAAATGTCCTTGTTTCTTTACGGAATATGAAGAACATAGACGATGTAAAGGGTCATTTTCGAGTACAATTTGTGGATCAAAAAGAGAAAATAGAAAGTTCTCTTTTTGTTGAAAGTCTTGGAACTTATCCTTATAACAGTATCAGTTCTTGCATGCAGATTTGAGTTGCGTCACCTTAGAATGGGCTTATAAATAGACCTGTGCTCTAAGCATTTTCCTCATCTCAAACCTTGAGCCTTCTCTCCAACTAGTATCACAAAAGTTCTCTGTATTTCAGCTTTTTCATCACCAACTCATCTCCCAAACAAAGGAATTTCCTTCAAAGATAATGGAGGTTGTGAAGGGTTTGGTGCAAGACAGGCCTGTGGTTATTTTCAGTAAGACTAGTTGTCCTGTGAGCCACTCGATGAGACAGCTTATCAGTGGCTTTGGCGCTAATCCTACTGTATATGAAATTGATCAAATGCCAAATGGACGGGAGATTGAGAGAGTTCTGCAGATGATGGGACGCAGACCTAGTGTACCATCCATCTTCATTGGTGGAAACTTTGTAGGTGGACCTAATGATGTGATCACCCTTCAGGTTCAAGGTAGACTTGTACAAATGTTGATGGACGCCGGAGCTATTTGGGTCTGGAATAGAAACTAGCTAAATATTCCAGTCTCAGCAATTAGAAGTAGAATAAGGGAAGTTTTAGGTTATATTTGTAGAGGACATAAGTGGGAAATAATGCGTCTTCTGCAGTGCCTTGTTTTTCTAGGCACTATTATATTTTGGTGACTGAAAATTAGTGTTTTTCAGTGACATAGTCTTATTCTCCTTCTGCCAAAAAGAAAAAAAAAAAAAACAGAGTATATCCTCTGAGTAAATGCTTGTCCTTTGTTATCGAGTCAAATACTAGTGAAAGCTGCATTCTCATTTTGACAATGCACTCTTCTGTACCTTATTACCTGTCTTGATTTACTGTTATAAAATGATGGACTGGGATTCAGTTGCTTATGCTTTGATAAATAATGCTCTACAATCTTTATATATACCAAGTAAATAAGATTATGTTTAGAGCCTTGCACAAAAGTATACACTGGCATGACCTAAACGAAAAATTTACATGCAAACATGATACATTATGAAATCAACTACAATTTATAGATTTCTGGACAAAAAAGTTCATGTATATGCCAATCTATGCAATCTATCCAATGCTTTTATATTGTAGTATGTTAGTTCAGTGTTTTTCAGAACTAGTTCGAATTTCCTGTATAAAGAGCTAGCCTTGTTTTTAATTAGAAATGTAAAGCTTTATATGCCTACATTTTCTCTAGTTATGCTCTGGATGTGTTAGCCCTTAATCACAGCCTTCATTTAATCTAAGGATAAATATTTTGCATGTACACTTGGATTTGATTTCTCCTTAAAAGAATAGGTGATAGTTAGATGATCTTGAAGCTTAATGATGTAAACCAGGCTTGCAGCTTCTGAAAACCTGCATTGATCTTTCAGAGAAAATTAATCAATATACATTATGGGCCACTTTTATTTTATTTAATACTCTTTTAAGCCTTTCTGGTATTTTTTGTCTGCTATTTAATTTGTAAACCTACATTGATCATTCTAAGTATGTGTATAGATTACATATTTGCTCAGTATAGAGGACATGCAGCTGAAGATTTCTTATGTTAAATGTGCAATTACTTTTCTTATTTGGAAGGGTTATATATCTTACATGATCCTTTCTGTACTTTACTTTCTTATTCGAGTAAAGTTAGTTTAGTAAATGTATTTTGATCCAGTTACCTACACCAATTCATTCTGAAAGAAAGTGCATAAATAGTGAGCTTATTACTGTTATTAATGAAACAGGAAAAGAAGTTACTAATACTTATAAGAAACAAAGGGCGATTAAATCTCTGTCATCTCATTGTTTTTTAGAAGCCAAGTATTATAGTTACTACATTGTCAGAGATCATAGCTTAAAGTCCAAAATCAATCTGCCAGTAATAATAATAAAAATTGAGTGTCATTTTATACATTAAATTGATACTTAACTGTTCTCTGAAACAAGACCTGATTACATCTGATTTACAACAATCAGGATGTAAGAGAACTAATCTAAAAATCAACATGTGCTCCACACAAGATAATAATCATGAGTTGTCATTGTTTGTAAGTGGGCATATATTATTCTGATCATTTAGTGGCTAAAGAAGTATATATTGTACATGGGTAATGGGTGAAGTTGACACTTCCTTGTTTTTTATAAACCATAAAAAACAGAAATATAGTTGGTGTTTGATGTCTGCTGGTTCTGTGATAAGGAAAGAATAGAAGAACCTTTAAAGCAATCTATAAAATTGTGCTTGAATTTACTTTCTTTGAGGTTCGATGCCAATACGTGGATGTGATTTTGATGGCATTACCTAAAAACATAATCTGTATGACAATGTTCAGTTTGAGTATGTCTCAGCCTCTTGAAGATCCTAGAATTAATCAAGTTCAGGTGCTATCCTAACTGCAAATGTTTGTATTTTGTCCATTGCAGATTTTTCTGATGATCTTTTCTGAAGTATATCTATCACCTTCCTGTAACACTCTACATGTTATTCCTTTAGACTGTAAAATTTCAGCTGCTATAACAATAAAAATCGATTCTGAAATGTGATGTTAATTTTCTCTAATAATATGAATAAATACTGTAGTTAAAAAAAAAAAAACCATGCAAGCAGACATTCCTTGTCAGAACTAATTTTGTGCTACATAAGCTATCACAAACATTTACTTCTACTGATATAATCTTATCGTCGAGTTTATCTTGCCTTTTACATTTTGCTTCTGTAAAGGGGATGAGAATCTCAATGTGTGATGCAAGGATAACTCTTGCAAACCTTTTCTCATTCACAAAGATGCTCTGTGATAGGTACAGAAGCAAGCCCTTACAACGAAAGTACACACTTCCAGAAACATAAATTATGCTCTCTTCCTCCCAAAAAAGCAAGGCATGGTTACATTGGGCTATCTAACTCATCCAAGTTGGGCTAAGGCTAGAAATGGTGGTAAAAAAAGAAGCCCAATGGTGCACACTTTTATTCTCTCTCCTTTTGTTTTAGTACTCATGCTCTGAAACTTTTACATTCTTCTGCTTTGCAAACAATTTCTATCTATCATTTAATGGGTCAGAATTGTAATACATGTTACTGTGGGATTAGCCTCAGCAATACTGCATACTGCAATATCAACAAAACGATTGCTTTACACTGGAAATTGACCGAATATTTGATCACTTCCAAACTGATGAATGGAGGACAAGTCAGTTAAGATATTAAACAAAGATACTATCATTTATGGCCTTTAATCTGTTTTTCTTGCATATTTGCATACACAGTTACACACCCTTCTCACAGAAAGGTTTCAATGAGATGAGATAACAAGCAATGAATTTCTTGTTAATAAAAAAAAGAAGTGAAAGGTCACCTATAATGTGTACTAAGTCACCCAATATCCTTTTTCATAATGTCTCATGATAATAAGGCATCCTCTTTTTGAGACTGTGTAGTACAAGTTTATTGCATCATCCAAATTAAAATTCTTAACAGCAGAAATGTAAAAGTAGCTGTTTTCATCCCCTAGGTAATCTTGCCTAGCTCTTGCTTGAGGCTAAAACTTATGGAGTTGTTTTTAAACTGTGCTTCATTTAAACATGTCCATAGTCAAGTTTTGTTTTTTTTTTTTTTGTTTTTTTTTTGTTTTTTTATGTTGAGCAAGATTTGGGATTTGGTTGTTTTCCTGAGTCATATCCATGCCATCTACATGATTAGTCATTGCTAACAAAGAAAGGGAAATGAGCAAAAGCAAACTTTATCGTCACTCTTTTGAACTTATGCCCTCATGCTCAGTCAATGACAAAAGGCTTCATGCCTAGGCACATAAGTTCATCTACTACACAGCTTAGTGAACTTTAATGCCGTTCGTCAAAAGAACTTTCATGAAAATAATAGAATGAAAACAAAATAGGAGCGGTGTGTAATTCAGGTATTCAACTCGTAGTAGTTCAGCTTCTGTAGTTACTTGGTGAAACAGCACTTAATCAGCTTGGTGCAACTCCTGTGACATAAATGTAAAAATTTTCAAGGTGAATTTAAAATCAATATTCTCTTGTCAGGGAATGGAGGAAGCCGGTGAAGACAGTTTTGGCCTTAGCACAGCTGGCTTGTAGGGGCAACTGAGATTCCATGATTTTGCATTCAGTAAAATGAAGGTATAATATGATAAAGCCCTTCTTTTCTATTCAAAGGATAAGATATTGCTGCTCAAAAAGGTTTGTAACTCTGTTCTTCTAGGATAAGAAAGCTGTACATTCCTTTTTCCAGTCAGCATATACACAATATGAGGCGTAGAGAGAAAGTGTTCTAGCTCCGTAATCATTTTAATCTTTATCTCAGCTCCACGCAAGAATATTGGAATATATATTGCAACTTTAAAGATGATCTCTACTGTAAGATATGAGGAGTAAATCTTGCAATAAGTTATATGACCTGACTTCTTAACTTGGCATCTGCATCCGTACTTCTTATTTGTACAACCTTTCATATTCATATATCCCTAAATGCACATCTTTGAAACCTTATCTGTTTTTTTCTTAATTTTTTTTTAGTTAGTAAAAGCAGGTGGTTGTCTTCTTTTGATCAATTTACCAAGTTCGAATCTAGTATTGAGTATTGACCCTTCGCTTCTTGTAGAGCCGTTTATTCAAGTAACTCGAGCACTCTTGAAACTACTGGTGCCTCTTAGCATTTTGCACTTTCCTTCACCAAGAATCTGCACATACCCATCACAAAATACCTTTGGTCACTTCATTAAGTTGCAGGATAATTCTGCTGTGGCTAATCAAGCACCATTTTATCTACTTTCTCATCTGTCGAGTGACAATTTTTGCCTACTGAATCATAATTGTCCAATACTGAGCTGAATCATGGCACTGGCTCTCCTAACCAATAAGAATTGACAATACATGCAATCTTTCTGACACTAGGCATAAGTATATTGGACTAGCAGCTCAATTACATCCTTGCTTTTGTCTCAGGGTTTTAGTGGTGCAGATTATACACCTAAGGCATGATCTTTCTGATTGTCACGAGAAAAATAATTAGGTACAATAACAGAATCACAAAAAGCTCCTTTGCCTTCATAGTTCAAGAATAATAACATATCCCTCGCATTTTCAGTAAAATGACAATGAGATACAGCCCTCTCTGTGGGCTATATAAATACATATCCAAGGTTGGCTTAGTAACAGTAAGGGAAAAGCAGAGGTTTCTTCATTCTAATCATCTTTCTAATGGATACCTTAAGGCCGTTGGTGGATGAAAAACCGGTTGTTATTTTCAGCAGGAACAATTCTGATCCTGTGAGCCATTCCATGAAGCAGCTCTTTACTAGCTATGGTGCAAATCCTGTAGTTTATGAGCTGAATCAATTACCGAATAGACAAGAAGTTGAAAATGCCCTTGATCAGGTGGCAGTGCAGACCCCAAGTGTGCCAGCTATCTTCATTGGAGGGAACTTTATTGGTGGGGCAAATGATGTTATTGGCCTTCAAGTTCGTGGAGAACTAGTGCAAAAGCTGATTGATGCACGAGCCATATGGTTTTGGAACAGAAACCAGTAGTTAATAATATCAATAATCTGCTGTAATTCTGATAATTGTGAGAGTGGTTTTTGTTTATTTAGCTGTATTAAGATGAGGCTAAAATTGTTTAGTGCCGCGCCTTCACTCCTGCTGAATACAATAGTTATGTGTGCTAGTTTACATATGCCAGAAGTCGTTGCTTGAACATTGGATCTTCATATTTGAATAAAGCGTCTTTCTAGTTACTATGATTTTTTCTTGTGTTCTTTTGACATATATGAACTATTTTTTAGACAGTAACAAATGAGAGAAATGTTGGCTGTACAACAATTTTGATTGTCATAAACAAAAACTTGAGCCTTGTTGGACCAGAAAAATCTGGAACATGTAGGGTAAAAATTGATGCATTGTGCATGTCATATCACACATAATAAAATCATTACATGCATGTCACAAGGTTCCATAAGTTAACTTGTAGGGATTGAAGTGTGGTGCTTGCTGTAAAATGAGCCTGGACTGATGTCTATTTTTGTTCTGACAATAATAAATATACTGTACTACTTGTGAAAATATATCAGCTATTTAAGAACATAGAATTAATAAATGTTGAAGTTTACTATTTTGAGACTTTTGAGTTCTTGTTATGTTTGAGCCTCAAGCTTGTTCAGTTTTTTGTAAGAAAGCAAAAAGAAACAGGACTGAAACTGATCGAAAATACTTTAGAAAACACCTGTTTAACATGGAATACTTACAGGTGAACATGCTTTATAATCATCATCCCTGATTACCTGTCCTATTGCTAAGAAAAATCTACTTTGGCAAAGGATAGATTATAGATTATAGGCTTGACATTAATTAGTATAAGTACACATAATTGTGTGGTTATATAATTCCTCAAATACAGAAAACAACTGGCGGTTGCCATTTTTCAGAATACAGAGAAAATCAATATGATCAACATCAGAATCAAACTATTTCATACCCTTACTCTGTACTGCATTACTGCACGTCACTGTAAAAAATATTCTTCCTTCTTTAAGAGAGTTTCCTGTATCATGCAGTGATGCTATGCTAGAAGCCAGCCTTAGCTTGCAAATCTCTAGCTAGGCCAAATCTGAAGTTGACATTCCTTCCGTACTGACTTGTACAATCTCGTGTCAGCATTTATTCCTTTGTAAGATATGTGCACAATTCATACAATTGTCTGTTTAGATAAAGCAGCTAAAAAAGTTCATTACAAGCAGACAACCTCGGCATACTGTAGAATTGGCTTTAAAACCTTTTTGGCTCTTCAGTACACCTAGAGCTGTTGATTCTAGATAAAATTCTTCCATGTGCTAGCAGCATGGACTTATATTCTGCTTTTACTTTTTCACATTAGTTATAGATATGGCTGGCCACAACTTGAGCAGCATATTAGATTGATGCACTTAACCCAAAATCTAGTGATATCGAAATAACATTTAGCAGCTAGTTCAGTTTCAGTACATGCTAATTATTTCTGATTAGATCAATAGTCCTTGCTATTGAACAGTTAGGTTTACATGTGTAAAGTATTATGCTGAAGGACACAAACCAGAATCAGATACAATGATTTACTTTTGAAGTGCTATAACTAGTTAGAAAACATGATCATAATTTTTAGCTGATATGATGAAATTATACATGGCTCTAATATCAATATGTATGCACTATGCTTAAAAACCATATATTTTCGCTTCTGCATGCAACTTCATCATTTCATGCAATAACAGGTCAAGCCATCAGGGAGGAGGGACTAGGCAGGAAGACTTATAGAAGATTCAACACTAGAATTATTATGCTGCTGTTATAATTTTATTTTTCTGGCAGTGCCAGGGAACATCATAGTAATACCCGTTCAGTCAGCAGTTGCATTCTGCACCAGCCAATAGTGCTGCAGCCGGCAGCACTGCTTCATATCCTCTCATTCCTCTGTCACCTAAAATACAGTGTATTTTGGTTTGTAACAAGGAACAAAATAGCGTTAAATCTTTACAGGTTTAGATAATCTGGATTTTACTTCTTCCTTAAATAAAGGATGGGGTGATCCTAGATAGTAAAAGTGCACTGAAGAAAAATGTAAACTTTTTATCAAAATATGAAATTACATCTCATTTTCTGTTTCTTCATCCTGTTGGGGCTGTTGATCAGAAGGCTAACTTTACATCGAGTGAAAACACTGTATCTTTTACTCAAGGCAATAAACAGGTATTTCATAATAACTCATTGGAGAGTTTTGAGAATAGAGTCTTAATACATCATTACTAATAAAATCTAATTCTTCCACACCACCAATTCTTCTTATGAGGAAAGTTGATGACATACAAAAGGAATATTGACTAATGATAACTGTAGCATATCAAAGGTCATAGAATCTATGTCTATTTGCCACATTCACTGCATGAATCTGATCTAAAGAACATTAAAAACGCGGTATTTTTCCTTCTTCTGAAGACCTCCAAAGTAAAGGATAAAAAGGTGGAATCTCAGTAAAAAAACCTTATTTTAGGATAGAGTCGTGGTTTTCTTTCCCACATAGAACTTTATGAGAAATACGCGACTCAAGACTGATATTCCAGTTTTACTTCACGTACATATACTTTTTATTCCTCGGACACAGTCATGTCCTTAGACTCCTTAATCCTTACCCTCTTAGTTCTTTGATAGGGGGGTAAAATAGGCATTGAACTCCCTTCATACAATGGCTGTTCAGATGCCTTCACCAAATCAAGATGCTGTTCTAATGGTGTGTTAGGATCCTCCTTTGAAGCTTCGGTGCCCAATTGATCTTGGTTATGATCACCAAGAGCGTCCACAACCATTTCACGAAATTCATTGGATTTCTCTTTAGATGTAGTAGGAAACCCTTCCCCTTGACACATCCACTCATAATAGTTAGGAACGAATCCTTTGCCATACAAATGAATTCTAACCATGTCCGGAGGATGAAGACGTAAGTTCTTGCATTTAACACAAGGACACCTAACTTCATTGGGGTTACTGCTCTCAGGATGATCTTTGCAATATTGCATGAATTCCTCTACCCCTTTCAAGAACTCGGGCTTAATAGAATACCCATCCAATCTGTCATACATCCAGCTACGCTCTCTTCGTTTCATGATTACAACTTCTACATAACTCACACATATAACCACATTAGTCACAAACATTATTATAAAAGTCTTCCAGTTTTTACTTAATAGAATTGCAATGAGACTTTAAATGATGCCCAAGTGTACTTATCACTCTAATCAAACCCATCCTTGGACGTTTAACCTCACTAATGCATGTATGCGGAGTTTTCGATTCTATGGAATATCTAGTACCCTTTTCTTACAGATTCACAAGTACACAATGTAGGCAATTAAATACACCTACATATGTATAAAGAGAACATTGTAGAGAAATAACAAGGCATGATAATCATTAGTTTTAAAAAATATGACATACATTCACCACTTAAGTGAAATTAAATGTCCAAGCACAATCCCAACCAGAATTATTCAAGACCTACTCATAATGTGTATGTCTGAACGAGTTTATAAACATATGATTATGCAAATGATTCATTTCAAACATTTACACATCCTTCACAATGAATCATGTGTTTCTTACATTAAGTACCCACACAATTAGCATATAAAAAGATGAAAATGAAACATAATTTCATGAAATTAATTTGATTTAAATTACATAGTAACATATTATACAACAAACACGAATAAAATAAATTGTATATATACGTTTATAAACTAAGGCCGTTTGGTTGGGGGTATTCATCAAAGGGAAAGGGAATTAACCGCTCTGATTTCCTTTGTTACGGTTTGTTAGCCATTTTTTTTTCATTCCCCTAACCCCCTCTATTCCCCCAAATCCTTCCAAGTTCATTCTCCACCCCCCAAAGGTATTTCCATTCCCATTCCCTAGCCACCAATAACGCACCACCACATCACCGCCTTCTTACCTAGCTACCTACACCACCGAAAAACCCAACCATCTTTTGACCCGACCCTCACCGCCCCTCTCCCGAACTTCGCCGCCCCTCCCCCGACCCTCACCGCCCCCGCAAGAACAACCTACAACCCTAGATTACCCTCCCTTTTATTGGAAAATCGCCGCCCGCCCTTCCTTCCACCCTTGAAACCCTAGCGGCTAGGGTTTCGAGGGTGGAATGAAGGGCGGGCGGCGATTTTACGGGGGTAGGGAGGGGTTTCCAACCATTTACGGGGCTGTTTTCCAGGGAGGAGGGGAGAGTTTTGCGGGAGGAGGGGAGGGGAGGGGAGGCAAGGGCCTGGGGAGAGGCGGTGAAGCACAGAGGTGGTGGAGGGGGGTGCGGCACATGGTGAGGTGGCTAGATGGTGGTTGGAAAAGGTAGAAAGTGAAGAGATATGTTGTTGTGCGGTGGTGGTATGGTTGTTGGACTAGTGGCTTCATTCCCTTTATTTTTTAAAACAAACAACATTGAAAATTTGAAGGATTTTCATTCCATTATCCTTCTTTCCCTTTGTTCATTCCATTCCTTTTACTGACAACCAAACGGAATGTGTTATACATTTAAAGGACCCACCCTCAAAGCGTCTATATTAGTGATTGAACAGGGGAAAGGGTTTAGGAATCTCCACCCTCAAAATGCCTTTAGTGGGAATTAAACCCCTAATAAAGTGCAATCCTTACCAATATATCAAGTTTAGGTTGATAATTTGATATATATACACTAAATTAACATACATTATCAGGAGTATTAAACGTATTTATTTATAGATTTTACAAGGCATATATGATACAAAAATAAACTGATACACAAACAATGAAATCAATAAATTTCCTCTCCCAAAAAAAAAAAAAAAAACAATAAATTTAATTAAAATTTAAGGTTTGTAATGTAATTAACCTTTAAATCTGTAGTTCTTAACTTCAATTTTTTACAATGAAACTAACTCACTCTACAAATCCTACAAATAATTAGATTAGAAAGCTTAATTCAAAAATTAAGGTTTGTAATTGAAATTACACTAAAAAGAGGGAAAGAAAGTAACCAAAAAGGGTAAGGCTTACAGAGGGGCTGGGCAGGTGGAGGCTCGTCGCGGCTGCCGGCGGCGGAGGATTCGGAGAAGGCGGCGTTCGCGTTCCTCTTCCTCTCTCTCTCTTTTCTGTTTTTCGGATTTGAAACTGAGAAAGGCTGACTGCCTACCTTTTAACATTGACGAATTTTCCCGACGGAATTTCCGACATCTAATTCCCTCGGAAATTTGTTCAAACTTTATTTTAATATTGAAAGGAACTTTCCGATATACTTAATCCGTCGGGATTTTCGACGGAAGTCCATCGGAAACATTATTCCCGTCGGAATTTTCCGACAGATTTTGTTGTTAATCAGAAATCATCGGTCGCAAAAATCCCTGATTCATAATTATAAAAAGCTAAATGTTACAATCAGGACTTCTGCTCATCCAAAAGAATCTGGTGTTTAAAAGGTAGAATATAACCTTTCAATTTCGAAAATACTGAAAGGAATAATTAAAGATGTCAATTATTTCATACATCAATCCTAAGATTATTTTCTTAATCACTTATATGAATCAGTTTTTATATGAATCATGCAAAATCAAAACAATTAATGTATAGCATATGCTCAAAACTTCTGATAAAAAGAAAGTTTGTAGCAACTCTTTCCTGTGACACATTTTTACTTGGTTCTCAGTGACTGAATGTGACTTTTCGTACTAGTACTCGTAATTATCTGTCGTAATTACATAATCAAAAGAGATTTCTAAACTTATGAGGCTAATACAATTAATCTATATCCTTTGAAAGCATAGGCAGGACAAAGTACGATACCAAGAGAACCATTACCTAATCTGACACGCGGAAAAGAATAATCCTTGCATCCCTTTTCTGCGTTTCCTTCCACAGAGCCACTGCCACACCATCCCCTTTTGTGCCTTTTCCGCGTGATCACAGAATATCACAGTGATCGAACAAGCCTGAGTTGACATTCCATTCACACTAGTACCTTACAAATTCAACATTCTTCTTTGTCTTATAACTAGTTATATATCATTTGCTCGAAAAAAATTAATTGTACTTTATGCAGTATTGCAGCATGTCCTGCAATCAAACAGTAATTGTATACTTCTGTATATCCTTAAAACAATAAAAATGATGAACAGCCTTACCTAATTATTTAAGTTATCTTTGTACATGCGTTATAAAACTATATCATGTAATCACCACAAAATGATAATAATACGGAGTGCTACTTATACACACTGGAGTTAGAATTCTCAAGCAATAGCAGAGTTCTGAATGCTTACTGTTTGGGTCCAATTTAGTCCAATTGGGCCTGGTCACTGAATGATCCAATTAAAAGCCCAAGGTTAAGGTTCAACTCTCCAAATATGCTAAAGTCAAAAATCAACATCCTCAAAGCCATGTCAAGGTCAGTCAACGGCCCAATCAGCTTGGCCCAGCCCAACTGACTTCCGGGCCCAATCCGCCTCCTTCATTAGCCAAGGTATAAAAGCCAACAATTTGGTCAATTCTTGGTAAGACAATAAAGCCTCAAGCAACTAAACTCTTGCGCAGCTTTCTCTCTCTAATATACTGACTTAAGCATCGGAGGGGCCTTCCTCGGCGTCCCCCCCGAGGCTAGTTTACGTGTATTTGTTGTGCAGGAAACCCTCGGCTCCGGCGTCGTTCGGACCGAGACCAAGTTCCCTCAAGATAAAAGGATCTTCCGAGATTCGATTGTTTTCATCCGAAACAATTTGGCGCCGTCTGTGGGGATCGCTACTAAATTTCGCGTCAGTCATCAAACACTCCGGCAGTCGCCATGACTAAGAGTGGAAAGAGTTCCAAGAAGGCTAAGAAGGGAGGAGGCCGGATTACGGTGAGGGAACGCCAGCCGGTTTATCCCTCCCCGGAGCAAGCCTCTTCCGAATCGGAGGCCCCCATTTCTCCGGAAAGGGAAGCCTCAAGAGGTCCTAGCCTCCAGGAGGAGAACACCTCGCACCACACTCGGCAGCCGGGGCCATCCCCGAGACCGAGTGGCTCAGGTGCGAGGAACTCCCCGCCGCGCCATAGCGTGCAATCCAGGTCACATCCGCGGGAGACTCCTCCCTCCGGACCCTCCACCGAGGAAGTGGCCAGAGCAGTGGCCATCTGCATGGAGTTCCTTAAAGCTCAAGGGGCTCCAATCCAGATGCCTGATGATCACCAGCCGAGAAACCTGAAAAGGAGGATCGGTCAGGATGGTGGTGGACAAGTTCCACCACATAGACAGCTCGGCCAGAGGTGGCGAGGGGACACCCGAAACTCCAGTAAGGAGAGGAGGAGGAACCCTCAACCCTCTGACCACTCTGAAGCTCAGAATTCCATGGGGCCCTCCAAGGACCCGGAATTCGCCCGCCAAAGCGTTCACGAACGCTTGGGTTCGAGGGAGGTGAGTGTGCATAGCCGCCTCACCTTCCCAGAGGATACCGGACCCCACCCAACCTTGTCTCAGCCGGGGACGAAAACCACTTCCACCTCTGAGAGAGGAGGGAGCGAGGTCCCTGAGGCCGGGTACAAGGGGAAGGCGGTCATGGTTCCATCGAACTCGCCCTTCCAGAAGTGGATTCTGGAAGAGCATGTGCCAACGGTCAAAATCCCGGCACATATTACTTACGATGGTACCTCAGATCCTAAGGATCACATTGCCTCTTACGAGGGGCACATGTATCTGAACCCGAGGTCTGAGGCTACCTGGTGTAAATACTTTCCTACGACCCTCAAAGGTGTTGCCCAATCCTGGATCACCAAAGGGCTCAAGGAAGGCTCCATAACCGGTTGGAACGACCTCTCCAACAAGTTCAAGAGCAAATTCTCTACGGCCAACCGCCGAGAGAAGACCACTGCAGAGCTAATGAGTCTGCAGCAGGCGGAGGACGAGAGCCTCCGCGACTATCTGACTCGCTTCAGCAACGAGTCATCCGGAATCACAAGCCTGGATCAAGGCCTGGCCGTGTTCGCGCTACGGAACGGCCTCCAAGCTGGAAAGTTCCTGGACTTCATGGTCATGCATCCCCCGCAGACCCTGGAGGAAGCCTTGGAAGCATCGGATAGGTTCATCCGAGCCGAGGAGTGGAACAGATCCAGGTCTCAGTCTCGTCCGAGAATTGGGAAGCCGAAAGGGCAGCAGCCCGAAGTCTCGGCGCAGAGGAAAGGGAAGGCTAAGGCCTCAGAACCGTCCTCTGCTGCCGAGCCGAAGAAGGAAAGACACTTTCCCTATACGGGAAGGTACGATTCATACACTCCACTCTCCCTTCCCCGTGCTAAGATTTTCAGCACGACGAAGGACGAGGGGAGATTCAAAAAACCTCGTCCGTTGCCTCCCTGGCATCAGACGAGGGGAAAGGACCAGTGGTGCGAGTTCCATGACTCACCCGGACATCGCACCGAGGACTGCGTCCAGCTGAAGGACCAGATTGAGGATCTGGTCCGCAAGGGGTACCTGAGCCAATACCTCGCGGACAGGCGCGAGGAGAAAAAAGCTGAAAAAGATTCTCGGCAGGACCTCAACTTCGCTCGGAAGAAGGATAAGGGACCTCAGGGCAAGGAGTCCCTCGACATCCTAGTTATTTCCGGGGGAATCTCGCGAGGCACAGCCAAACGCCAACTGAGGGGTCTAACCCATCAGATTCATCAGGCTGAGCTTCGGCAGTCCCAGTCACCGGCGCCGAACATCCTGTTCACAGCCGAAGACTGTGAGGGGGTGGTATACCCCCACGATGACCCACTAGTAATCATTCTGGGCATCGCCAACCGCAACGTCTGGCGGACCCTCGTCGACGGCGGTAGCGGGGCGAACATCCTCTTCCGAGGAGCGTTCGACCAGCTGAGGATGGGAGCCGAGCACCTGGACCCCGCACCCTACCCGGTGTCTGGATTCAACGGCTCTTCATCGTATCCTGACGGGAAGATTACACTTCCTGTCACCATCGGCGAAGGCCGAGCAGCTAGGAATATCATGGCCGAATTTTTGGTCGTAGATGCTCCATCTGCATACAACGTGATCATGGGGAGACCCCTCATTCACGGCATTCAAGGAGTCGTCTCCACGTATCATCAAATCATGATATACGTTTCAGACGAGGGACGCTCCGAGAAAATAAAGGGCAGTCAAAAAGAAGCCCGCCGATGCAATCACCTCAAGCCATCCACGTCTCGCCGAGGCGACCGTGGCGATGGGGAGGAAAAGCACCGGGACCGAAACGCCAAAAAGCCGAGAGGCTCAGACGTTTCGGCTAATGAAGCCCCAGACAACGAGAAATCTGATGGGGGCCAAGAGGCTGACTCCGCCTCAGAGCCGAACGACTCTGATGGCCAGCCGCGGTCAGGAAAGTCTGCTAATATTGATAGCAGGCCGGAATTCGAGGAATCCAACTCTAAGAGCATGGAAACGGATGACCTGACCGAGTCAATAGAACTGACCGTAGGAGATCCGAACAGATGTGTTAGCATCGGGTCGTCACTGGAGCCAAACACCCGTGCGGCACTCGTCCAACTCCTACGGGCCAGTGGAGACGTGTTCGCCTTCTCAGCCGCAGAAATGCCCGGGATTGATCCGGACTTCGTCTCCCATAGGCTTAATGTCGACCCCTCCAGTCGACCCATTAAGCAGAAAAAGCGGAACTACTCCGCCGAAAAGAACCAGAACATCGCAGCTGAGGTCGATAAGCTCCTAGATGCTGGGTTCATTGAACCCTGTCAGTATCCGGAGTGGCTGGCCAATGTTGTAATGGTTCAGAAGGCAAATGGTAACTGGAGGATGTGCGTTGACTTCACGGACCTGAATAGGGCATGTCCCAAGGACTCCTATCCGCTGCCGAGGATCGACCAACTGGTCGACTCGACAAGCGGGCATGCTCTGCTCAGTTTCATGGACGCATTCTCGGGATACCATCAGATCTTCATGCACCCCGAGGACCGAGCTAAAACAGCGTTCATAACAAGTTCCGGGTTGTACAATTACAGAATGATGCCCTTCGGATTGAAAAATGCGGGGGCAACATATCAGAGGTTGGTTGATCAGGTTTTCGCCGAGCAAAAAGGCCGAAACATGGAGGTTTATGTTGACGACTCAATCGTCAAAAGCATAAAAGAAAAAGATCATGTCACGGACCTAGCCGAAACCTTCGCCACCCTCAGAAAATACAAAATGAAGCTGAATCCGAAGAAATGTGTCTTCGGCGTGAAGTCAGGCAAGTTCCTCGGCTTCATGGTCAGCAAGAGGGGGATTGATGCAAACCCCGCCAAAGTACAAGCTGCTTTAGACCTCCCCGAGCCGAAGACAAAAAGGGATATTCAGCGTCTAGCCGGGAGAATGGCCGCCTTGTCCAGGTTCATCTCACGAGCCTCAGACAAAGGGCTCCCTTTCTTCAAGGCGCTGAAGCTCCAAAATTCAAAAGGCATTGAATGGGGAGACGAACAAAAGTCAGCCTTTCAGCAGCTCCGTGAACACCTGGCTCAACTCCCAACACTGGCAAGGCCAGTCGTAGGAGACATCCTATACTTATACGTGGCGGTCAGTCCAGCCACGGTAAGCGCGGTGCTGCTAAGGGAAGAAGAAAAAGTTCAACAGCCGATCTATTTCGTCAGCCACACCCTGACGGATGCCGAGACGCGCTACCCATTGTTAGAAAAAGTGGCTTATGCAGTGGTGGTGGCTGCTCGGAAGTTGCGACCCTATTTTGATTCTCATCAAATAGCGGTTCTAACTGATCAGCCGTTAGAGAAAGTCCTCGGCAAGGTTGAAAAATCCGGTAGACTAGCAAAGTGGGCTTTCGAGCTCACCGAGTTCAGTATCGGTTATCAGCCGAGAACAGCCATCAAGGCGCAAGCCTTGGCAGACTTCTTGGCCGAGTGCTCCTATCAGGAGACTCTGGATGCAAGGAGGAAAATCTGGACCGTCTTCACGGATGGGTCCTCCACCGTGAACGGTTCGGGGGCAGGGGTCGTCATCACCTCTCCCGAAGGCAAAACCTTCGAGTATGCACTAAAATTTTCATTCAAAG